GGAGGAGCCTCCTCCGGCTGCAGTGACTGCTCTGACAGACAGGGGGAGCTGCTAAATATTCTCAGTTGATACAAAGGTGATGTTAAAAACTGACTCATTTCTTCTTTGCTTCTATCCAGCGTGAGTGCATCTCCATCCATGTAGGTCAGGCTGGTGTCCAGATTGGCAACGCCTGCTGGGAGCTCTACTGTCTGGAGCATGGAATCCAGCCGGACGGGCAGATGCCCAGTGACAAGACTCTAGGAGGTGGAGATGACTCCTTCAACACATTCTTCAGTGAGACTGGAGCTGGGAAGCACGTCCCCAGAGCAGTTTTCGTAGATTTGGAGCCTACTGTCATTGGTAAGGGTTAGGGTTGGGTTAAGCACTAATCCTTGTAACCCAAACTGGCTGAACATGAGATTTTGTAAATTATACACAAATAATTTCAAATGAAAACTAAAAGTTTCCCTTTGCCTCCAGATGAGGTGCGTACTGGAACCTACCGCCAGCTGTTCCACCCTGAGCAGCTGATCACGGGTAAGGAGGATGCTGCCAACAACTATGCTCGTGGACACTACACCATTGGCAAAGAGATCATCGACCTGGTTTTGGACAGGATCCGCAAACTGGTGAGTAAAGTCATATTTTTACACTTAGTCTGTAATAAATCTGATAAATGACTCATTTGTTTTCTGTGTCCTCAGGCGGACCAGTGCACCGGTCTTCAGGGCTTCCTGGTCTTCCACAGCTTTGGTGGAGGTACCGGCTCTGGTTTCACCTCCCTGCTGATGGAGCGTCTGTCTGTGGACTACGGCAAGAAGTCCAAGCTGGAGTTCTCCATCTACCCAGCTCCCCAGGTGTCCACTGCTGTGGTGGAGCCCTACAACTCCATCCTGACCACCCACACCACCTTGGAGCACTCTGACTGTGCCTTCATGGTGGACAATGAGGCTATCTACGACATCTGCCGTAGAAACCTAGACATCGAGCGTCCCACCTACACCAACCTGAACAGGTTGATCAGTCAGATTGTGTCCTCCATCACTGCGTCTCTCCGCTTTGATGGTGCCCTGAATGTTGATCTGACAGAGTTCCAGACCAACCTGGTGCCGTATCCCCGTATCCACTTTCCTCTGGCTACCTATGCTCCTGTCATCTCAGCTGAGAAGGCTTACCACGAGCAGCTCTCAGTTGCTGAGATCACCAACGCCTGCTTCGAGCCAGCCAATCAGATGGTGAAATGTGATCCCCGCCACGGCAAGTACATGGCCTGCTGCCTTCTGTTCCGTGGTGATGTGGTGCCCAAAGATGTCAATGCTGCCATCGCCACCATCAAAACCAAACGCACCATCCAGTTTGTGGACTGGTGTCCCACTGGTTTCAAGGTTGGCATCAACTACCAGCCTCCCACTGTGGTTCCTGGTGGAGATCTGGCCAAGGTCCAGAGGGCTGTTTGCATGCTGAGCAACACCACTGCTATTGCAGAGGCCTGGGCTCGTCTGGACCACAAGTTTGATCTGATGTACGCTAAGCGTGCTTTTGTGCACTGGTATGTTGGTGAGGGGATGGAGGAGGGAGAGTTCTCTGAGGCCAGGGAGGACATGGCAGCTCTAGAGAAGGATTACGAGGAGGTTGGAGTCGACTCCATTGAGGGTGAGGGAGAGGAGGAGGGAGAGGAGTACTAAAGGGAACATAGAGAAATTGGTTCAACATGAAATAATTGATAGCAATGATTTATTGAATGCATTCAAAAAATTGTTCTTCAATTCACGTCTTTGTTTGGCTGATGATAAAAAAAACTCCTGAACCCGTCAAAATGTTTTTGTTCACAATAAAACCTCTGTGATGTGAAGTTGTTTGTCCCTTTTTCCAACATCAATAATCTTTTCCCCATAAAAGGTTAAAAAAAAGCTAAGAAACCACCTTTTCCTAGTGACTAATAGGCCAACTGCTAACAGCTAGCATCTAAAACCATCTATAATCCCACAAAAATGTCACTTTGGTTCATGCAAAATTAGTTTTATATACTGTTACAGTTTTAAGTCTCGTAACATTGTGCTAGAGCTACCTGCCTCTAGCAGCTCAGTGGTAGTATTTTTTCCAGGAAGCTAGATCAACTAGCAGTAGCAAAAGATTTTGCTCTGCAGGCTGCTCTAGCCGTGCTCCATTGTAGCGTCAGCGGGTCTGCTATCGTGTAGGAGTAACATACGTATGTATCTGGGTGCTGTTGAAGCTTGATATACTACACTACACTTTGACCAATAAGATGTGAATTTCTATATAAATATGGAAATTCAGTCTGATTGGTCTTTGAATGTTTAACCAGAAGATTTAGAACTCTTCGTATTAATTCAAGAAGAGAGTCAAGTTTATAAAAAGTAAGAAATGTATTTCCTAAACAATTAAAAACATCACAACTCGGACACTTTATGTGATGAATGAATCTAAGTGGATGGAATGTGAGGTGTGATAATGTGTGAATGTGATGTTATCAGGACCTTTGTATCTGAAGAAACTGAGTTCTGAGTGGGAGTGAATTTGGTCTGCTATAGCTATAAGTTGATGGTTTCTAAAACCACATCAGACGCAATCTGTGAGCCTACGTACCCTTCGTCGGGGACCCCCGTTGTAGATCCGGACTGTCAGGTAGTCGGATGGACCCCAAAGGTACCGAAGTCCGTAGGAAAAACTGCAGTACGACCAGACCGGTCTCAAGATGTCTCCAGGTCACCACAGTTGTTTCCGTCTTAGGAATAACTCTTACGGAGTTGAAGTTGGTTCAGCTTTATTCTGAAGGAACCGTTTGTGGTCAGCTGTAGCGTTCAGCAGGTTTTTGACAGCTTGTCAAAAGATGCGCTGGGTTAGAGGTTTTGCTCAGGATGGCCAGACCGAAGCTTTCTCAAGAACTGACTCACGGTGAAGTGAGTCCTGTTTTAATAATCATCATATTTGATTTACTAACAAATCAGAATTTGACACGCAAAAAGGGTTTTACCAACAAACCTCAGAAAACACGCCTTGCGTCAGATACAGGAGTTCTGATTGGTGGGACAGAAAGCTGTGTGTCATGATATTGGTTTAGCCTTGTCATTGTCACGTGTCTGAGTGTGTGAGCTGTCAGTAGATAGCGATTCACTTGTTAAATCTAACTTTATTGATCATAACATAATAATATTCATTTCAACCTCAGTAATTTAAGCACAGATTAATCAAAACATTGTTATTATTCTTCAACCATTGTTGTTCATTCAACCATATGATTATTTACTCATCTCGTTCATTATATGATTTAATTTTGAAAGTTCATCCATCTTGTGCTGTGAAGCGAAGCAGTCTTAGATAAGAGGAAGCTTGGAGGGACCTTAGGCAAGCGACAGAATCTTTCTTGCAGATTAAAGAAGCACTAGTTAAGACTTCTGTCTCCAAATGACCCGATACTGAAGAGGTGACCTGTAGATGGAAAAACAGACCATTTCCAGAGGCTACAATTGTCTTGCCAATCACAGCGCTCTGTTGGGCAGGCTTAGCACTAGAGCTGACAAGGAAAAACTACAAAGATGGCTTAGGTTTGAGAATGAGCCTAAGCCATCTTTGAACGATTTAGAATTTGGTTTTTCTTTGAGACTTGAGCAGATAGAGGTATTTAAATCAATTATTTTGTGAAAGGATGTATTTGCTTCTTCTTTGATGGTTTATGGCAGACTGTCCTGTTGACTGACATCAGTAGTGGTGAGTTTGTCACGGTATGTGTTGCTCTGAAGGGTCAAAATGCTGTCCAGTTGCACGTGGAGACAGTTTGAAAGACCACCATTTATAGATTACGCCCCACGACTGAGATCTGTTTATGGGTCTTAGCCAGACTATCCATCCATCCATCCATCCATCCATCCGTCCATCCATCCATCTGTCCATCCATCCATCCAAAATCGGGTCGCTGGGACAACAGCCTAAATCGAGAGGTCCAGACTTCCCTCTCTCCAGCTACTTGTGCCAGCACTTCTGAGGGGATCCGGAGGTGTTCACTGGCCAGCGGAGTGACATAGTCCCTCCAGTGTGTCCTGGGTCTTCCTTCAGGTCTTCTACCAGTTGGACGTGCCCAGAAAACCACCAGGGTGGCATCCTAATCAGATGCCCAAGCCACCTCAACTGTCTCCTCTCGAGCTGGACCATATATTAATAAACATAGCCTGCCAGGCTAGGAAAATCATGTAATACAAAATTAATATTAGAGTACGGGTTTATGAACTATTGTGCACTTGCATGGTCACACAGAAAGTAGCACTGTTCTCTTGGAGAGATCCCCCACCACCATCACCACCGTCACACACACACACACACACACACACACACACACACACACACACACACACACACACACACACACACACACACACACACACACACACCAAAAATATGCATGTTAGGCTGACTGAAGATTGTGAGCGAGTGAGTGTGTGACAGCTGTTTGTCTAAATGTGGACCTTTGATGGACTGGCAGTCTGTCCAGGGTGTCCCCTGCATCGTAGCCGGTGAGTGCTGGAGTTAGGCACCAGCTCCCTGAGACCTTAGTGAGGTAAATTGCTGTTTAGAAGATTTCAGACAATAAAAATGTTTGCTAGTTCAGTCAGAGCTTTACTCCGTTTCTCCAAACTTAGGTTGCAGCTTTCACTGTGGCTGTAGATCCCATGTGGTAAGAGATCGTGACATACAAGTGCTTGTAATGAATATCTGGGTGCTGAAAGTCATAATTATCTCAATGAAAACAAAGAAAGGGTTGAAATATCTCGCTTTGCATGGAATTAATCGATCTCCAGTAGTTTCACCTTTTAAGATGATTTACTGAAATTCTTAAATTTTTGCACAATATTTTAAATTAACCAGTTTCACCAGTATGTCCACTATTTTCCATAGGTTGCTAAGCCTGTAAATCCAACATTTTGCATGATTTTGCAGCAGACTGAGAGTACTAACCTTTTCATTAATACATTTTGCAAAATAAAAGCAAATCGACCCATGAATGAAACTGCTTTGAACAATGTTTATTTGGAGAAACATTCAAATTTATCTTTGTCCAAATTCAAGTACAAATGTTCAAATGACCTCTAAAATAGTACAAAAACAGTGTAGGAATATAGGGTGCTGATTATGAAACCCTAAATAATACCAATTAGTTAAGTGTTGTTTAAAAAGTATAAAATCCATCCCAGGTCTGTTGCCTTCTACCAAAACAGGTTCAGCTCTGTTATATTATTATAATCTTTAGGGGCTGTGCACGTTTGGGGGCTCACAGCAGCCTGTCCTGCAGCAGAGGGCAGTCATCGAGGGCTCTTTTTTTATTCTGGGACTTCCAGAACTTTGGGGCTCCAGAGCAGCTGAGAACACCACTAAGCTGAGGGCCTTCAGATGCTGTGGTGTCCTCCTTCAAGGGCTGGTAGGACTTAAAGCGTCTGTTTAAATAAAAAACAAACACAAATGTAGACGTCTTTTAAAAAGGCTTGGTACGTCATAACTTTTGTTGCATGAAAAAAATATATAAGTGGCGAAATGTAAAGTAGCAGCACTTGTTGGAGGACCCATAACCTGTGACTGAAACCAAGTTGAGTGAATAAACTCGTAGGATGGAACCAATTAGCAAAACATCAACACGTTACATGGATGCTAGAAGGCTGGAGAGGTGAGTTTTGCAGACAAAGCTCTGATTCTGGAGCAAAAATGTGAGATTTTTTAGCTTGTAAAAATTAATAAGACTACAAATCAGATGTTGCATGTGGCTATGACATCACTGAGGGATCTCTTCTCCCCCAGTGTAGATGCTACTTACAACATGGCCAGATTTATAGTGGTTTTCTCCACATTTAATAATCCTCCTTTCATCCTGGAAGAAGGATACGATGCTCACTAAACTCACAGCCATTTTCTTCTCCTCTTCTCTGTTTCTTGTTTGATGATGTCAATTCGATGAGACGAGCATTTGTAGTCCACTACGTCTTTTCACCCAAAACCCATAATAACTTTTGCCTTCAACCTAAGTTAACCTTTGTGTCTATAAAATTAATTCACAACGTGTGAAATCAGTGGCAGATATCAAACAAGTTAAAAATATATATATTTATTGGCCCAGAGACTCCCATTAATTTTTTTGGCAATGGGGGATCCATAGTCTGGAAGTAGATGGACATGTCCTAGGCTCTCTAATCCAAAATCACCTGAGCACATTTTTATGGGTGTGATTTATGAAGGAAGAATTGTATACAGCTGTGGTACACAGTGTTTTATAAACATTTCGTTTTTGCTTAGCTTTAGTAGTATCCTGCTCATCTTTGAATAGATTAAGTGATTTTTTATAGCACCTCTCAAGATAAAAATCACAAGGTGAATATGAAGCCCTAGCTCTTTACCCTCTCAAAGAAATCCATGGTTGCATTGGAGCACCCTACCAGTTTCAGAGGGTTTTGTCGACTTAAAGTGAGTAGAGACCTAAATCGTTGCAAGCAAGTAGTGTTGTTTTATTGGAGCAAGACCTTACCAACGGATGCCCTTTAGGGTCAAAAAGCCCTGGGGGGTGCAAACTTTAGCAAAATAGCGAGCACACCAGACTCCCTTTTATCACTTGCAACAAGTGAAGAGGTAAATGTGTAGAACAACAACATTTAAGAATGACAAAAATTTTATAACCGTTTGTTAAAATAATTAAATGCATTTTGTTTTCATGAGCTCCTGTAGAAGGAAACATGGGGTCAAATATGGCGTCGACGCCATATTAGACGTGTTTCTCAATATTTGGGTGTTTCTCAATGCCAAGGAACCTCGCCTTGATGTCTTGGTCCCGCCCCGGTTGCCTAGGAGATACACCATCAGGAGCCGCCAAGGCATGTTCCAATGTTCATGTTCTACCGAGGTGTGTGTTCTCCGTTTGTTAGCCATTTAGCTAGCTGAGCAAGGATACACGGGAGGTGTCTTGTAGCCTAGCCTTCGTCAAAAATTTCCCAGAATACACAGAAGATTGTGTCCCACCTCTTTTAACAAAACACGGCCAACCTTATTACCGTGTTGGTACTGGTCAGCCTCGGAGCTTTTAAGACAGTTTATTGCCTCACTGTTGGATGCGACTGAGTTCAGAAAGTAGCTGCTACTGTACGTTAGCTTTGGCCAGACTTTAAGATCGCTCCCCCACGTCTCTGCTTCAGTAGGAAGAAGGAGTGTAACGGTGTCCTGTTTGAGCTGTAACAGCTGGTGTTCATGCATGTTTTAGTCTAAAAGCCATAAAAAGGGGATTTGTGCAAAGGAATCACATTGTCTCAATGTAAACAAACACGGGACCGGAGGTCGCTTGTATCTTTCGTGCAAAGCATGATGGGACACAGGAATAAGGTGGATAGCCATGACTGCTGGGGTACTTTGTGATCCTCCTACTTGTTCATTCAAGCTCTCCACATAATGAGTCTGAATTTGCTTCACTTACTTAGTTAGATTCATTTCCACTGAGCCAGAACTGTTCAATGTCACTGATTCTTTTCATACCTCAGATTGCATCACTGCTTTTTGCAGATTTTAGTTCAGCTGGCCTAGTTGAGGTCAGTTCTTCCTCACCAAATTCACTCGTCCGTGTCTCTCCTGGAACACCTGAATTTGGTAGTTTGGCAACAAATTGTTTGAAATAAAAGTGAAGTGTTTAATCTTACTTGTAAGAATACGCAACTATTCCTACTGCCAGAGCAAGCACCAGAACACCCAGCAACATGACAACAGGGCCAGAAGATGGCAGACCAGAACCTAGAAGAAAAATCTCAACATCAGTAAGGAAGTTGATGTAGACTGGTTTTCTGCGTGTTGTGCAGTTACGTAGCATTGTACCCATGTTAACGTTGACTTTGGCACTGGTGGCAGCCAAACTGACATCATTGGCCATAGAAACATTGATGCAGTAGACACCGGAGTTGTTGAAGAAGTGACGGAGCACCATCTGGCACTCCTTGGAAGGCTCCACCATGTTGCATGAGGTGTGAAGTGGCTTCAGACATTCTGCATCCAGAATCACGCTGCAAACTTCTTTTGGAAAACTGTGAGAAGAATCATCCCCATAGAGATTACAACATGTCAGTGACACTTCCATTGCAACTGCCAAATCCTCAGTGCTTATCCTGCTCGACTTATCGGCTGCATTTGACACTGTCAACTATGACTTTCTTTTGTCCACACTCTCTAGCACGGGCATCACAGAGAAAGCACACACCTGGTTTGAATCGTACCTCACAGGATGATCATTCAGTGTATCTTGGCTTGGACAATCCTCTACCGTGCACCATCTTGCCACAGGAGTCCCCCAAGACTCTGTACTAGGACCTCTTCTCTTTGCCATATACACCACTTCACTGGGTGAGATCATTCAATCACATGGCTTCTCCTACCACTGCTATGCAGACGACACCCAGCTCTATCTGTCATTTCCACCGGACGACCACACTGTCTCTGTACGAATATCAAACTGTCTCTCTGACATATCAAGATGGATGAAATCCCACCATCTCCAACTCAACCTCTCTAAAACTGAACTGCTTGTCATCCCAGCAAAATCATCCATACAGCACAATATCTCAATCCAAAATGACTTCCTATCTCTGGCTCCTTCAAAGGCAGTTTGAAATCTGGGTGTTGTGATTGATGAACACTTGAGCTTTAAAGATCATGTTGCCTCTGTTGCTCGTTCATGCCGCTTTGCGCTGTATAACATACGAAAGATCAGACCATACCTAACACAACATGCCATCCAGCTCCTGGTGCAATCTACTGTCATCTCCCGCCTCGATTACTGCAGTGCCCTTCTAAATGGTCTTCCAGTCTGTACTGTGAGACCTCTTCAAATGGTCCAGAACGCAGCGGTGCGTCTGGTCTTCAATCAGCCAAAAAGAGCACACGTCACCCCTCTGTTCATTGAGCTCCACTGGCTACCGCTAGCAGCACACATCAAATTCAAATTGCTAACACTAGCATACAAAGTCCGAGATGGTACGGCTCCCATCTACCTGAATCCTCTTGCAAAGGCTTACGTCTCGGCCCGGCCGCTCCGGTCATCACAGGATCGTCAGCTAGCAGTGCCTACACCACGCTCAGGACAATCCAGACTCTTCTCATGCATCGTTCCACAGATGTGGAATGACCTACCAAGCACTACCAGAATAGGGGCTTCCTTTTCAATTTTCAAGAAACTCCTGAAGACCCTGCTCTTCAGAGAGCATCTTCTAAACTAGCACCTTCCCTGCACCTGTCCCCTCTCTCTACTGTCCACTCCTTTGTTCCCTCCTCTCCATGATTGATGTCAAGTTGTTGTTGTTATTGTTGTTGTTAGCCTCAAGGGCAACATGCCGATTATCACTTGTAAGTCGCTTTGGACAAAAGTGTCTGCTAAATACATAAACATAACTTCCTTTGTTCTTTTGCTGATTTCAACACCTCACCTTCCTTGGCAAGTAACGGTGATGTCCAAAACATTTGAACTTGTTCCAGATGTCATCATTACATTGTTGTCCAATTGTAAAATTTCGACTTTCTCAATGCCCTCTGAAAAAAAATTTAATTAGAAAATTTGATTTTCACATGTTTGTATGAATAAATTAGTAATGGAACGTAAGTCACCAAAAACTTCGATGCCCGTGCAGAAGGAGCCATATCTGTATATGACACAGTCATCATCATCAGGCTGCTTGTCGCTGACGTCTCTCCTAGCAACAGCAACGGCTGCAGCGTGGCCCGTCAGCACCAAGGCTCTCTCTGGTGAGTACAAACCAGGATTTCAGATAAACTCATATCTTAGTAGTATTTCTAATTACCTGAGACCTTTACATCTTTCATAGAATGCTCCATAATAACCAGCAGTCTGCCCTCTGGTGGAGGATCTAAGTGTTGCTGTTGGCTAGTGCCAGTGTTCAAACCAATTTACTTTTGTTGTAGAAGAAGAAGAAAATATCATTTCTATAGCGCCTCTCAAGATTAAAATTACGAGGCACTTCACAAAAAAAATGTAAACATATAAAAAATCATTTAGAAAATGTTTAAAAATATATTTAATATCTGGCAGACGCTATAGATCACTGTACACAAAAACTACCAGACACAAGAACAGTTTCTTTCCTTCAGCCATTTCTCTCCTGAATCTGTAGATTATTTTACCATCCTTTTACTATAGTTTTTAATACTTAATCAGTATGCTTATGGATATGTGTGTGTGTGTGTGTGTGTGTGCGCGTGCGTGCGTGTGTGTGTGGGTATGTATATATGTATATAGGTGTGTGCGTAAATGAACATGTGTGTGGGTATACATGTTCTTATGTGTTTTTAGGTATTTTTATTCTCATTTATTATGGTTGTTGTATGTTTTAGAGAGCGAACATCTACCGAAGACAAATTCCTTGTAAATGTAATTTTACTTGGCCAATAAATCTGAAATCTGAAATCTGAAATCTGAAATCTTAAAATGAGCAAAAATGGGCAATTGGGATTTAAAAGAAAAATGTTAAGAAAGAGAGAGAGTGAATATGAACGAGGGAAATCAGTGGATCCTGAGGAAGGTGGAATAGGTGGGGAGAGCAGAATAAAGAGAGAGAGGTGAAGAAGGTCATACAAAAGCCAGCTTGAACAAGTGAGTCTTCAGCTGCTTTTTAAAGGAGACCCCTGAGTCCACTGATCTCAGGCTCAGGGGGAGAGAGGTCCAGAGTCTGGGGGCCGCAGCAGCAAATGATCTGTCACCTTTGACCTTTAGCCTGGTGTTGCACAACCAGTAGGCTTTGATCATAGGACCTCAGGGACCTGCTGGGGGTGTAGGGACTAAGAAGATCACCAATGTAAGATGGTGCTTGTCCATGTAAGGCCCTATAGACCAGAACCAGGATCTTGAAATGAACCCTGAAGTTGACTGGCAGCCAGTGAAGCTGGAGGAGAAGCGGGGTGATGTGGGTGTGTTTGGAGGACTTGGTCACAAGCCGAGCACAGGCGTTCTGAACCACCTGCAGACGGTTCAGGTCCTGTAATGTTATGGATCAAAATAACAAAACAACACAGATAACTATGTAACTTTTGAACAACAGCTGAGAAATTCACGTATCACGCTGAATCAAAGAGAGGGGAATATTGCTCAGTAGCCTCCAGTCATCATGCAAATGCAGGTCTCAGTGAGAAAGTAGACAATGGTTCATGTTCGGCCTGGTTTTACATCATCTGTGACCAGAAGATTTGCATCTTTTTTACATTTTAGGAGATAGGTTGATTTCTATTTCTCATTCTCCCACCATACTTGTGAGCTGAGCATTTGACACTTCATCCAGAAACATCGCTGTTGCACTTTGTTACCTTTAGTGAAATTGAGTGAATGATTACTTACTTGCTGCCTGCTTGTTTGCTGCTTTACTTGCAGCAGGCAGCTGGTTGACAGGGTACAGAGTCTCTGAGACTGAAGCAGAGGAGGCCTCACCCTCGCTGTTGTCTTCTTCTGTGTCTGAGGGAACCACGTTGACGTTCAGATCAGCTGGTTTGGAGGAAACCAGTATGGTAGCAGCAGACACCAAAACAGGAGCTTTCGCTTTATAGAGAGATCACTGAATTAGTTTTGTTTTTAAATAAACTCTGAATCACTTTAACTGGTTCTGGTCTGTCTTAGCCAATCCTGTAATCAGCGTTTATTACACATCAAGTCCATTTCAATATATTAGTTTTCATGGTCTGCCAGAAATAGCAAATGACATATGTTCTTTACCTGTGGTGGCCTGGTCAACTGGTGCACCAGGAACAGTTGTTGGGTTATCAGATGAAGGGTCGCATGCCTTATCTGAGATGACTGCCTGGATCACTACCTGGGGTTTGTAGGAGCCCGAGTCGATGTAGGTGTGAGTAACGGTCAGCTCTCTGGATATCAGGGCTCCGCTCTCATCACCGAAATCCCAGTTGAAGGTGATGTCTGCATCACTTAGGTACTCGCTGGGGTCATGGAGGGTGACCGTGAAGGCAATTGCCCTGTTCTGCACAAAGCGCATGTCTCCAGCCACAATGTCATTCACTTGGTCCAGGGAGACTGCAAAGGGGATCTGATCTGAGGAGAACCCAAATGAAATAATTACTTTGATGTTGCCCCTGTTGAGTGTGTGTGTGTGTGTGTGTGTGTGTGTGTGTGTGTGTGTGTGTGTGTGTGTGTGTGTGTTGCTTTAACCTCACCAGTGATAGAGAACTGTGTTGAGGCGTATCCCAAAGGAATGAACTTCTCCTTGCTTCGGTAGTGATAGATGACGATGTCCATGGTGTAGGAGCCCAGGGGGATGTCATGTGTATCAATGGTCAGGGATGAGGAAGGTCCATCTGCCACCTGCCAGTACTGACCTGCCAGAGACAACACGCTTCTAATCTTAGGTTGGAACTAGGAGAGTCACTTCTCTAAATGTTTTTCAATCACAGCCAGAGACCCCGCAGGAATCCCACACAGTTCAACTCACCCCACGTCTTCCAGACAAAGACATACGCTGGCTTCCTGTCCTTCTTCACGGGTGTTCCATCAGGAAATACAGCCTCCCAGTCCATGTCCTTTATCCGGTAAACTGGTTCAGACTTAAGAAACTTTGTTCCTGGACCCAAAGAGAGTGGCAGCAGAAAACCTCAAGCTCATGCCTGCTGATAGAACGGCCTTGAGATATGTTCTCACTAACGTATGGAATAACTTTTGGAACATTACCTTTTACAAAATAGGCCTTTTTAAACAGTAATGCGTCTGCTTGCATGTGTGTGTGTGTGTGTGTGTGTGTGTGTGTGTGTGTGTGTGTGTGTGTGTGTGTGTGTGTGTGTGTGTGTGTGTGTGTGTATGTTACCATTGATAATGCAGTCTTCAGCCCAGACCACGTCCCCATCAGGCTGAACCTTTTGGGTGTGAGGGAACTCCAGGTCGATGGTGAAGGTGACTCTAGCTCCCGTCAGAGTCGGTGAATCATTCCCAACATTGAAGCTTACTCTTCCACCTGAAACCAAAATAAACAAAGACGAATATGTTTTTACACGTGTGTCATCAGTTCAGTTACCAAATGCTGTGTCTCACACAACATCACACGAACCTTTCCAGGCATCTTTGTACCGCGAGTCGCCATCTTTCCAGACCGGGTACATCTTAGCATTCCATGACGGATAACGGGTAAAACGGGTTTTGTGTTCTGAAAATTTGAGAGAAAAATCATTTTCCTGTTTAATTTAGTGTACTCCTACTGACGTGCGCTCTTGTTTACCCTCACTTACTCAGTGCCACATCCCTCCCTGGTTTCTTTGTCAGATACCTCTTCACTCACTGTCGTGGCCACATGCTCAGCTCTGTTATACTCTTATAATCAGCTGCTTTGCCAGCTTTTTATTTGCATTATAAAATATTTTGTTTTCACTTAGTTCTCATCTGCTTTTGCAGCCTTTATGAAGTCCTTATGAAACCCATCCATCTGAGGCGGACCTCCACTGTACAAACAAAGCTCTGGTACCGATCTCTCTCATGTGACGCTAAGCTGACGGAAGAGGACGGGATTACTACTCTGCAGGGTTACAGAGCACAATTTGGAACAAGCACATTAAAGGACGCTCGCTAAGTCACACACCTGAACAAGATTAGGAATTTAGCCTGAACTACTTTCTTTCTACCAGAAACCCTCCAGTTTCAGTCGGCACGTAAAGTTGATGCTTGATCTTCAGTTGGTGTTTCTGATCATGGACGTAATTTTGGGGGGGGACAGGGGGGACATGTCCCCCCCACTTTTTCTAAAGTCAAGTTTTGACCCCTGCACTTTTTACCATCCAAAAACAAAATTACGCTATATTAAATTGACACTGGTTGAGCTCTAGAACCATGCGGAAAACAACCGTTTGTGTTGAAGCCTGTTTCCCATTAGAACATACTGTAAAGGTAACCCCCCCCCCATCCCCCATCCCCCCACTTCTAAAGTAAAAATTACTTCCATGTGTCTGATCATATTTCAGGGGACCAAAGGTGCACATATAGTTTCAAGAACTATACGACCTAACATGCTATAAGAGCGTAAAAACCCTTAAACTGTTGTTCTTCTCGTGCATTTGGATTTTCTTTTCTTTTTGAAGACACATGTCAGAGAGGTCGTCGCAGAGACCCGTGCATGGCTTCCAGAAATGTCTCCATCAACAACGTAGAACATTGGTAAAACAGGTGAGCTAGCTCCACTTGAAGCTCTAAAACTCAGGTAAATGTCACATTTATTTGTTTATTTGTTTGTTTGTTTATTTGTTTGTTTGTTTGTTAACCCTAACCCTAAATCTGCAGGTGACTTGATCCAGTCCCTGGGAGTTTTGACATATGAGGCACATTTTCCTGCTTCCTCTTTTACACCGAGGGACCACAAAGGGGAGCTGGATAGTTATCCGAGTATTATACAAAGAAATTATGAGTACTAACAATGTTCTCATTGGAGGGTTCTGATGGAACAGCACAGAACCAAACCACATATATATTACACATGACCTTAACCCATCAGCACATGCAAAGTAGACTTCTGGTAATTATCTCTGCATAGTCTTAAATCGGTAACAAAAGCTGAGTTACAATGCGCCTTCTTTGCTGTGAAGTGGTGTTTTTGTAGCTTGGCTTAGTTTGTTTTTTACACAAAAGGTTTAACTGATGATAGATGATGTCACTCTATTTCCCGTCAGAAGCTAGTTTCTAGTTTTCATCCAGCATCTGTTTGTCTAAGGTTCCCATTTAGTTCCTGTCTGCCTCTGTCCTATAGTCAGGGCATGAGAGGTACTGGTGTGGTCACCATGGAGATCTTAATGAGCCACTAGCAACAGCATTAACATTTCTGCCGTAGAGTTTAAACATCAAAATGTGAACACTTTGTCTTAACTTAGAATGCTATCAAGCTAATTGCAGCACCGGAATCCTCCAGAAACGTTAGCTAAGCGTAAAAATAAAAACTACTGATTAATTTAAAGGTGCTAAAAGTCTGAGCGTGTCTCAAGCAACTTCATGTAAAAGTGCAGTAAATCATCGACATGTTATGAACAAAAGGGATTTACTACTCACTTGCCACAGTTTGTGAAGCTGCAGCCAGCAGCAGAAGCAGCACTGCAGACGTCCACATCGTCACCTTTTCCTTGCGAAATGTCCCTTTAGCACGGAGCAGGCAGCAGAGGAGTGGCTTTATAAACTCTCTGGGGTTTAATCTCCAGATCCACCTCCCCCCTACTGCAGAAACTCCCCCATCTCCCCCGTGAGGTTTAAGGGCACTCAGACGGATTGTTTCACCTTGTTACAATACAAGCATGCCTTTGTTAAACTGTTGCTATGCGACAATTAGAAATCCTCAAAGCTGATCACGAGGTACGCTGTGAATAAAATCTAAACAGTTTTTTAAATCTCAACGAGCAGGTTTACTTTAGACATCCTCTCAGAACTCGTGAACAAGACCCGGAGAAACAGGACCTCTCCCCTGACTCCTAGGTGGTAATTTACCTTTTTCTGGTCAAGACCCATGGCCACGGTGCTGATCCCCATCCCAGACACTTTACATTAGTCTGCAGACCTCTTCAGCAAAAGCTGAATGTCAAAGGTTGATGGAACCGAAAGGATGACATCATTCACAGGACAAGATCCTCCCGCCGCCAAACTAGACGCCCTGCACCCCACAGCTGCTCCAAGAAATTCTGTCCATAAAGTTAATGAGCAGAACTGGTGAGAAAGGACACCCCTGATGGAGTCCAAACCTCACCGGGAACAGGTCCGACTTATGACCAGTACAGAAGTTGGTACATGGACCAATGGCCATGAATAAAGTGCCATCCATACTCAGACATGGTCATACGCTTTGTTCAGATTCACAAAACACACGTGGACTGGATGGGTAGAGCCCCATGCCCCCTCCAGCAACCTAGCAAGGGTAAATATCTAATTCGTGGTTCCATGGCCAGGACAAAAACACACTCTCCTCCCTTATTCCAAGATTCAACCATAGACTGGACCCCCTCTCCATTACCTTGGACTAGACCTTTCCAGGGAGGCTGAGGACCTCTGGTACTCTTTCTTGAAAACGTGAACCACCACCCTACTACTCCACAGCCACCATCCCTAGTGGCTTCCTGTACATTATTGTGTACATTTCAAGATCCTGGTTCTGACTTGAGGAGTCCTGTGTGGACAAATTCCACGACATGTCAATGCATCTGTTTAAAGTCTGCTCGTGTTTGGTGTATTGTGCTTTTGCATCTGTGAAAAGCTTTGTGAATTCTATCTTAAAAGGTGCTGAACATCCGAAAATCTTCTCTGAACCACAACATCTGCTCCAGGCAGCCTTCAGCAGCAGAAGACCACACCAGGTGTGTCTTCTGAAAGGTAATAACAGGAAGCTGAGGCTACAATTCACACCGGATCACCAGAACTGGACCAGAAGAGACTGGAAACCCATTCCTGGTCTGATGAGTCTGGATTTCAGCTGCAGCTTTCAGATGGTTGGGTCAGAACTTGGGAGTCATCAACATGAAAGCACGGATCCAGCCTGCCTTGTACTGGCTGCTGCTGCTTGTGTAATGGTGGTGGTGGTCCTCTTGTCCCACTCAGCACCACCTGAGCCTGGTTTGAACACCACAACCAACCCGAATACTGTAGCTGACAATGTATGACCACATGGACCCATCTTCTGATGGCTACTTCCATCAGGATCATGCACCGTGTAGCAAAGCTCAGATCATCTCTAACTGGTTTCCAGAACATGGTCATGAGTTCAGTGGACTCCAGTGACCTCCACAGTCCAGTCCAGAACCTTTGGGCTGTGGTGGAACAAGAATATCTCATCGTGGATGGAGCTGACGGTCGTGTGTCCATATGGACCAGAATGTTTCCAACATCTTGTTGAATCTACAAGATGAAGAGCTACGGTGGTTCTGAAGGGAAAAAGTGGTCCAACCTGGGTTTAAACAGGTGTGCCTAATAAAGCTGCCAGAATGTCTGTTTTTCCAACTCTTGTCATAATTTTGCTCGTTTGAAAGCTCCAATTTTTTTTCACGTCACTGTTAAAGAGTAAGTGTGTGTGTGTGTGTGTGTGTGTGTGTGTGTGTGTGTGTGTGTGTGTGTGTGTGTGTGTGTGTGTGTGTGTGTGTGTGTGTGTGTTGGGGGCTGGGGTGGGGGGTACTTATTGCATGATCTCCAGCACAAAACAGAATCTTTCCTCAATGTCTACTGAAGTCAGCTGATCTACTATCAAAGCACAAAGATGACTCAAATGCAGAGCTCACACAGTTTTAATAAGCAGGAGGGATTCCTGGAGTACAACACAACTGAAAAGTCCAAATCTGACTGAATACACTTTTACCAAGTGTTTCTGAGAGCAGGTTCACATCACACAACAGGAGAAGACAAACTGGCAAAGGAAACTGTTGCAAAGACACTTAAATGGAGAAGCCAGGACCCAGGTGCAAGACATGAGGCAGATTAGTGAGGAGCTTCATGTTGTGAACCTGCCTGTAATGAGACAGGAAGTGAATGCACAAAATAAAACAGGAAGTACCAGAAATACAATAAAACCAGAAACAAGACTGCAAAGCACTCAATCTGCAGAATCACCCATGACATCTACTTTGTTACTCTGAGTTGTGCGTTTACTTTTGTGAAGCTGCATCAACTCAAAGTCCAGTCAGCTGTGCTTCAGTGTACACCACTCTAATATTTGTTATACACATAAAGTCTGAAACGTTCAGGCACATGGACGGAGACTCGTTCGATTTTTGTCGTTAGAACAATAAGTCGCACACGCCCAGAGGGGGAAAGGGAAAGAATGCAAAGTTAACGAGGATTATTAAACAACTTGTGACTTTAAATTCATCCGGCTTTGTCCCACAACTTTAAAGTCACACTATCAAGAGGGTTTTGTCTCCATATCATTGGTCCCACTGCTGCCCTGTTTAAACCTCTTTTTGAACAAAGTCAGCATTCACAGTAAATCCTGATTAGATGTCTTTCATCTGTCAGCATGCAGACCGTGAACCCTGTAAGTCCCTGGAATAAAATCCTGGGACCCTTAGCTTCATGTTTCATTCCTTAATCTTCTGAGTGATTTCTGTAGCGCTCAGTGAGACTTCTCACCTGTCCACAGGTCTTCTGAGCAGCTCCTCGTGAGCCAGCTGCTCCAGCTGTCTCTGGATAATTTTGTCTAATGTTGAAATTTGACAGTGATGACACTTTCATCTGCCTCCTGCATCGGGCCTTCTCACACCTGGGGAGCACCACATTCTTTTGCCTCTCCAGTAACTTTAAAACAGTCCAGTCCTGGGTATTGAGGGGAAACATGAAGGGACCATGAGGGAACCATCATTTGTCCGTGTAGATCATTGACTACCTAACCAGGAGACCCCAGTGTGTGAGGTTACTGGACTTTGTGTATGAGGTGGTAGCCTGCAACACGCAAGCTCTAGAAGGATCTAAACATTGGCGGTTTTAAACAGGGGCCCACAGGGGCCTGGGCCCCTATAGAACCGGCCCTGGACCCTGTTATGGCCCCTGTGCTGAAGAGATCGGATTTTTTCCCCCCGCACTGCCTCGGAGACGGGCGCTGCAGTGTTTCACACGGAGCCTTTAGAGCGCAGCACACTCTGTGGACAGAACTGTTTACCTGGTGGATTTTTGAATAAAAGATTAAAAATAGTTTAAATGGGACCCGAAGAAATTCTTGAGGACGACTAACGGAAAAGACGCTAAGAGACGAAGGCAAGCAATACAGTTTATTTTCCTGACATCAATGAATTTCCTTTGGCAAAATTGTGCACAAGCTCAAAATTAGTAATATGGCGATGACAAAAAAGAATTTTGATATTGCCCTAATTTTTCCCTTTTTTTCTTGCGCCCCCATGAAAAAATACTGGCCCCACTGTGGCCCCCCTGGAAAATTTGGCCTGGAACCGCCCCTGGATCTAAACTCACCTTGTCCCTCTTTACCCTACACTGCAGACTTTGGTTAAAACACAGACACTCACAATCTCCAGAAGTTCATGGACAACACTGCCACTGCTGGTCATGTGTCAGAGAGGAGAAAACTGGAATACAGGGGGTCATCAACGGCTTTGTCAGCTGGCTAGAGAAGACCCGCTACTGAGTTGGTAAGAGGTTACCCCCATGTTACACAAGCGAGCGTCCAGGGCGTGGACACTGAACGGTGAAGTGTAAATATCTGGGTGGCTGTTCACCTCAACAACAAACCAAACTGGTCCACATGTACGGATGCGCTCTAAGACAAGGGTCTAAGTCCTCACCTACAAAGACAGCTGAGATTTTTGGGGTTAACAGGACTCTTGCAAAAAACTTCTGGTAGCACATGCTGTGATCGGACAGTGATCTCCAGCTTTCGCTGGAGCGGTTCGCAGCCGAGTGTGAAGCGGCTGCAATGAGAATCAGCTCCTCTAAATCCGAGACCATGGTCTTAAACCGGAAAAGGGTAGAATGCCTTCTCCGGGTCAGCTGCCTCAAGTGGAGGAGTTTAAGTATCTCTGGGTCTTGTTCAAAAGTGAGGGAAAACTGGAGCGTGATAGGCGGTTTGGTGCTGCATCTGCAGCGATGCGGGCGTTGTACCGCTCTGTCGTGGTGTAGAGAGAGCTGAGTTGGAAGGCAAAGCTCTCGATTTACCCGTCGATCTACGTTCCTACCCTCACCTACGGTCACGAGGTTTGGGTAGTGACCGAAAGATACAAACAAAGCAAAATTAGTTTTCTCCGCAGAGTGGCTGATAGGGTGAGAAGCTCGGTCATCCGGGATGGGCTCGGAGTAGACCTGCTGCTCCTCCACATTGAAAGGAACCAGTTGAGGTGGCTCAGGCATCTGGTGAGAAAGGCTCCTGGACGCCTCCCTGGTGAGGTTTTCCAGGCATGTCTAATTGGGAGGAGACCCAGGACACACTGGAGGGACTATGTCTCTCGGCTGTCCAGGGAATGTCTTAGGATTCACCCGGAAGAGCTGGCTCAAGTTGCTGGGGGGAGGGACGTCTGGGCTTAGGCTGCTGCCCCCGTTAGAAGAACAAGTACATGCAGATAGGCAGTAAGCTAGTATTGTAACCTTCAACCACTAAAATCCAAGAATAAAAAATGGAAAACTTAGGCTCCAGAATTACGCAGCATTCTATAAATGTAAATCTGGTGTTCCACAAGTATTGAACACTTGCTGAGTGTTGCATTGATGTTAATGTGAATTGTGAGGAGGTGCAAAGGTAAACTTAGCAGACTGGTCAGGAGGGCCAGTTCTGTCCTGGGCTTCCTGCTGAGGTCCATCAAGCAGGTTGGGGAGGAGAGGATGTTGTCCAAGCTGACATCCATCATGGACAACCCAACTGGCTGCATAATACAAGAGCACTGAGCAGCACATTCAGCAGTAGACTTTTATATCCCCTATGTAAAGAAGCATGACTGCAGGTCACACGTGTCAGGTTCTTCAGTACAGTTAAACATTATGAAGCGATTTAGCATATTTTTGACTGGCACACTGGCATCTGCTTGTGTGGCTTATGTGTAAATGGACATCTGTGTAAATAGAAAGGTGATTTGTTCTATATTCCTCGGTGTCATGAGAGCTCTGTAACACCAATGATTCTCATTCCTGTGATAAAAAAGCTTTAATCGTGTCAACTTGTTTTCTGACATAAATCATTTAAATGAGTCAAAGTGTTGTTGACCAAAGGGAAAGTGTACTCAAATACGTTTAAATAACAGTAAATGAAATGGCCTTAAACGTCACTTGTTTTAAAATCCCAGTAAATGTCCATCTTTCTCTCTTTGTCTCTTGTGAGCCATCAGAGGAACAAGAAAACGGTGTTGCCTAGCAACAAGAACATCTCTGTCTCCCGCTGTCAGCAGTGGTCCAGTAAGACAAAGGGAAAGATAATTTATTAATTTCATGCATGAATCGTGATAACCAGTCAGTCTGGGCTTTACCTAAATCAACCTTCATCTAAGAAACACTTTGAACTTTAATTTTTTATAATGTTTTGTTCATTTTGTGTATTTCATCCAAAGAACTTACTTGGGTATTTTCTCCGAGGAAGATGGTAAATGGCCTGTAATTGATATAGCACATTCTAGAGTCCTGGAACCCCCCAAGGAGCTTTACAACACAATCAGTCACCCAATCACAGACACATTCACACTAACAACACTACAGTGTTTGTCAAAATGTCAGCAAAAACAAGGTAAAAACAACTGTTGCTGTGTTAAAAAAAAGAACCAAGTAATGTACATGAATCAACAACACTGAGCTGTATTTTTATTTTTTAGGAAAACAATGTTTACATTCTTATCTACAGGAATAACGTTCTATAGACCATTGTCATGGCATAAGTCCAGCTACAACTTTAAATTCACTGTTCATCCCCTGTGTAAACGTATAAAGCTCGAAGAATTTTACCTGCAAAAGGTCAGTGTCCAGCAGGGGGCAGTGTGAGAAGACAGCGCGCAAGTGGTGGAGCTCAGAATGAGAGGAGCTAGTCTTTTGATTGGAGGAAGACTTACGTCAACAAAGAAAGATGGCGGAAGTGGTGGAACTGCATAAACTGAAGGTTGGTAGCGACCTAAAATTACGATTTTAGTTTGATTTCACACCTTTATAAGTGACGGATGGGTGTTGATTTCTGTTTATTACAGAATGACGTAGTGGGTTCAGGGTAAATGGGATTAGAGGTTAAATCGTCTCGTCTGTGTGTGAAGGCTGAAAGCCGGCGTCGTGTGTCCGAGGAGCTACCGCTGCTAGCGCGCCGAAACATGTAGCTTTGCAACATGGGACGGTCCAACATATGATTTTATCAAGATATGACTAGATTAACGAAAAATAAAATAAATGATGGCATGATTAAATCAACCAGTGTTCAGTAGGGTCAGGTAACTATCAAATATTTCTCACGCTGTTAGATTTTACAGATCATCTGGTGGAGCAAATTATCTAATAAAAACAAAAATCTTGATTTGTAAAAATAAAATCCAGTACTTTTATAGAATAAAATAGTCACTGAAATGATACGTTTTAAAGCATTTCTGTTCTCATCATCCAGTAAAACCGCAAACCCTTCTGGCATATAAACGGGGTTAGCAGATCCAGAAGCTGCTCTGTTTTAAACCAGGTTCATCATTTGTTTTGTACAGCGTCCATTTCTACGCACACAAAACAAGCCTGTTTACAAACGGCTGCAACTCAAATGTTGACATTTGCTAATGATCCTAAAGAGGCTGCTGACTAGACTACTTTACTTACATTTTAAATGATTTAACATGTTTTCCTTCCCCTTCTTCTCATGACGCAGCTTGCTGAACTGAGGCAGGAGTGTGATGCTCGAGGTCTGGAGACCAAAGGGAACAAAGGAGAGCTCATCGCCCGACTCCAAGCATACCTAGATGAGCACGGTGAAGGTACTTTCAGTTCACTTCTCTTTATTCACACACACACACACACACACACACACACACACACACACACACACACACACACACACACACACACACACACACACATCTTCCATTCATTTCTGTGACTGTATAACCATTACCAATGCTGATCTATTCCTAACCCTAACTAAAACTTAATTCACACCATACCTCTAAAACCAACTGGTAAGCTTCTAAAAAAAATTAGGACCAGAAAAATGTCCTCACTTTGTAGGGAAAATGGTACAAATGGTCCTCAGTAGGTGGTGTGTACAAGAGCACACACTCACTCACTCACACTCACTTACTCACACACACTCACTCACTCAGTCATTCACTCTCGCACACACACACACACATTTGCATTGCTACTCATGTGGAGATCTGACATTGACTACCATTCATTTTAGTGACTGCATTATTATGCTTGTCCCTAAAAGATGACATTAACAGTCTCTTGTTTTATTGACATTGTTGTGTGTATTTTAAGCAGGGTGGTTTTGTAAAGTCTGTAATAATTAGAAGCACATCTGCTTTAATTAGAAACACGTCTGTAATAATTAGAAACACGTCTGTAATAATTAGAAACACATCTGTAATAATTAGAAACACGTCTGTAATAATTAGAAACACGTCTGTAATAATTAGAAACACATCTGTTATAATTAGAAACACATCTGTAATAATCAGAAACACATCTGTTATAATTAGAAACACGTCTGTAATAATTAGAAACACGTCTGTAATAATTAGAAAAACGTCTGTAATAATTAGAAACACATCTGTAATAATTAGAAACACGTCTGTAATAATTAGAAACACATCTGTAATAATTAGAAACACATCTGTTATAATTAGAAACACATCTGTAATAATCAGAAACACATCTGTTATAATTAGAAACACGTCTGTAATAATTAGAAACACATCTGTAATAATTAGAAACACGTCTGTAATAATTAGAAACACATCTGTAATAATTAGAAACACATCTGTTATAATTAGAAACACGTCTGTAATAATTAGAAACTCGTCTGTAATAATTAGAAACACATCTGTAATAATTAGAAACACATCTGTTATAATTAGAAACACGTCTGTAATAATTAGAAACACGTCTGTAATAATTAGAAACACATCTGTAATAATTAGAAACACATCTGTAATAATTAGAAACACGTCTGTAATAATTAGAAACACGTCTGTAATAATTAGAAACACATCTGTAATAATTAGAAACACATCTGTAATAATTAGAAACACGTCTGTAATAATTAGAAACACATCTGTAATAATTAGAAACACATCTGTAATAATTAGAAACACATCTGTTATAATTAGAAACACGTCTGTAATAATTAGAAACTCGTCTGTAATAATTAGAAACACATCTGTAATAATTAGAAACACATCTGTAATAATTAGAAACATGTCTGTAATAATTAGAAACACATCTGTTATAATTAGAAATACGTCTGTTATAATTAGAAACACGTCTGTAATAATTAGAAACACGTCTGTAATAATTAGAAACATGTCTGTAATAATTAGAAACACGTCTGTAATAATTAGAAACACGTCTGTAATAATTAGAAACACGTCTGTAATAATTAGAAATACGTCTGTAATAATTAGAAACACATCTGTAATAATTAGAAACACATCTGTAATAATTAGAAACACGTCTGTAATAATTAGAAATACGTCTGTTATAATTAGAAACACATCTGTAATAATTAGAAACACGTCTGTAATAATTAGAAATACGTCTGTTATAATTAGAAACACGTCTGTAATAATTAGAAACACATCAGTTATAATTAGAAACACGTCTGTAATAATTAGAAACACATCAGTTATAATTAGAAACACGTCTGTAATAATTAGAAACACATCAGTTATAATTAGAAACACGTCTGTAATAATTAGAAACACATCAGTTATAATTAGAAACACGTCTGTAATAATTAGAAACACATCAGTTATAATTAGAAACACGTCTGTAATAATTAGAAACACATCAGTTATAATTAGAAACACGTCTGTAATAATTAGAAACACATCTGTAATAATTAGAAACACATCTGTAATAATTAGAAACACGTCTGTAATAATTAGAAATACGTCTGTTATAATTAGAAACACGTCTGTTATAATTAGAAACACGTCTGTAATAATTAGAAACACATCTGTAATAATTAAAAACACATCTGTAATAATTAGAAATACGTCTGTTATAATTAGAAACACATCTGTAATAATTAGAAACACGTCTGTAATAATTAGAAACACATCTGTAATAATTAAAAGCACATCTGTAATAATTAGAAACACGTCTGTAATAATTAGAAACACATCAGTTGTCTGTATTATGTTCTTTACTATTGGAGTGAACACTGTGTTTGAGTCTTTTGGCTATTCCTGTGTTTGAAAGACTCCTGAACTTCTGGCTCCTTTGGTCTTTTTTTACAGATTTGTGTCCCATTTACTTTCTGTCTTCGTCATTTACACAGAGCATAGTCTCAGCGTGGTGTCCCACAATAAAAACTATCCCTGTGAAACAAGTAACTACTCAGCCTTAGACTTCCCCTTGGTTTAAAAGCGCTGAGTCTAATACTTTAGTAATTTAATGAATTGTTTCAGCCCAATAAACCAGCAGCATGTCGTCCTCAGACTGAACTAGATCAGTCACAAACTGGACTTTTCCCACAGATGGATCATTTTAAAAACCCTAAAATCATCCAACTGAGTCATTTCTAAGTTCCATTCAGGCTAAACTCCAGTTGTGTTCAGTTACACAAATGTAGGTTGTTTTCTTATCTTGCTGGTTTCTTTGGGTTCGCGTCCAAATGTCCTTGTCTTGTGTTTTTATTTGCAGAGGAAGATGTGGACTTAGACGATGTGCTGGCAGAGGACACGGCGGTAAAATGATTGATTATATTCTGACTATATTCTGTAGTCTGTTCTCTTGTTGTCAAAGATGTAGATTTATATTTGCAAAGGAAGACTTAAAGTTTCTATTTTCCTTTTAGGACTTCACTAAAGTTGAGAGTTCCAACACGGTGAAAGTGGACGAAGACACTGAAACGACTGCGAGTGAGATGTAAGTCCTTTAAATTTCATTTATCAATTTAACAAAGACGACCGGCGGGTTTTAGAGGTCCTCATCTGTGCCCCAGACAAGCTGGTTCCCAAAGTCAGAGACTCTCTTGGTCAGCTTGCTTCTCACACCAAACCCTTTGTCAGGAATCTTGATGTGACCTTTGACCCACCCTCTCACCCTGGATTCTCATGTCAGTTTTTTTGTACACCCTTCAATTAGGGCTGAACAATTAATTGCATGTGCAATTAAATTGCGATGTGACAAAATTAGATTTTCTAATCGCAAAGGCGATTTGACTGGCAGTGAGTGTTTAGCACAATGCTAATAAACATGGAAAAACCCATAGGGATGCTAATGCTAATATTGCTGATTACATTCTTACAAATTACAAATTAGGAACATGCCAAATGATTACATTTGAAGTCTAATAAAAAGTAAAAACTGCCATCAATCAAATAAGTACAGACAGATATTTTAGGAAAGCTAGAAAACTGTAAGAGACTTTAACTCCACTGAGCTTTGGCTAGCAGCTATGGACTTAGCTGAACTATGGAAGCTCTGCATGGACAAAACGCCAAAAATTCTAAACACAAAAGACTTCAGTAAACGGGACACACTTCTTTCCTGCAAATACATTCTCACAGGTGTTGCTAATACCTATGCTCCTTCAGGGGATGTGCTCCTCGCTGCAAAGCATCGCAGCTTCAAATACAACATTTTGTCTTTACTTGTGCTTATGTAAACTTGTTTTTATTCATTACAAGTCACATAGATTTATTTTGCGTCCGTTGGTTGAAAAATATGAGAAAAGCCCCTTGAGAAAATAATCATGAATTAAATTGCAATATTGAAGAAAAAAATCGCAATTAGATTATTTTCCAGAATCGTTCAGCCCTGTTCTCCACACCTTCATCTCCTCACGCTTAGACTACAGCAACTCTCTTTTCACGTGTCTGAGCAGAACCTCCCTGAACCGTCTGCAGGTGGTTCAGGACGCCTGTGCTCGGCTTCTGACTAAAGCTGCTTTCACACTGCATGCAGAACACATGCGGTCTGGTTTCCGCACGGCTTCTGCGTGGACCAGAGCTGCTCGAGTCCAATCAGAGCATTCAAACGTGCTGCAGTGTAGTGCAGATTTGGATGCGGAGCACCGGAAAATTTCCGTATGAAGTCTATTCTTTCAGCTAGCTTAAAGAGTAGATAGTGCTTGTTCATTGGTTCTTCCATGTGTCGACTCACAAGTCTCAGGGGTCAGATTTGTTGAGGTATCTGCTCACAGCTGCATCTCCTGATTTAGTTACACCCATTTCATAATATTTCCTCCTTTCAGACCTGCTGAGAAGAAGGTGGTGAAAATCGCTCCTCCATCATCTGCCAGCGACGTATGTATGGCATGTTCTCACACGGGGAAGCCTTTAATCCAATTTTAATCCAACTTTAGCATCAACAGGATTATTATGTCTGTTCTGAAGTAAAGTTTCTGCACAACAGTTACGAATATTCTCCATCTGAACAGCCTCTGTGTGGAGAAATGGTGTTTCTAATGGGAGTGATGACCTAACAGCTAGTCTGAGTGCAGCTAAGACCAAAGTGTTTTAAAGCGACAACGTGTAGTTGTTACCATTAATCTCAGCTGTTCTTACTTAATAAATCAACTTTTATTATCGTTAAGTTTAAAGTAAATAATTATTTGGGCAGAAATATAAAGGAAGGACGCACCTGAAGTGCTGCTGTTGGTGATTTTTAGACTTGTGAATGACCACACACCCAGCTGAAAAACCGGAATGTAAAATCAATGTTTTATGACATAAATTCATGATTTGCTGCGATGTTTAGAAGATTAGAGATGGTTTTAGATAACGGTGGTTTGTTTAAACTAGCCCTTAGCCTATCAGTCCTGAGGGAGGAAAATGCCATTTCTCTGTATAGAGGCTGTTCAGGAAGCAAAAGCAGTTTTAAGTAACTTTTACACAGAATCACACGAGGTTACTTTAAGGTCTATGGCAAACTGCAGAGGGGTTGGTTTTATTTTTTAGGTATCGCTGGTCTAACTGTCCAGCTGCCAGCAGGTGTTTGTCTGTTTGTTTGTTTGTTTGTTTGTCAGCATCATCTGCTCTGATTTTAAACAACTGGATTTAAATCTAAAGTACTGAATTGTTTTCCACCAGCAGAGACTACAGAAGAGAGCTGAGCGCTTCAACATGCCAGCCTCAGCTGAGAGCAAGAAGGCCATCCGTGCTGCGAGGTGAGGCTGAACACACACACACACACACCACACACACCCCGCAGGAGGATGTGTGGGTTTAGATCTGTGGAGCGTCCATTTGCATCTATAATTATTTTCTGTTGTTTTTATCTACTTTTAACTAGCCTGATTCAATAGTAGATTTGGGCTGTTTTTCATTAGAAATATTAAAAGATGCTGAGTAAGGAAGACATAATGCATTCCTTGAATGAATGCAAAGCCTCTAATTTAAATATTATCCCTGATGTGACTGGGAACACTGAAGGATTTGTTCCCACACTTCCACTGCAGCGGGCATGTGTCATAACTCTTTATTAAATGTTATATTTATATTAATATGGATCTGATCTGCCTTGTGTGTGCAGGTTTGGTTTACCTACTGATGCTACCAGTCCCTCTCCAGGTACTGACCCGGCTGTGTTCATAAATGCTAGAAGCAGAGTTAATAACCAGTAAAAGAATAACGTGATCCTGCTGTAGGTGATGAGGTTTGCTGATGTTTTCTCTCCCTGCACTCCTACAGGGGCTGTTGCCAACAGTAAAGCTGCAGTAAGTCCTGACGAGCAGATGGATCTTTAGATCCCCGGCTGGTGGAGTCCTGATGGGTTTAACGATTTATTTATGTCCTCTTTAGGTGAACCTCGATCAGCTGAAGAAGAGAGCAGAAAGATTCGGCATGAACGTTTCATCTGTTTCACAAAAGGTTGGTGAGCCGCGCTGCTTTAGTGTTGCTCTACACCTGAGCTGGATCTCCATCGGTCTGGGGTTTGGTTTGTTGTCTGGTCTCTTCAGAAACACGTCAGCTGTTTGTCTTTTGATCTTGAGGTAGATCAAACGAATGTAGTTGCTTGGCCACCTTAAATGCCTGGTTCACTGAGAAAACGTGAAGTGTTTGTTTTTAAATACGGTCACTCACTTCACATGCAGGCTGAATAGAAAAAATGTTCTTCAGCCCGCATCGCCTGCATTAGCCGCAGACGGGGAAACAATCGGGTCAGAAAAGGACGTTCTCTTCTAGGTCACTGGGAAAATTAGCATTCATGGCCCCGCCTACCTTGGCTTGGAACCAGGGAGGGATTCTTATTTTTATGTGATTATTTTGCAGCCAGGAGAGAGAGCAGAGCACTTTTTGACTAAAGCTAACCATTAGCATTCGTAACTCTACAACATGGCAGAACACGTTCAGGCTTTTGTTATTTGTAAAGATAAAACATAAACGTTGCATTTTTTACCCAAGAAAGAAGAGCAAACAAATGCATCAGAAGGGTTGTGTTGCTCATGCAGGGGACTGTTCTGTTCTGGTCCTGCTGGACCTGACTGCAGCCTTTGACACTGTTGACCATCACCGGCTACTGGAGAGGCTGAGAGACTGGGGAGGCCTATCAGGATCTGCTCTGGAGTGGTTCTCCTCTTATCTCTCTGAGCGCTCCTTCTCTGTGGCCGTCTCCCAAGTTTAGGTCCTCCACCACCTCTCTTACCCATGGTGTCCCACAAGGTTCTGTGCTGGGGCCTCTGCTATTCCTCCTCTATCTGCTTCCTCTTCAGCACATCCTGAGCTCCTTCAAAGGAATCTCCTACCATCTTTATGCAGATGACATCCAACTGTACATCTCCTTTAAGCCCCGTGAGATGTCTAAGCTGCAGCTGTTACACACCTGCTTAGACTCTATCAAAACCTGGATGGTGGGAGCTTTCTTCAGCTGAATGAAGATAAGACTGAGATCTTCATCTGTGCCCCAGACAAGCTGGATCCCAAAGTCAGAGACTCTCTTGGTCAGCTTGCTTCCCACACCAAACCTTCTGTCAGGAATCTTGGCGTGACCTTTGACCCAGCTCTCACCCTGGATTCTCATGTCAGTTCTCTTGTTCGCTCTTCCATCTTCCATCTCAGGAACGTTGCTAAGCTGAGTCCCATTCTGTCCCGCTCTGAACTTGAGACAGTTCTCCACACCTTCATCTCCTCACGCTTAGACTACTGTAACTCTCTTTTCACGTGTCTGAGCAGAACCTCCCTGAACCGTCTACAGGTGGTTCAGAACGCCTGTGCTCGGCTTCTGACCAAGTCCTCCAAACACACCCACATGACGAGCCGGGTCCCGTCGTTCACTTCTTAGAGCCGGTTCGTTGGAGACCGACACATCACTAAAGCTGATAAATCTCAAAGTACGTGACAGGCGTGGTCGAAACACACATCGTTAGTTTTCATTTAAATTGCAGGACAACGTGCGATCCAGGGCTTAAGGCAAAGCGGATTAGAAAATAACGTTTTTAGCTCCTTTGACTTGCGTTCATTTTTTCGTTCTTTCGGGGACCCGTGAGCCGACCAGAACTTAGACTCCCTATCATGAATTTAACGAGTAAGACTTCAAATCCTGACAGAACCCTGGAACAGCTCATCTGGAAGGTACTGAAAGTGTCCAGAATAAAGCTGCTGAGAGGGTTTAGGTGCTTCCTGGACATGTCTTGTACGGACCGTAGACCTGCTAGACATCTTCCTTTTAACATCATGTTATATAAAATAAATTCAGATTACCACTTTTGTTGGAAAATAATCAAATTCATCTGCATTCAGGACAGAAACGACAGATTTACTGTAACAAACGTTTCTGCCTCTGATTTATTTGTGTGATAATTAACATTTGGGGCGTTGCAGCTACTTGATTCTCTTTCACTGTTGTAGATCTGCTGCTGATTTATGACCCAGTCAGCTGTCGGCTATGGTTGTAAAAAAGATCTGTGATTGGTAAAGAAAAAAAAACAACTTAAACACAAAGTTTGAAGATATCTGTTCCATTAGCTGTAATAGTTGCTGCACCAGAGTACTGGAGGGTCTGTTTAATGATGGGGTGGAAGCTGTTTTTGTTCTCTTCCTGTTAAATGTGAACCATTTTAATAAATAATGTTTTGACACGTTATGATGGATAAGAACGCTATAATGAAACGTTATAATAAGTTTGTTTTTCAGGTTGTAGAGGATGAAAAGCTGATGAAGAGGAAGGAGAGATTTGGGATCCTAACGGGAATGTCGGCTGTTGGAGCAGGAGATGTGGAGGTAATGTTTATTGTTTGATTAGTAGTCAAAACAAGAGTAAATATATAAAAGTGCTGATTAAAATCTCTCATTCTTTCTTTTTTTTTTTCTCTCTGCAGGCAAAAAAAATGAAGCGTGCTGAAAGATTTGGAAAAGTGTAAACGGTGTTTTGTTTTTTGAAGTTGTGTTCCAGGCTGTGCAGCGTAGATTTCTGAGGAATAAATGATTTGTTGGGTTGTTTCAAACCAAAAGTACACTTAAATACAAAGTTCGATGCAACGGACACTCCCAGCGTCTCAGTCGTGTCCTACGTCTCTGGATCTATGAACGAAAGCAGGTTCTCTGTCTGGTTGCTCATTTGTTTTTATCTTAATTGAAATTTGAGGAGCAGCGTTTGATTTGGATTAAAAGAAAATCTGTTTTAGTTTTATTTAGGTATTTCCAATATTAAAGCCATAGTGAGTTAACTGCAGAATAACCGATCTCTTGCTAACCCACCTGTGACTGTTCGGTACTTAGCTGTACTTTTGGTTCACCGGCTGCTTGTACTTCAGCTTATCTGTTCCATTTTCTAACACTTTGTGATTTAAAATAAATTTTCAATTTTTTGACAAATCTGTTTAGTTTTGCACAAGATTTACGCTCTCACACACCGCTGCAACATACTTCCCCCCAAATTCCACTACCTCCGCTCCGCCACGAACTCTGCAGCAAAATCGGTCCCGTTGTAGTCAATCAGAGCAATTCCACTACTGCGGCCGTGCTCCGGCAGTGCGCCGCCCTCTGTTCCGGCAAAAATAGAATCGATCCTATTTTTGCCGGACGCCGGAACACAACGGACAGGAATCACAACCGCCCAACAGGAAAAGGAGCAAGCACAACTTCGGTTTTTCACAATAAATCGATAAACAAAAAGCGTTTTTTGTTTCATATGCACAGGTTTAACAACTTTTAACAACTATCAATGGCGGCTGAACTTTAAATGCACAAAAGTAAGCCATAAATACAGTTTCTACTATCAAAGTAGTCACACTTTGTTGATCCAAACACTGCTGATCTCTCAACACAAATGATGGGCAGATTAAACAGTTCATTTCAATGCTTCTCCCACACGACGGGTGTTTGGATCTAACTTCTGCGTTTATTGCTCGGACTGTATCGCAAGATCTCGAAAATCCCGCGCATGCCTGTTTGCCCACCTCAGGTCTCCGCACCGAAGGGGAGCCGTTGTAGAGCGGGTACCAGTTTAAATCATAGACTGTAAATTTTAAATTCAGTTCAGAAGCGAGCGGCTGCGGAAGGCGGGGGCGGGGCGGAGGTAGTGGAATTTGGGGGTTCATCTGCAGTGCATGTTTCTGTGGACCCTTATGGCGTGTACAGTACACTTACTGTGGGTTCAAATCAGCTTCGACTCCAGATACACCAATTTACTCACCAAGTTCAGTGCTGGTTTCGCTGCACTCTGTGGTTCATGTAGCCATTTAATAGGGGTTGACCTCTGACCTTGAAACAGGTTACTTAGTTTGTTTTGACCACCTTCTCTAATCTTTGTAGAATTGTCATTTGTTTGTCCAGCCATCGACTCGGAGCTCCCACTCACAAACACTCCCACTAGCAGCTTCTGTGGGGTTTGATTCGGTGGTCAGATTGATGACGACAAACTAAACACAGATCAGAGAACAAACGAAAGCGTGATATAAAACCTAAGCTGATATTTATTACCGCTGAGCTCAGGATGAAGTACATTCCGACACTCGGAGCATCGTAGAAATGAAGTTATTTATCACAGTTCATAATCACAACTTTATCCTAATGCACAAAACACATGCGCACACACCCCCCCCCCCCCCCCTCTTTTTCTAATTAGAGGAAGCTGCTGATCTTCTAGTCCTAACATGTTGACACAAACATAAATGAAGTGGTCAGGGCTGCATGCGGATGGCTCCGTCTAGTCTGATGACCTCCCCATTGATCATTGGGTTCTCCACCAGACATGTCACCAGGTGGGCGTACTCGGCAGGGTCTCCCAGGCGTGAAGGAAAGGGCACCTGGCGAGCGAGAAAGGAACGCACCTTCTCTGGAAGGCTGGTCAGGAGAGGAGTGGAGAACAGGCCTGCAGGAGGAGGAAAGACGGAACATCGCCAGAATGAGCAAGGAAGAGTGTAAAAGTAGACTTCAAGTTTTCTATTAGGTCGTTTAATCTAGAGTCTGCTTTTCTACTCTGATCTGACAGTAACCTACCGACTCAACACCTGAATCGTTCTGGTAGCATGAGTGTCCGCACTAACCTGGAGCTATGGTAACCACTCTGATGCCTATGGGTGCCAGGTCTCGAGCTATAGGGAGGGTCATTCCAACGATACCACCTTTAGAAGCAGAATAGGCCGCTTGTCCAACCTTGAGAATAAAAATAAACAAAGCTGTGAGCAGACTGAGCAGCGTTGTCTTACCTCGTCTTTCTAAAGTACCTGTCCATCGAACGCTGCCACGCTAGCGGTGTTGATAATGCAGCCTCTGTGTCCGTCTGCATCGGGCTCATTCTTCCTCATCTCCCCCACGGCAAGGCGGATCACATTAAAGGTTCCTGCAATATTCACCTGCAGGACAAGAAGACTCCAGAGTCAGCAGGGAAGCTCTCATTAGATGACTCGTTCTCTCTTCCGCTTACGTTGATAACGCGCTGGAAATCCTCCAGGCTGTGGGGGAGGTCCTTCTTAACGTTGTACGTTTTAGCAGCTACAGCAATGCCAGCACAGTTAACAGCTATGTCCAACTTCCCAAACTTCTCCCTGGCCAAAGACACAGCTGACCGAACATCTGCCTCTGATGTCACCTGGAAAAACGAGAAACATTTCACGTTGGTATGAATACATCCATGGACGTAATTTTTTGGGGGGACAGGGGGGACATGTCCCCCCCACCACCCCACCACCTTTTCCAAAGTCAAGTTTTGACCCCTGCACTTTTTACCATTCAAAAACAATATTACGCTATATTAAACTGACACTGGTTGAGCTCTAGGACCAAGCGGAAAACAACCATTTGTGTTGAAGTCTGTTTCTCATTAGACCATACTGTAAAGATACCCCCCCCTTCCCCAGTGTCCCCTCCACTTCTTAAGTGAAAATTACGTCCTTGAATACATCTGGCATAAAGAGTCAGAAAACAGGAAAAGTCAGGGTGAGTCAAATACAGGTGCTGGCCAGTAAATTAGAATATCATCAAAAGGTTGAAAATATTTCAGTAATTCCATTCAAAACGTGAAACTTGTACATTATATTCATGCAATGCACACAGACCAATGTATTTCCAATGTTCATTACATTTAAATTTGATATTCATAAGTGACAACTAATGAAAACTCCAAATTTGGTATCTCAAAAAATTTGAATATTCTGAAAAGGCTGAATATAGAAGACACCTGCTGCCACTCTAATCAGCTGATTTACTCAAAACACCTGCAAAGGCCTTTAAAAGGTCCCTCAGTCTTGTTTTGAAGGCACCACAATCATGGGGAAGACTTCTGACTTAACAGCTGTCCAAAAGACAATCATTGACACCTTGCACAAGGAGGGCAATACACAAAAGGTGATTGCTAAAGAAGCTGGCTGTTCGCAGAGCTCTGTGTCCAAGCACATTAACAGACAGGCGAAGGGACGGAAAAAATGTGGTAGAAAAAAGTGTACAAGCTCTAGGGATAACCGCACCCTGCAGAGAAATGTTACGACAAACCCATTCAAAAATGTGGGGGAGATCCACAAAGAGTGGACTGCAGCTGGAGTCAGCGCTTCAAGAACCACCACGAGGAGACTCATGAAAGACATGGGATTCAGGTGTCGCATTCCGTGTGTCAAGCCACTCTTGAACAAGAAACAGCGCAAGAAGCGTCTCGCCTGGGCCAAGGACAAAAAGGACTGGACTGATGCTGAGTGGTCCAAAGTTATGTTTTCTGATGAAAGCAAGTTCTGCATTTCCTTTGGAAATCAAGGACCCAGAGTCTGGAGGAAGAGCGGAGAAGCACAGAATCCACGTTGCATGAGGTCCAGTGTAAAGTTTCCACCGTCAGTGATGGTGTGGGGTGCCATGTCATCTGCCGGTGTTGGCCCACTCTGTTTCCTGAGGTCCAGGGTCAATGCAGCCGTCTACCAGGAAGTTTTAGAGCACTTCATGCTTCCTGCTGCTGACCAACTTTATGGGGATGCAGACTTCACCTTTCAACAGGACTTGGCACCTGCACACAGTGCCAAAACCACCAGCACCTGGTTCAAGGACCATGGTATCCCTGTCCTTGATTGGCCAGCAAACTCGCCTGACCTTAACCCCATAGAAAATCTATGGGGTATTGTGAAGCGGAGGATGCAATACGCTAGACCCAACAATGCAGAGGAGCTGAAGACGACTATCAGAGCAACCTGGGCTCTCATAACACCTGAGCAGTGCCACAGACTGATCGAGTCCATGCCACGCCGCATTACTGCAGTTATTGAGGCAAAAGGAGCCCCGACTAAGTATTGAGTGCTATACATGCACATTCTTTTCATGTTCATTCTTTTCAGTTGGCCAACATTAGAGAAACAAACATTTTTTCATTGGCCTTTAGAATATTCTAATTTTCTGAGATACCAGATTTGATGTTTTCATTGGTTGTCACCTATAAATATCAAAATTAAACGTAATAAACATCAGAAATACATTGGTCTGTGTGCATTGCATGAATATAATGTACAAGTTTCACGTTTTGAATGGAATTACTGAAATATTTTCAACCTTTTGATGATATTCTAATTTACTGGCCAGCACCTGTATGTGACAGAAATTCATGTGAAGATGAGATTGAGAACAGCGCCACCTGCTGTCCTGAAGAGACAGTTACACCTTTCCTCTCAGGACTCAAAAATAATACTGACCAAAAAAATACAGTTTTTTTTGACAAGATATTCAGGAATCCTTAATCAGCACATCACAGAAATGTTTGTCTTCCCTTGAAAAGCCTCGTCAGAAAGATTCTGAATGAGAAACAGCCGGATTCATCAAATAAAGGAGCAAGAAAAGAAAAGAAGAAGGTATAAATCTAGCCCTTAGGTGTGTACTCACACACAAAGGTGTGTTGTTTAGCTTGATTCTGACTCAATTAAATAAACAAAGCTGAATTTGAGAGCTCTTCGTGTTTGATTTCTAACTTTGGACAAATTAAAATCAAACGTCATCGCCAATCTGACAAATCTTCCCTGGGGGCTCAAGATCCAGAATGTCTCTACGACATAAATGTCTAGAAAGAGAATAACTTCTTGAAATTGATGAGCCTTTTAAGTAAAAAATGGTGGCATTTCCCTCGACATTAGGAAATGAGTTACTCTGCTGACTACATTAGTCCTGTTGGACTCACATCTGCAGGAGCAAAGGAACAGCGGTCCCCAAGACTGGATGCCAGGGCCTGTCCATCAGAGGACGGCAGGTCCAAGATGATGGCTGATGCTCCCATCTGCACCAGACGCTCCACTGTGGCCCTACCCAAACCTGAAGCTCCACCCGTCACCAGGCCGACCATGCCCTGCCGCACACACACACACACAGATATAAACATTTCATATATTAATTACATAAAATATTTTAGGATATTAAGCGTTTGAATTGACTTTTATGACACATTGGTTGATATTGTCACAAATGCCTCCAACTGGTCCCATTATTTATGTAACAGCGGATACTTAATGTTAATTTGTTCATAACGTCATAAAGGATTACCTTGAACATTGTTCTCAAACTAAAATCAAATGTAAGTACTTGCTGATTATTTGCACTTTGCTGTCTGGGCGGCACTGGCCCACTCTCGCCCACCCCTAGAACCGCTCCTGTGACCGTGATGGGTTACTATGTGATGTGTCTGAGCTTTTTACTGCTAAAACCATCGACATATAGCCTGGCAAAATGTAAATAATACATTTATTTAGTCTGGCCATGCTCCATTGACGGCTCTCAGTTGTGGGGCGGGTTCTACCGTTGTCTTTCAAATGATCTCCGCATTCCACTGGACAATGAATGTCACATACTCTTGTTTCACTCTGTTGCATCATCCCACCCACCAGGCATATAGAGTGCCCTGATTGGCCCACAAAGCAGATAAAGCTCTGTGATTTGTTCACTAAGCAGATAGAGCACTATGATTGGCCCACCATTATGGACCAATCACAGCTCTTTATGTGTTTGAAACCTCTCTAGAGAGCTGTGATTGGCTAGCCAGAGTCCTGGTAGGAGCTGCTGAGGTTCCAATGGAGCATGCCTAGACCATTCTTTGCAAAGCAAGAATTTGGTCTAGTTCACTAGGCTAATCGACATATATACTAAGGCTAAAACTGAGGCTATACTGAGGCTAAAACTCATTCATAACTAAAGTCTGACTAGTTAATAAGAACTTGAACTATGACCCCCCAATATGGCTGAACTAAGCCCACGGTGATAGCCTAACAATCAAACTACACGGAATGCAAACGGACCGCCATAAACAAATATCTATTGTAAACACGAGCGCTCAGATAAAACTTATATTTACTCATAATCACAAACTCAAGTCACGCAGCGCGACAAAGAGGCTGTTTTAACTATTTTCTCACCTTCACACATCGAATGTTCGCCATGTTTGCCCTAAACCGGAGATTGCGTCATACCAAAGATCGTGTATTTACAAGATGAATCACTTACGCGAAAAAAGACAAGCGAACCATTTCTGATGCTTAAAAAGTTGTGGACGTAATTAAGAAATTCTTGTTTTGTTAATAATATTTTAGCTAAATTCCGATGTCATCAAAAAAAAATTCAAAACGACGCTTGAATCTTATGTTTAGGACAATCGGACATTCAAACTTTAAGATAATTAAATTGTTAAAATTTGCAACACCGCGCATATGCTTGCTCACATGATGTAACGTGTTTATTTCCTCTCCTCACTACGAAGTCAACCTTGAATGTAAACCTTTAATTTATTTATCAACCAGTGTGCCGGTTCATTTTTCTAGCTCTTCTCTTGTTCTGCATGTGCAGATCACACACACACACACAACTACTACCAATAATAAGTCTTAGAACATTGTCTCCTTTTAGAACAGTGTATTAAATTTACCTCTAAAGAGGAAAAAGCCTCAATATTTCAACACTGCATGAATCTGTATTGAAATAAATGCCTTATTGTAATAATTCAAGCATATTGCTTAAATACTTTTGAAAAACCAGTTTTTTTTTTTAATTAATTTGCTCGTAAATTATTCTACTCGGGTCCATCTTTGAGTCATGATTCAACCAATCAGAAGACGTGTTGGGGAACACCTCTACAGATCCAATCAGAACACCTGAAGGAGGTCAGCTCAGGAGAGAGAACACCTGCGACCTCCTGAGACTTCCGACCGGGTCAGACCAGCTCACCTTTATCCATGTTTGCATCATGAATCCAGACAATAGTGAAAGGTTGTCAAAAATGTTTTATTTTACTGACAAACGTACAACCAGAGGCATTAGTGTGATCAACATACTTCTTACATGTCCCAGTAAAATAAAAATAAATGTTTAAGGATTTCAAGCACCTGTTAGAAACCTCATTTATGAACATGAAATGTCACGAGTATTTTATTTTCATCATTTACTAAAAAAAATTTAAATCACCTCTTAAATGCTGAAATCCATGAAAATAAATAGAAATGAATCATTTCCAACAGTCACCAATTCTTGTCATGTGTCTATGTGTGTATGTATGTCTGATCTCAGAATTGTGTGTACTGAAACTCTAATTTCCCTCTGGGATTAAAGTATTTTTGAATTGAATTTCACAGAATTAAACCTAGAATTGCTCGCAAACTCCTTTTAAGTTTGAATGCCAGATTCACCATAACAAAATATCAAAATTAACAAAATCAAAGCAGAGTCTAGGCAGTAAAAGTGGAACGAAGTGCACTGTGCTGCCACATTGTGGAAGGCAGTCAGCTGTATAGTTGCATCTCCAAAGCAGGGGCAGTACTATCTCCAACCCCACAACAACACAACTAACTACCTCACCACAGCACAGCAATCCTCCACAGCCCCCAATCTGCTTCTTGTTTGTTCCACAAGTTCCTGGGTTGTCTTCAGCCTATTATTGAAACAGATGTGTCAGGTTTGCTTGGAGCAGCAAGATTCTCCTTCCATTACCAGAGAGTAGATTTTGATTTTCTGCCAGCCAGAAAAATATAAAACATCTCACATAAAAAAACAAGATAAGGACCAGTGTAGGAGAATGAAAGTTCTGGTCACCATGACAACAGAAGATGTAAACCAGCCAGATGTGGCCTGATGATGTTGGCGTGGTTTGGTGGCTGTGAGAAAGACAGTAGGCTGTATAGTTATCTCCCAGATCTGGTATGATCCTAAAACTATACAAACTACTACCTCATCCCACAGCTCCCTCTCATCAGAGTTCTTCTGTCTCCTGAGTCCTGATCAGACGGAAAACCAATGCGGGTGTCCAGGACCAGCGCTGAAAAACAAAAGTACATTAAAACAGACTTGCGACACCGCGGTCTGACTTCACCCTGAACGTCATCAGTCTCTGAAAGCCCGCTAACTCTTCAGCTCAGGTTTATTTTGGAACTGGATAATGTTTTAAGGTTGTTAACATCGTCTGGTATTTGTGAATAAAACAATAAAAATATAAAAATATGTAGCTGTCGGAGCAACCCTGGTTTTTACCGACTGTTCCCGAGAGGCAGGCAGCCAGCAGCGTTAGCCAACAGTTAGCTGGATTTGGCGGTACCCTCTGCCTCTTCACTCCCAACTCTCGCCTCCATAGGGTCACACACACGTCGTTGCTATCGCCGCGGTGCTGCGTGGTTGTGAGCTTGGCGTTTCTCCCTAGCAGTCGGCATTAATTCGGCTCTAGCAGAGGCGGTGTACCTTAAGCCTCGGTGTAGCCCAGGTGGCTGCCAACGTCTCCGCCATTTTTCCGAGCAGAGCAGCATAGAATCAAGCCTCTGACGTCCAAATATCGCGATACTTAAATTGGGGCTCTTTAAGTGCGCCTGATTAAAAAAAAATCTTTAGTGTAAAAACAAATCAAATCATTACAATAAAATGTGTCTGAACCACACATAGGTTCTGTCTGATTAAACAGCTTCTGTTGGGCTTTAGGCTACAAAAAATGTCTAAATCTTGAAAACACAATTTTACGTCTGGGTTTGCTAAACGTGATGTATAAAATAAATGTCAGCAACATTAAGGATTAACTTATCTTTTAGCCAGTGTTAATCTTTTCTCTATTATTCAGACTTCCTTGTTTCATTTTTACCTTTACCTTTTACTTTTTTTCTCTTTTTAATGTGATCATCTTCAGAGGAGCTAAGTAAAAAACATGTTTTCATTATGTAGGACAAAAACAAAACAAAGTGTCATAAGTATAGCAAACACAAATGTCTACAGCACACTCATGTTTACAGATTTGACTAAAGTGCCTCAACTCCCATCATTTCTCAACTTAATTTTGGTTCAACACTGGCAGCAGCAGGCATAGGACTTTAGTGTTGTTTTGCCTCTCCAGAGAATGTAAGCATTGGAGTAAACCTTCACTATGGTTGTGGTGCAGACGTATCTTTGATCAGAGCTTTTACACACCATGTCTTTATGAGACTGTAGTAGTCCAGCTTAACCCCAAACAACCAAATCAAGACAGGACACAAAAATAACTTTTTTTTTACTAAAAGAATAAATTTTATTTCAGCACTGTAAGTCATTTCCCAACCAGTACAAACATGACTGCCATCATTGTCTCTTCCTGAACCTTTTCTCCCCTCCCTCTGTGAGATCAGACCACCAACAGCCAGACAAATTAAAAACAAAACAAAACTTTCCTTTCTCACCTTTCTAAAGACTGTCTGGTGCTTCCATAATGCTAACGATGACAAATTATACCAACCATAATTATAACAGCAATAATGATGATAATATTTCTATAACAATTATATTATGGATACATCTGAACCCTTTTTTTTTTTTTTTTTTTTTTTTTTTTGCTGCACGGGTAGTTTTGGGTGTTAATTCATTAGGACACACGCTGCTGAAAACTGACCAAAGTGAGAGATTGGTCCACAATGATCATCGTGAATGGGACTCAAGTCACTGGGAGGAGGTACGGAGATGTTATTGGGGAGCTGGGACTGGGACTGAAAGGGGGCGGAGGGAGTTGACAGGAGGGTAGGAGGCAGCAGTATAGAGAGACAGACAGAAATGAGGGACCTTTAATCAAACCAGACAAGATGCAGAGAGAATCAACTGATCCGAACACCTGGGATGGTTCCGTCCTACAGGCAGTTAGACGCGCGATAATACTGCTTCACTTCTACAATACTACATAAACACTTGAGTCTCTGGGACCTGTTCCCCTCCTGCAGTGGAGCTTTCTCCCTATCCTGGAGGCAGGTCAGTTCTAACCAGACTGGTGCTGCTGATCAGTCACGCAGGGGCAATTTCCTCTCAACACCTGAGCTCTCGTGTTGCACCTTCCACCGATCAAATCACACGTCTGCTTTTAAAGGACAGAGAAGTAAACATAAACAAACTCTAGTTTGCACTTACAGACCAAATTCATGATTCTGCATAAAATTCTAATGATCTTCCTTTAACATTTTACCATGTTCCTGGATGTGTTGAACAGAATCTCCAGGAAGGCTTCTCAGATTTGTGATTTAAGGAAATTTCACCCTTGGTGTCTGATAAGTGTGCGCGCCTCAGTCCAGGGAGAGAACGGGAAGATGAAAGAAAACTAATACGACGACTCCAAAACCCTAGTGCGAACGAAGCGTGTGGACTTGTGATCGCACAACTTTATATTCAGTCGGCAAGCTGGAATGGTGAGTGGAGCTGTGGATTTACCCAAACGTCTCTCTCTTGGTTGGATTTACCCAATCCTGCCTTGCTCACTAATGGCCTCCGTCCGTCTGCGTCTCTGTGACTGCCGCCATCACCTCACAAACTCGTCAAATGAATCACACGTGCTGCAAGGTCTTATCTACTCATAAAAACATCAGTTAACCCATCACTTAGAGAAAGAGAGAGGGCACAGACTGCTGATGTTGGGTCGGTCACGGGGAGAGGGAATATTAGGGATTCGTAGGGAAAAGGGATACAAGGTGTACTTTGGTTCTCAGATGTTCACAAGAGATGTTTCGCTGCTTTGTGCAAGGGAGCAGAGGTCAGCCTAGACTGATCAGGAGATACATCGTTATCAGGGACATTATGAGAATCACACATAGTGCAGACGACAGTTTTCAATTAGAAGAAATGGGCGATATTTACTCATACAGAAAAACGGTGACGTGGTCTAAAGATGCCATTTAACATACAGGTAAGGAGAATGGCAATCATTACAGTTCAAATCTCTAGGTTGGCTAAGCATATTTCAGTACTAACTGAAGCGATGGTAGAAGGTTAAGATTAGAAGATGTAATAACATTAAAAATAGTAAGAAAACACATTTGCACAATTGAATAAAACTGTTTAGATTTTTTTGATTTTTTTATCACTCTGGCTAGATACATACAGAAACTGATTATCGACGTTTATATAACCTTTACTGTTAGTTGGGCTGATTAAGGGGCGGGGCAGCCCAGAGAAAAGGGAGAGAGAGAGAGAGAGAGAGAGAGAGAGAGAGAGAGAGAGAGAGAGAAAACGGCCAATGAAACGGTCCTAAAGGGCTAACGGAGAGGCAGAAAGAGAGAGAAGTACGAGGAGGGGGTCATCTTAGTGAGTTTGTGTGTGGCTGCTTTTAATGAGCGTGTGTGTGTGTGTGTGTGTTAATGTGTATGCACTCTATAAGGGACAAAAGAGAGGGTGAAGAAAACAAGAGTACGAACAGGGATGCAAGATGAGCATCAGAACAGGGAACTGTTAGAACAAGAAAATCACTGATCAATACCTAATGAACTAAAATAGATGAAAAAGGGTCACAACACTGAGTGTTGTGTTGAATATTTTTACTCCAAACTAGCTACTGTGTAACTGGACTCAACATCAATGTATCAGCATGTCTGTATTGGTGTGTGTGTGTGTGTGTTGGTGTTTGTGTGTGTGTGTGTGTGTGTTGTTCAATCTGACACCAAAAGAGTGACATGTTTGTTGTTTTTTAAACCGTCTGTGCAGACTAGTCGGTGTGGGATCTCACAGGTCAGTAGAAAGTGTTACCAAGTGATCTCTGACGAACCGACGGCCACTCGACTAAACTTAAAACTGCACAAAAAATATCACCTCAGCACAAAAGCAGAGAAAATGCTGCTGGTAACAAATGCAACTGATGTTCTGGATGTGGTGTTTTGCTCGAGTGTGTGTTTGTATGTGTGTGTGTGTTTTAACCGCCATCTGGCGAGCGAATCGAGAGAGGGCGTCGGATACCGGATCACGCTCTGGATCGCCGCTGAAAAAGCCATCTTTGTTTATTTTCTCACAATGTACTGTTGAAATACACGTTATTTGTAATAATGTCAAAATTGAAACAGCTGAGTGTATGAGTACTAGTTATCCTAGACTTAGTATTTCGGCCAGTAGAGCTATAATCTCTAGTCTAGTCTCGGTGTTTTACGGTCCTGTGTCAAGCACCGACGCGGTTGCTCTTAACCTATAAACACCACTAGTCCCAACGTCACCGGCTAACAAGCCTGAACCTTTGATTTCATCTGGTGTTGGTGTAAGAGACGGCGATGCAACGCGGCGCCGCGGCGACGAGCGTAGGCCTACGCTCGCGGTAGGGGTTAACGTGTCACTGTAATGGCCGAGTTGGTAACAGAGGGAGATATCTGAAGTGACTACATTAACGCATACGGAGTCAGGGTTGTCGTCAATCCTTCAAAATGGCATTTCGGAGGAGCTTTGTTCGGTCAATTTTGTGGCACATGAATGAGCACAAGTCATCAACGTAGTAAGAAAATAAGGTGCTTCTAGCTGACTTGCCTTTTTTCATGTAAGCAGCTGACTGCAGTCTTTCTTAGTAAGTTTAGAGAGATCAAGATCATGGACAGCATCTCTCAGGCATCATCTGTCGCTTTACCGCTTTTAGACTCGCAGCTGTGCAACCAGTTATTGGTAAGTAAATTTCTCTCGTCTGATAAGACCTACTGTGGAAAGGGCACAATTCATCGTCTACAAACACAAGTGCTCTAAAACATTTCAATATATTAGACGTCTCGGGTATTGAGCAGCACTTCCTGTGGAGCCTCTCGTGTCTGAAGGAAGTAGTTCAGGGCAGGTGAAAGGCTTCCTGCTGATCTAAAGAGACACCCAGAGTTCTGGGTATTGTGAGATCAGTTGTTTGATCACCACCGGAAGATGGTGGGACCTGTGGGGCTCCGCTGCCACACCCATTACCGGCAGTTTTTCTGACATATACTTTGGAAAGAACTTTTCTTAAACTCTGAAATGATTCCAAGGAGTCTCTGATCTAACCAGGACCCCTTTCAGCTTCTCTGTAAAGTTCATGACTGAATGCACGAGGCGTGTCGCCCGGCAGCAGTTGCTTGAAACTCTCAAAATCCACCTCCCTCTACTACTGGGCAGCGTCATTCTCATGTTTTTTTTGGCCTCGAGTTAAAAAGGTGCCTCAGTTTATTTCTTTTCTTCCTTTTTTTTACCTGGTAGAGGACTATCCAGTGTGGTTGATTTGTTTTTCTTTTTCAACAAAGTGCTTCTTTGTCAGAAACCACTCTGTTCACATTCTGACGTCTCTCAAATAGATCTCTACCTTTTAAACGTAATTCTACGTGTTATAAAGATTTACTCAGGAGCAGGGGGCGTCCCTGGCAGAATGTCGATTCAACCATATAGGGGCTTTTTCAAATTCATTATTTAAATACAACAATAAGTGCTTCTGCTGGGTAATACAATCAAAGCTTTAGGACAAAAGGACAAGGGGGAAAGGACGATCTTGCATACTTCAGGGCTTAAGGTGCATCAATTTACGGGGCTTCTTAGCACATCTAAGCACTAGGCTATGCTACATAGGTCAAAGTAAGATAGCACACTATAACCACGATGGTGCAGAAGTGCTCCAGTGATAAAAATCCAATCAATCCATAAAGTGGGGGGGTTTCCGCTAGCACACACGCTAACACTGTGTGTGTGTTGGGCTTGGGGGGCACAGAAGAATGGTACACCACTGTGTTGAAAACACTCCTACGTATCAAGAGTTAAACTCTCAATTTGTCTTAAACGTCTCACAGGATGGCTATGGCATCGAGCCGCATCATTCTACAGCTACTGACCACAGCGACCAGGCATGGCGACCGTAACCATGGAAACCACCTCCAATCAGTCACTGCTTTCCAAACATCAGTGTGCACATTCAGACAATGGGACCATTAAAAAAAAACTTTTAAAAACTTGAGCTGTACAGAAGCCCCTACAGCAGGGACTGGGGGCTCATATAGGTGGCGGGCCATGATGGGCGGGGGGGGGGGGACTTCAAGCTTATTTCGCTCTGAGTGCAAGAAAGTGACATTTAGGATATTTTTTCTTTGAGAAGTAGTGGGGCGCTTACAGATTCATGGAGAAGACCTTTCTTCATAAAACGATGTAAAACCACATGAGTAAAATAAAGGGGAGCAACAGCTAACCGCTTCAGTCGATCAAATGGAGCGGGAAGAGAATGGAGGAGCGGCCCAGTTTCACTTCCTGCTCCATTCGATTTAGAGTGCAGCTAGCAGACAGGGCTACAAAAACAGGGAAAGGCAGTCGAACACAGATTACTCTCTGAGAGCAGTGCATCCTGGGTAGGATGCCATCACTCCTCCTTCTGTAGCGCTCCGTCTGACGGGCAGTCGTCAAGGCAACAGGGGGCCTCCACTTCCACCCCCTCTGATTGGTTGTCTCTGCTGGCTAAGGCACACGGGATTGGCTGGGCCAGGGGGGCCAGCTCCAGGGGCTGACCGATGGCGGAGGCTGCTGAGCTGCCGTTCAGCTGCTGACTTGAGACCTCTGGCATGGAGCCGGCCTCCTCTGAGGGCTTTGTGGGACTGCTGGGTGGGGGAGGTGATGTCTGAGGGAGGACAGTAACGCCAACACGCGTTAGAATAACATACAAACCAAATAAACAGCTAGTATTCACTGTTTCGGCGCTGTACCTGTGTTCTGTTGACAGGTGCCTTTTTCCCTCCCTTTATTTTTGCTGGAATCTCTTTTCCCCTCCTAAAACACAAAATACATTAGAGTTCTTCACCAACTCACTCTCACTTCAGCATCATTACTAGACTCAAGAGCTGCTGCAGCCTAATATTGATCAGGGGTCTAAAGACATGTAAATGCTCCAAACGACCACCGTACAGACCCAAGGAACAGTGCTGAAAACATTAGTCCCACATTTTTATTCTCATTAGCCTCGTTTCCAGAACCGGGACTTCAGGGAGAGACGATGTCCCAGTCCGCTCAGCTGTTGTGTCTCCATTCAAATGTAGCTCTTTCAGGACATCACAGACTGTAACTATGTACATCCCTACCAGGTGGCATGGTTCTCTGGCAACTAGTTTAAAGGTCAACAGTTCAGCAGCATCAAGGTCAAACAAGAACACCAGAGTCCCCCTTCCTCTGAGCGTGTTAGCCAAGACCAGGTTTAAACTTCTCTAGCCAACTCTGCTCCACTGCTGCGGAGACTGAGGGACATATCCTTCAAAGGTCACATCTGAATGAATTAAACGGTCTTCTCCATTACATTAAAGGTTGCTTAATCAATGCATCTGCAGTGGTCTCTAGTAGGAATGAATGCCTTGTAGGTCGTGAGCTGATGCAGGAGTAGCGATGGGTACCAAATTCGGTACTTTTTAAGGTACCGACCGAATTCCATAGTACCGACCGAGCACCGATTCACGTCATTTGAAACGGTGCCTCGTTTCGGTACCCGTCCTTCATAACGAGAACTTGCCTAGACAGCTGCGCATGCGCAAGAGCGTTATGTCATCAGTCGCTGAGAGCCAGTTGTAAACAGAGCAGCATGGTAGAAAGAACGCACGCTAACGCTTGGGTCCACTTCACTAAATGTGATGGGTAACTGGGTGATGATGAAACCAGCGACAACGATCTAAGTGAGACATCCTCATCTTAATCTGCTCCGGTAGGTAAATAAAATGTTAAAGATAACATTAGCTTGATATATTAGCTCCCGTTACGCTAATGGTGCGTTCGCTTTCTCCTCGGAACTCCGAATTTCCGACTAGAAGAACAAGAACGCGCTCTAAAGTTTGGCTTCACTTTACTAAATGCGACGGGTGATTGGGTGAAGATGAAACCAGCGACAACGATCTAAGTGTGAGGCATCATCGTTTTAATCTGCTCCAGCAGCTAAATAAACTGTTTAAGATAACGTTAACTTGATATGTTAGCTTCCGTTGCCGCCATTGTTATCAGCTAATGGTGCGTTCGCTTTCTCCTCGGAAATTCTAACTTCCCAGTGGGAAAAATCAAATGAAAAAGGACAGCAAAAGGAATGAAGATACACAGTAAATTTAGTTCACAGTAAAGATGTTTGCTTCAGTTTAATTATCAGCTTATAAAACTACAAGGACGATGTTAAAATACAAACAGTTGTATGTTATTTATCGTATTTATCAAATATTGTTATATATTGAGAAAAATATATATTTAATTATAAAAGAGAATAAAAATAATAAACACTCAAAAGTATCGAAAATTGGTACCGTTAAGTACCGGTATCGATTCCTAGGTACCCATCCCTATGCAGGAGATAGGTGTTGAGACTGTTTTCATGTTCAGCCTGCATAAAAACTCAAGAGTGACCATCAATAATGAGAAATAATCATTTTAAATGTTTTTTAAGCAGCACCGAGTAGCGAGGTGACACTCCTGCTCATCAACCAACGCACTGGCAATACTGGAGGTGTTCATTCAAACTCCTCTAAGAATACCAATGACTGTGATGGTATAAATGTTGAAACTCACCCTTTTCCTGATCCCACCGACACCACCTGCATGTTGAAGCCACCTCTGCCACGGACCGGTTTGTTTCCAGCCCACTGGCCGACTACCATCCCAGCGATCTCCAATTTTCCTCCTTGAGGAGGGATGGACTGAATGCCTGAAGAGGAAAAGACTTTACACACCTCTCTAGAGTATTTTTACCTAACTTGGTATTACTGACAGATGTTAAACATCTGTCAGCATCAAACAGTCTGAAGAATCTAAATGTTTCCATGAACCTGCAGACATGTTTAGTAAAATGGAAGCTAGTGTATACCTGGGAAGGCTCTGGGTCTGTGCTGGGCGGGGTGATGTGGATGGTGTGGGTGATGGTGTGTGGGCATGCCACCCATCGGGCGGGGTGGGTAGAGGGGCATTGGATAGAAGGGGGGCACCATGGCAGGGGGGAGGAAGGCTGGAGGTGGAAGAGGAGGGGGAGGAGGGGGAGGGCGGGAGAGATTAATGCCCTCCAGAATGGCCTGACGCATCTTCTCAACCTTTGACACCAACTCCTCCTGAGAAAATGAAACATTAAGGACCGTAAATAAATAAAATGCGTTGACAGTTAATTCCTTTATCTCCGTTTCCACTGACAACATCAGGATGGGAGGGGACACTTGCTTCATACCTGTCCCTCACACATGTCCAACAGGGCAGCGCGGTCTCGAGCGGCCCGTGCCAGTTTGCTCTGGAACAGCTTGCCATCAAAGAAGCCCCAGGGGCAGCAGTGTTCCCATGGCAACGGCTGGCCACAGACATCATTGATGAACAATGCCGTGTCAACGCCAGCCATGAAGAGAGCAGCTAGCTGCACGCCGCGGGCGTCCACCTTCTCCACCTGACAACGACACACAGAAACCGGCAGCATGGATGAGTAAAGACGTTGCAGAGATTTGGTAAATCCACTCACAGTGGAACCTGTTCAAAACCAAAAGCAGAGTTTCTGCAAAGTTCAATGAGATCGGAACTTCAGAAAAGGGAATTGCTGAGTCGACCACCTGATCTGAACGGCATTAAATTATTCTCTGAGAACAAGGTAAGGAACCTTGGTGTTATCTTTGACCAGGACATGCCATTCAAATCCCACGTTGAAGAAGTTTGTAGGATTTCCTTCTTCCACCTTTAGAATATTAATAAGATTAGAAGCATCTTTCCCAGGAGTGATGCTCTCTCCTGCTTCACTACATTGGCTGCCTGTTAAATTTAGAATAGATTAAGATTCTAACTCTATTTTTACTCCGTGTTTTTATCTTCAGAAGAAGCTACTATGGTGTTCCGCTGAGCTGATAACATTTCACCTTCTTTGACATGGAATGTGCTACTGCTAGTTCACCTGCTGAATAAATTATAGACTCACTAAGATAAAGACAATAAAATGTATCTCTTACTAAATAGAATACTTACTAAGAAATCACAATGTAAGTGTAACGTGTGTGTGTGTGTGTGTGTGTGTGTGTGTGTGTGTGTGTGTGTGTGTGTCTGCTCTGTCTTCTCCATCCCCAGTGAGTCGTGGAGGATGGCTGCTTATTCTGAGCCAGGATCCTCTGGAGGTTTCTTCCTGTTAAAAGGGAGTTTTCCTCTCCACTGTCGCTGCATGCTTGCTTAATATGAGGATTGCTGTAAAGACTGACACTAGTCAGTGACTCGATTTAATCTGCTCGGTTCCTTAAAATAGGAAACTTTTTACTGATTGGCTTAATGAACTGACCTGTATTCGAATGTTTTACTATGCAAAGTGCTTTGAGACGACTCTTGTCGTGATTTGGCGCTTTATAAATAAACTGAATTAAGACAAAAATGACTCAAATTTAGAAGCAAATCCCCCTTTTTCCTAAATGAATCAGGTAACTTAAAAATGTAAATGAGAGGCTATAACACAAACACACATACTGATGCAACGGATCATCATTGATCCGTGATCCAAATGCATCTCTCTCTACGATTCGGCACGCATGCGGTTCGCAGATCGGTCACGTGGAGGAGGGAGGCGCTAGCTGTTAAGTCCAAAGGAGAAACACAGCGGTGGTCATGGCGGAAGAGCTTGAAAAACCACTTGCATCGTTTAGGTCACATGTATGACACAACGATGATACAAACACTGAAAATGTACACGCGCCTCCACTCTGATCGCTGTGGAAGAAGGGAGGGGGTGGTGCGTGAAACTTGCCTTGGGCAACAACATAAACATGACGGGACCTGTCTGGTGTTGGGGACAAATCTGTTAGAGGACAAAAAATAAATAAACCACGCATCAGAAAGGTGAGGAGACGAGTGAAAGCTGGACACGGATTGAGAGCGTGTCTTTATAGGGCAAGTCGTTCTAATATTTAATCAGCAACCAGACCTCTCTGTAACTCCTGCTTTTATAACAAGTTGCAAATTGAGCAAAAAATGTTGCAAAAAGTGTTCTACAAAATAAAGGGAGAGAGCAAAAGTATTTTTTCCTTTTTGCTGATGAACGTGACTGAAAATCGTGATATGATCCGAACCGTGAGATTTTTGAACCACCAATAGTATCTTAATGTAATTTTAAGACTTCATATGGAAAGTCTGGAGGTATTTAATATGGCTTCAGAGATTATTCAAACCTCTTGTGACTCTTTAAATAACTGCAAGCACCCTGAGAAAGACGCATTAATCTGTTCATGGATCAGCAAACCCAGATAACAGAACATTAAGCAAAAAAAAAACAGCATAGAAACTAATTAGAGAGAATATTTTCATCCGTTAGATCAGCAGAGTTCCAGCAAGCGGGCTGAAAGTCCTCAATGGCCACAAAAATGTTTTCAGTGCCAATAAAACAACTCACCAATGTTCTTATTATGATATTAAGCTGCTGACTAAAGGATATTTTAATGTACAGAACAATACTTGTTTTTGTAAAAAGCATCTTTAGAGTCGGACGTTTTCTGCTTCCCTGATCTTGAAATAATCTTATTCTATTATCAGCAAACAAAAGCCTGATTAGAGACAAATACATTGTACTCTACCTAACCTTTTCATTTAAAAACATAACTGATCTCATTTTTGTAAGACCTCAATGTTAAAAGAGTCCCGCTGGAGGGATCTGGTTCTATCGTCCTTAGCCTGAAACCCCCTGAATCCCTGGTGGCAGTAGTCTGGACACCCCCGGAGCACTAAACAGATAAATGATGTTATTTAAACAGGGTATCTGCAGGTTTAAGGGAGCCAAATTTAAGACTTTTTAAGACCTTTTTTAAGGCCACTTTGACCAAATTTAAGCTATTTTTAAAATTTAATTTAAGCTATAATTTCCAGCTTTTGCCAGGAACCGGTGCTAACCACGTTACGAACGTGGGATTAATCATCCAGTTACCATTAAACTTGCACTTCCCCATGGCGCAAGCTCTCACTAGCTTAACCAGCTAATGTGCTCATCTAAAAATAGCCGCCTTTCACAACCAACTGAATGTGCACGGTTCCGCTTACGCCAACATCGTACACAAAAAAATGCTGAACACTAACTAGAAATTCATGAAAATTTTATAGAAATAAAAGAATCTTGTTTAGTGGGCCTTTGGTAATTTAAGACCTTTGGAAACTGTATTTAAGGATTATTTGTCATTTTTAAGGATTTTTAAGGCCTTAAATTTGGAAAAGCCAATTTAAGACTTTTTAAGGACACGCGGATACCCTGTTAAATGATTGTGATGAGTTCTCAGTTGTGTCATTCTGAAATGTTAAGATAACTCCTGCACGCGTTCCTGCTTCATTCATGAACATGATGACCTGACAAGTTTTCTATTTTAAAGCATCAAAAGTCTTGATACCATGACAGACCGGGCTGAAGTTGTAGCCCCATGACCTAACATCAGCGTCGGTCCCACAGGAACGAGCAAAGCCTTACCTTGAGCTCCTGCAGCTGGTCGGGCTCATAGAGCTGGCTGGAAACAGCTTGGGCTAGGAAGGCATCGAGCTCGTGTCTCTGGAGGATCCGTGCACCAGGCCACTGCATCATATACCTGAGAGTGACGGAGAACAGAGTCTCACTTAACACACACACACAGATGCTCATAGGGCACCAGGGGAACGTGGGAGTGATGCTACCTGAGCACACAGCACATGAGCAGGAGATGCTGTGGGACTTGTGCTGGGTTTAGGAGAGCTGGGCAGTCAGAACGGAGGCAGGCCAGGAAGGCTCTGGTTCTCCTGGAGCGGTCCTCACTGGCACGACCCAACCACAGGCGTCGCAGGTTGGGACAGGTCCACTCTCGGAAACACAGGGCCGGCACCAGCTCTGGAGTCAGGGCCGACTTGGCTTTACCACAGCTCCACTCTTTGACAATCACTGGAGGAACTGGAGCACAAGAAGAAAGATTATCTGCTGAGCATTTAAAAAAGTTAGTGTCGGTCCCTAGCGTGTGTCTGGGTCTGAAGGCCTGATGCTGCTGAATGAGGAAGAGGTTTAGGGTGTCATTGGCCTCCAGTAATAAGAATCAGTTAATCAATGTCCATGATTAATAGGCTCCAGGATCATTCAGAACTACTGTTATGGTGAATCTGAAGGGTCAGCGATGGTAAAGGTGATTTAGAGAAAAGAACCAAGAGCTGAAGGTTATTTAGGCAGTCGGCTCACCGGTCCTCACACATGAAATATTTACCAAGAAAATCAAGAAAAAAATCAAGTTCCAAACAAACAGCAGCAAGGAAATCTGCTGGACGTGTGTGTGTGTGTGTGTGTGTGTGTGTGTGTGTGTGTGTGTGTGTGTGTGTGTGTGTGTGTGTGTGTGTGCACATATTTTACCCATTTTATCCATGAACAGATGACTCTAAACATAACAGTGTTTTAACAGAAATTGGAAAAATATTAAAGTTTTTCCATAATGAAAAGCTTCTTACTTAATTCCAGGATTTTTATAGGACTTGTGATTTTGTGTTGAGTTGTTTTAGTTAAAGGTGAGTTTATAACGAGACATTAACCTGCTACTGTTTTCTATCATCTTAATGTTTATTATTTTCATTAGGGATGCTCCGATCTGATCACCTGATTGGAAATCGGGTCAGATGGTGTGATTTTTCAGGAAATCGTAATTAATCATTTAAAACAACAAACATTACTATTTAAATTCGTTCTGGGAAAGATCTTTTCTAACAGAAAACAGTGGTTTAGTTTTAAATCCAACAAGTTCCTCCTCTACATCAGTATTCTTTGTTTCACAAACAATGCTGTAAGCTCCACAATTTAAGGTAGACCAGGAATTCACACACCATAAAATTAACACAAAGCATAGTTGTCACCTCAAGCGAGAAAATGTCTGTAATTTGGATGCATTTTTAAATGAACAGCAAAGGGAGTGTAATGAACACGTGTAATGTGTACAAACTGGGAATTTAACAAGCTAGAAAATGTAGAGCTGACGTGCCACCTTAAAAAAAACTGACCCTGCTCAGTCCGCTGCAGCAAGTCAACACCAAAAGATACATCTAAGAAACCAAAAAATAGTCACGGACAGCAAAAATGCCAAGATAGCAGCGTATTTACCACACCGGATGAGCGTCTTCGAGGTTCTGCTCTCCATGAATCGCAGTATGATCTCATTTCTCTTCCTAGCTTTACAGACACGGCAGCTCTACGGGTGTTTTGTAGAAAAAAGTTACGCTGCTGCTGAGCTGACCGTCATGTGGCGTGCCATCCCTGTCGCTGAAGACAGCCGCACACTGACTAAAAGATCTGAGGTATGAGCAACAAGGCTACTTTTACATTTATTTTTAATATCGACATTTCTTATAGAAAGAAACATATTAATAATTAAAAATAACTTAACCCTCCCACTGTCCTCATGGGTGACCCCGTCAGGAAAGTTGACCATTGAGCAGGGTTGATGGTTTATCCCTTGTGTCCACGTGGCAGGGGTGAGGTGGTGCTCACTCCTCACCCCTGCCACGTGGACACAAGGGATAAACCATCAACCCTGCTCAATGGTCAACTTTCCTGACGGGGTCACCCATGAGGACAGTGGGAGGGTTAAAGGACAACTCTAGTGGGTTCTCCTTTTTTCTTAATGCATTTCTTAAGTATCGGATCGGGACTCGATATCGGCAGATTCTTAAAATCAAATGACTCGGAATCGCATCGGGAGCAAAAAAAACGTGATCAGAACATCCGTAATTTTCATCCATAAACATTCAAGACATCAAAAACCAGACATGTGTCCAGATGTTTGCTTTGTACCAATATTAAAACCTCCCAAATCAGAAAATAACTGCGTTTCCAGAAAACCCTTCAGCAGTTTGAAGCCAGCTTAACATGTTATGGCTGTGTGAATGCCACGTTTGTCAAACACAATCGTACTAACCACCAGCTCAGATGAGCCACGTGTGGTTGGTCGGGCGTCTGATCACAATGAACCCACCTTCCAGAGGAGTCCTCTTGCGGAGAGCGAGCCTCTCCAGGCGGCGTTGTGTTTCAGCCAGACTGAAGAGGACGCCGTACGCGTACTGCCTAGCAGCACGGAACAGCAGAGAGGCGGGTGGCAGCTCTGAGTTACACTCGTCCTCTATACACACTGGCATCTTCATCTCCCCCTGTGGGGCAGGGCGGACAAAGGATGAGTAACAGAAGAGACTGATGTCGGTCACTGACACACACAAAAACCCAAACTTTGTCACTGAGGAAACGATCAGCATGAAAACAGATGGTCTAAGGTTGTTTTGGTTTTGGAGACCATCTATCTCCAGATTTCTGCTGGAAGTGTTAGCAGCGCACAACATAATGTCGCGTTTAATCCGTGAGATCAGACACCGCAGATCACGTGTGATTTCGGCAGTTCACACTGTAACTAGCAAGAAAAAATGATGGCAGCATATGTCCAAAAAGGTCTATTTTCTGTCCTGTTTACTTGGGTACGGAGGCGTCGACATCCCTAGTATTCATAGGTGGTGACAGCTACAGCTTATAAGCTTAACCCTCTCATATTCCAGCCAAAATTGACAAAGCTCCACGAATGAGAAGGAAAACGTCTTTAAAGAACAAAAGAAGTCCAGCTGCTTTCATTCTAACCCCTTTTGATTTTGTAGAGTTAAAAGAAAAAACAAAAAAATTATGAAGTGCTTCTTTCATTTGTCTACAAACGTCCACCAGAAACTCGTTTTGGACTGAAAGCAACGATTCGACCATCCGGTTGTTGGCACTGCCAAACCGCTGCACTTCCCTGAGTCCTCCACGCGTATTTTGCAACTAAATGGTGACTGGTGTTTAGCACCATCTTGTTTCCTCTGGTTTCAGGTTCAAGCAGCATACCCGAGAGGAGGGGTGAGTGTTCTGTGACCTTGTTTGCATTCAAACCTTGCTTTTTCTGTAGATTCGCTAAAGCAGCCTTAAGTATTACTGCTGATAACTCGGGTGTCACATTTACAGAAAAGGCTCTTGTACTGATCCAGGTTTTGGACCAGCATGGTGAAACACAAATGTATAACCACAACTAATAAAAAGTCTTTACCTTGGTCAAAATGTGGTAAATCTGGGGGTACATCAGTCCTCTCCTATGTCTGTGTTCAGCTACACGAAGAACCTCGGCACTGACCTGGAGGAAAACAAGCAGACTTACTTAGGTTTAATTAACCTGTAAACAAATGTATAGTTTAAACCAAATGGCCACAGTGAACATGATGTAACACAGACTGATCATCTCAATCCACCTCAGCCATTTCCAGCAACAAAGTGTTGGTTTATGTCTGGAGTTCACAGAAGCCAACTGGACTAAACCTCCCCTGGTCAGGTGACACCACTCGAATGTCACACGTATTTCTCTAAACTTGGGGGGGGGGGGGGGGGGGAACACCCCATCTCCTCAATCTCACCTGAGGCAGTGGGGGTGTGGTTATGTCCATGTGACTCCGTGTCGCCATTGATAATAGTGACGGAATGTTTGACCCGCTCCCGTTGCCTTGGGAACCATCTCCAGAGGTTGGACCCCCTCTTCCATTAGGATCCTCCCACCGAGAGGATTTGTCTGTCAAATGGCTGTGAGGGAATAGTCGGGGTGTTAGTGTTACTGTAGCAGAAGGGAGTCCAGATGAGCCACTAAATAAACCAAATCTGCTTCAAACGTGTTGAAATTCAAGGTAAAACGTGTTCTTTAAAGCTGTAGGCGAGTCAGCAGTGGTGGCCAGGTCACTGCCCTTCAGCCCCAGGCCTGGGCCCCACCTCCCTGGGCTCACGTGTGTCAGAACAAGCTAGTTTTATTTAAACAGCAACAAAACTCAATTTATGATTCGTTAAAAAGCTTTTTTCATTGACAACTTGATCTAACAGAAGGCATTTATTTTAAAAACTCTAAAATCTTAAAATCAGGCCCTACAACTTGATAAACAGAGGAAATGTGTAACTGCTACTTTACTTTGCGTTGCTGTCATTTGGTTCATCTCCATCTGATGATGAAGAGGGAGATGGAGAGGGACCAGACTGAGTGCTGGGGTGATGATTGGGTAATCGACTCCCCCCTTGTGTCGAGTCGTACGGAGCTGACCAATCAGAGAAGCCCATCTTGGCCACCAGAGAGTCGTTGCAGTCCTGTGGTGGTTGCTGTGGGGTGTGGAACAGCGGGGTGGGGCCAGGTCCAAATGGAGCATTTTGAAAAGGTGGCTTTAACCCTGGACCCTGGGGGAGAGGAAACTGGAATTGGACAGGGAGGACAAGGGAGACTTTAAAAACGCTTCGTTGCATTAGCACACAAACGGATTTCAAAAAGCATTCCGTCCATTGCTCACGGCTACATCTGGTCTCACTGGAGCTGAAAACCACAAGGTAAAGGTAAAGATCTACCTGATTCTTTCCGATTGGAATCGGTCCCATGTGGCCAGGTGGTCCCACAAAAGGAGTGGGCCCAATCCCAGGTACTGAGCACAAAATAACATAAGTAAATAAAAACAAGAAACCATGTTTCTGCTCAGCTGGTTTTGTAAAACCATAACTAGCATGCGTAAAAATAAGGATTACGTAATAGATCTGCGAGTTCATTACTCACAGATGAAAGAGGAAGGCCCCATGTTAGGTGAGCGTGGTTTGGAGGCAGCGGAGAAGTACTCCACAGCTTTCTTGAATCGCTCCACCTTGTCCTCCATACGTGACTGCAAAGCAAGCAGAGCATGATGCTGAGATCATTACAGTGGAGGTGCCCGGTGAGGAGTTTCTGGGAAAATCTCAGGATGAAGTCGGCTTCCAGCCTGGCCTTCTTCTCAAACTTTGAGTTTGTCGTTTTGTTTTTCTGTTGCAAACAGATCCTAAGAAAGGGTTTACCCACCTCCATCAGGGAGGTACTTACAGATGTGCTGCAACTACTACGTAGATGTGGGTGATCCTGAAGGATCTGAATGTTTAGATAAGCTGCTAAAGCTAAAGATGCAGGGCACATTCTAACATTGCTAACACTAGCATACAAAGTCCGAGACGGTACGGCTCCCATCTACCTGAATCCTCTTGCAAAGGCTTACGTCTCGGCCCGGCCACTCCAGTCATCACAGGATGGTCGGCTAGCAGTGCCTACACCACACTCAGGACAATCCAGACTCTTCTCATGCATCGTTCCACAAATGTGGAATCACCTTCCAAGCACTACCAGAACAGGAGCTTCCTTTTCAATTTTCAAGAAACTCCTGAAGACCCTGCTCTTCAGAGAGCATCTTCTAAACTAGCACCCTCCCTGCACCCATCCCACCTCTCTACCGTCCACTCCTTGTTCCCTCCTCTCCATGATTGATGTCAAGTTGTTGTTATTGTTGTTGTTAGCCTCAAGGGCAACATGCCGATTATCACTCGTAAGTCGCTTTGGACAAAAGTGTCTGCTAAATACATAAACATTAACATTCTGTTAGAAGGACTGAGTACAGGATGTTAAAGGTTTGTTTCTGCAGGGCCTAACTGAGATGCGACGCATACTACCAGCCTGATCCATGCTGACAGTCCACAATGAAAGTCAGTTAGGCTAAAGATGTGTTTACTTGACTGCTTTGTTTAAACCACATTTATGTTAATGGCTGGCTGTGGGGATACGTAGACATTATAAGCACATGCTAGCATACGGTAGCTAACAGTGCCTTGTAGGGCTGCTCAATTAATCGAATTTTAATCACGATTACGATCTGAATTTTAAACGATTATAAAAAACATAACAAGCCGATTATTTGCTCCTCCCGCTTGCGCTGCCCTGAGTTGCAAATGAAGCGCTCCTCCACAGTGTTGCCAACTTAGCGACTTTGACGCTATTTCTAGCAGCTTTTCAGACCCCCTTCTTGACTTTTTAATCCTAAAAGTACCTAGCGAACATCTCAGAAACATCTCTGGTGACCCTTAGCTACTTTCTGGATAACTGTCGTCGACATTTCCTGCAGGTTAGCTAAACACTCCGCCTGCGCTCCGGACCGTTCTTCACAACATTAGGAAAGGGAATGATGCAGTGATGTGTTGGTCGCTAAAGAAACAGCTCTCGGAGCCGGCTCCTTGTTGGATTAACCAGAGTGAGTGACACACACACCGCACCTGCGGACTCCTGAGCAGCTAAAAACAGCTAAATGTGCGCGTGCAGCGTGCTAAACACACGTTCAGCTTGCCCCGATTGCTGTGAGACCGGGGTGGGGGTGGGGGGGGGGGGTGCAGCTGTGGTTGGGACAATTATTACATTAACTGATGGGCCTGTAAATAAATAGTTTATAATTAAGGTAGAAATAAGTTCCTCACGCTGATAACTAATCTCTCTGAGGACACTACAGCACCTTGACACGACTCAATAAATGTTATGCAACATTTTGTGAACATCAATGTATTTGCATTTATTTGTTATAAATGCCACTGTATAATTCTTGCTGTCAGTATTTGCAAGATATTGGTATTTGGGTCTGTACTGGTTAGACTCAAGGTCTATAGCCCTTGGGTCATAGACTATGAGCTATAAGTATATTGGTCTTTTTATCCTGGGAATCAGGAGTTCTTTTAGTGATCATCTTGTTTCTTATTTTTGTCCTGAATGTGCCCTGAGCAATTTTATGACTGAATAAAAACAAATAAAATCAACATAAATTGAAAAATCGTCCTAAATAATCGTGATCTCAATTTCAGTCACCATAATCGTGATTATTATTTTTGCCATAATCGAGCAGCCCTAGTGCCTTGTATACGTTACAGTTTTAACGGTTCAATCATCTTTTATCAGACGTGTCCCAGAGTGCTTTGACAAACAACTACACTACCATAATGGAGTAGTACCACCACTATGAATAATTCTGCATTGATTTTATGTTGTGCTGCTAATAATTACATGTGAATATTTCTGATCCTGTTAAGTTTCTCTGTTGGGTGAGTTCTGTTAATGAATTACGTTAGATTAAACTATGGCCTTCTCAGCCAGTGTTTCCATCTGCCAACCGCATAACGATCAAATTCTTTTTTTTCTTTCAGTTTCTAGATCACAACAGATGTCTATATATCTGGTCCTTTTATTGAATCAACTAAAAAGCTCAATGTTTAAATCTTATTTACACAACCGTGACCATTCCTGTCTTTGCACGGCAGGTTCACGATTATTCTCTACTTTAAAGTGCACACAAACAGATGCAGGCTCTATGCGTTCAGGTGAAAACACTCACACCAGTGTACAGTGTGTGTCTGCAAATACTTTGTATCATCCAACTGAAAAGCAAAAATATCAGTTTTTTGATCCTAGGATGAAGAAGATGCTCCTCATCGGCAGAGATAGAAGTGAGCTACGTCATAGCTGAGCTTCAGGCGGATTTGGAGTCTTAATTACTGATATTTGGACATCTTGCCTCAGATTTGAGAACAGCAACACGACTCTACCACTGACTTCCAACATGGATGTTTCATCTCCACAAATAACAAGCTTGAAGGTCTGCTGTATGGTGAAGTTGTTAATGCTAACAGTTAGCTTCTACTAGTCCAGATGTTCTTTACTATTTCCTGGACGCTAAACCAACAACAGCCGTCCCCGTCACGAGTCTAGATGGGCGAGCCCATGACTGTGAAGCGACAGTATGATGAAGATCTGTCAGGATTTTCAAGTCCTACAACTATTTTCTATCAGAAGCTAATGCGGGAGGTAGGTGTAGGAGACTATTTTCATGTGCCTGCATGAAAAACTCAGAAATAATTAATGGCAGGGTTGCCCCCAGCGCTTTATAAGCCTGGCCAGGCTTTGTTTGGCCACCCGCAAGGCCAAGCGTCATGCCCCGCCCCCTCCCCGACCCTACCCTGTCCGCTGACATGAACGGCGCAACGAAACTAGAGCCCTCCATCAGCTGATACTGGGGAGGAACAGCAGCAGAACGTGTGCAGTAGGCGAGCGGTATTCTCTGGTGGGAACCGGGAGCAATCCTACAACCCTCCGATTACTGGTCAACACACCCTCCCTCCTGAGCTACTGCTGCCCACACTCAATCATGAGATTTTACACAGAAACTCACAGCTACGCTCTGGCGCTGGAATGTGAAGGAGCACAAACGCTGGCTCGGACCTTCTATCACAGTCTGTGAGCATCAGCAAAACCAATCAGACATCAGCTCTGCTTGGAGAATTCCTTCCATGCAGGAAGTTTAACTGAACTTGGTCGTAAGTTTTAATGAAGAGGTTCAGCAGCCAACCTGTGATTGTTTGAAGACGTCTCTGGCGATGGCGTCGAGGTTCCCCAGGTCTTTGATGGAGGAGACGTACTCCGAGACAGCTTTGATCACCACCTCACAGGGCGGCAGCACCAGCTGATGGGCTCGCACCTGAACAAGCAGAATGAACAGGTCCCTCTCATCCATAAAGGGTACTACTCGCACAATAACGACATCATGACGAGATATTTAACATACTACCAAATATGTGTGATGTTTTAAATTTAGAGTAAAGGAAATGAAAACAAATAAAAGTAGATTACCGTTTGGGAAACCACTTGACAAAATATTACCTGACAGATGTACAGTTCAGCCTGTAAACTAGAGAGATGTTTGTATGTAGACCCTCTGAACAATGTTAATTAAAGCTACTGCAGCTGAAAGCTTAGTGGAATGAACCAGCAGTTAAACACTGCACCAAAGAGAGCCTGTGCACCAGCGCACCTGCTGCGCTCTCGGGTTTCCTACAACCGACTTGTACCATTGGGAACTAGCCAACAGACGGGCCGATATTTGTTTGATCTGATGAACTGTCAAAAACCCCTTTGGGTTAAATTAAATGCTCCTTAGATGTGGACTATCTCAGCGATCCCAGAGAACCACAATGCAGCCATTTTGGATGGCATCAACAATCGTTGCCATCTTCTTGTTTGCTTCAGTCGCAGTAAAATTACATTTGCAACACCTCTCGGTTGCCATGGTTACCCATGTAATGGGCTCGACACACAGGAGGCGACAAACGACCGCGATCAGCGAAATTTGTCGCTGTCACTTTTATTACCTGACACATGGGAGGCGACCCGCGGCAGCGGCAAAGCCGTCTACGCGTTCTGTTCCATGGCGAAATCGAAACTTCCGTTGTTTTGTTTGGCTGTGTCAGGTTGGAGGTAATTAAGGTTATTTAAGCGGTTCAGAGTTAAAAAAGTGGTAGATATGATGTTTCACAAGGTGCTGCTAGAGTTATGTGAAATCTTACATCTCATTTTACTATATAAAACATAAAAATAATCAACTTCTTCTTCATGTTTGCTCAGAGGTGTACGGAGCATCATATCCGCTCATTGGTCAGTGAATGAAACCTCCGTTGATTGGTCATCGCCCGAGCGACAGCGATGAAAAGATTTCAACTTTCTGGGATCGCGTCGCTGGGTCGCCTGTGCACGATAAGTGCACGAGCGCAAAATTTCACACGCACGTTTTTCGCATTTCGCTTAGTAGGAGACCCGCGATTATCGCTTTGTCGCGCATGTCTCATTGAAAATGAATGGAGGAGAGGCGATGTCGCCTCCCGTGTGTCGAGCCCATTATACAACTGATCAACCGGCTAGCTTATATGCAGAGTATTCATAAGGTGGTTTGCATTGACGGTTTATGGCAGAAGGTTGGTGCTCAGGAGGCGGGATTTAACCAGAGCACGTTTCTAGGAAGAGCGTGATTCATAAAGCAGGAATTCCTGTGTGTAAGCCCGTTTCACAGGTCCAGAATGACTGTGTGAGGAGATTCTTTTTGCTGAGCTTGAGTGTTAATGAGTATTCTACACAAACTTTATAAACGAGGGCCCTGAACATAAAGTTCCCAGACGGTCATTTATTTTCAGAACTTCAGCAAATGTTGTCAAACGCCAAGTCTGTTTCAGAAGCAGCGTAAGCTGCAGGACGCATCAGGATCTCCATGAAGAAGCCTTAAATACCTTGAGAGAAGCAAGAGGGTGTTCTGGTCCCAGCAGACTCCAGTGGAAGGCAGCCAGGTCCTCATCAGGCAGAATATGATTTCCTGAAAGGAACAAACTCCTTCAAATGGCTGCCATGCCAGTGACCATGAAGAGCAGCAAGAGCGTAGAGGTTACAGCAATAAGGGACACGTGTCTGTCTGCGGTCTGAGACAGTGGTTCCCCAAGTCAGGACCACATTCTGGGTCAGGGCCCAAAGGGAGTCAAATGTTAGAGAAGAGTTTCAGAAATCAAACAAAACAGGAAAATTATTTCTAATGGAATTTTTTCACTTGGACATAAAAGCCAAATATATTTAGTTTACATAAACGGATACACTTCGTGATTTTAGGGATCGGAGGCCGAAGAGTTGGGGAACCACAGGTGTAAGCTGGTGTGTGTGTGTGTGTGTGTGTGTGTGTGTGTGTGTGTGTGTGCGTGTGTGTGTGTGTGTGTGTGTGTGCGTGTGTGACTCCTCACCCAGCAGAGCAGCGAAAAGTGGCAGGTGCTGTGTTTTGAGCCCGAGCTGCCTGGCAGCCTCAGACAGCAAATACTGATGTGTGGTCAGGTTCTTGCCGTTCCAGCTCAGTTTGAGCGCGTGCGAAGAAAAGTAGGCGGGCACATTGCAGAGGGCGAACTCGGAGTCCTGAGCAATTAGACCAGAGAATCCAAAGTCCCTGTAGAGAGACAGCACTTCCTGGTGGTGGTCCTCCAACGTCTGTACTACCTGCACACAGAAACAACAAACCAGAGGGCTAAAGCGTCTGGTCTCGCTGTCCTAAATTTGACCCAAAAGTAAAAATCTTGACAATTTGAACAGTGATTTAAATGGAGATGAAGAATTACATTCCAACATATAAAAGCATTGAAAATATTGCTTGACCTTTGTGTTAATGTTCATTATTTTATTGCTTGAGGTACACTGGCAACCTTCAATGCTTTTAATCCCTTTTTTAAACATTTAACTTTTAATGAAGGAATCACAGCTGCAGAAATCCACTCCAGATTACAGATAATGCAGATTTCTGATACGTGGCATCACGTTCTTCTTGCACTATCAGAAAAACCTGCGATGCACAAAGTGCATGTTTGGTGTTATGTTGCATATCATCATCAAAAAGTCAATAACATCTGTTTTCACTGTAAAAGCATAACCATTACACTGAGTGGTTTATTTAAAACTATAGTCAAGTTAAAAGTTAAATGTCCACCTTAAATAAAGGCAGAAACGGCAAAGATGATTATGAGAGACTAGATGACTTGATGACTCGCCATGGACATAGGTGAGTTATAATAAGGCTGCAGCACACAATACAGTTTGCATAATGTGATTTTCTTATATAAAGTGTCCTTTCTTGATTAACTGGCTTGTGCTGTTGTTGAACTGCAAAACAAAAACATGAAAACAGATGAAATGGAAAACGGGACAGCAGCTTTCTACAAAAAAGGATTTTTCATCATTTTAAAGTGGTTTCACAGAATACGGCGTTTCACAATCTTATTCTGCACAAGCGTCTCTTTCATTTTATATTGTCACCTCATTAAAGGTGTACCTAAATGTATCTTCAACAGCAGAATAGTAATACTGGCTAATTTATACATAAATATTAATAGTTTAACCAGGTGAACTCCAAAAATAAGTCTAATAGGTCTTCCCAAACAGAAGCTGCTGACAATGTATGCAAAAGTTCAGCGAGTTCATGTTGCATAATCTATAGTTGCAATGAAATCACACCTCCAGCAGGAAAACAAACAAGTAAACTGTATTTACATTTAACATTTACTGTTAGGTGCTGGACTCGTTTCAGTAGTAACTGTACTTGGACACAAACAGGAAAGGGTTAAAGGCTGATGTAAGCTGCTAGTAGCAGTAGAGACACGAGGACAAGCTGAACAAAGACTTTTTTTTATATAAAAGTTTAAATTGCCAGGATAAGTTTTCTCACCCGCACACGGAAGCGGAACATGGCGAGGCGGACGCAGTGGCTGAGGCAAGCCGGGGGCAGGAACCATGCCCGGGGAGGCGGGGTGGCCTTGCTGCCGACGTGGTTGACTATCAGCTGCGCCGTCTGTCGCTGGCCCTGAGCTCGCCGCGCCCACTCGGGCCAGCGCTCCTTCCCCAGAGTGCCGTTGAAAACCACGACGAGCTCCAGGCCACCCTGGTACAGACAGGCCTGTGACAGAGCAGCCAGGTAGCCCAGCATGGCGTTCCACTCTCCTCCGCACACCCAGTCCGTCTGGTAGCCACCATACAGCCGCTGGAGGCTGGAGTCAGCGTCGATTAGGATCCTGGCAGGCGGGGGCGGGGGAGGCATGGGCCCGGGGTGATGTGGGTGGTGGTGTGGGTGATGATGGTGTGGGGGCTGGCGGGCCGCGGTACGAGCAAGCTTTAGGAGGTCCACGGGGACCGCGGCCCCGGGACAGCGCTTCTCCAGATATTCTTGAAAACCTTGCACTCCCATGACGGTGTTGCTGAGCCTGTGTGTTTGGCCGGGAGCGGCTTCTGAGTACGTTCTGTACGCCGTGTTTGTAACGTGTTGTGGGGTGAGACCAGGCGAGCTATCTGGTCTCCTATGTAGTGATAAACTGTAGTTGTTTACACTGTAAGACAAGCGACTGGTGAATGTGTCACTGTGCACTAAAGTACATGCGCGCCCGGCAATGGTGATAAAACCGAGTTCTCCCAATGATAATGTCTCAGTGTTGATGGTGGCTACTCACTTTACTGTCCATCCCTGTGGATTTTTGGTGTGATGCCAGCAAGGCCAGTGGTGCTACCTACAGCCAGAAAAAGTTCAACACACTTCCTACACCCATAATTTTGCTTTGACACCAAACATCTTACGAAATTTAGTTGACAGCGAGTAACGGACATGCAGCGTGGTGGTAGATGCTGGTAAGAAATGTACATGAAATAACTATCCTGTTGGGTAGTGCACATGAACAGATGCAGTACTGCGCATTAGTTAGCAATCTTCAGGCTGGACGAGCAGTTTGCGAACATAATGTTAAAACCTTAAAAATCGCTGTAAATTAGATGACAGCAGACTTCTACGTCACATTTATCCTGCTCTATGTTCATGAACCTGTAGCACGTGGGTAGCAGTTGTTTGCTGATTAACCGGTGGCAGAATACCGAATAAAACTAAAATATAAGGCAGAGTGCCTGGCTGACTGGCTAGCTGTTCTTCTATTCGCTAACAGTTGCTAGCTGTTAGCTACTGGCAGGGTCCCCGGCGTGATTTGACGCGTCAACTCCCAAAGACAAGTCCAGGGCGGACACGACGCGGAATGAAATGGATGTTTGACCAAATAAAATAAAAACAACGAAAATAAAATAAAAATAAAAGCCCGATGGTGCCTCCCTCGCTTTCTTCCACACTCACGGCTTCATGTTGCAGAGGGGAACATTACTTTCAAGCGACATCAGCCATCTTGCGACTTCCTCGCGGCCCAGCGGAGCGGGAGGGAGGTGAGGCGGGAGGTGGCCCTGCCGCATGGCAAGCTGGGAAATATAGTCCACGAGGACAAAACGTCGATGAATCATTGCTGTGGTAGCGTCAAACCAAAAACTACAACTACCAGAATAACGATTAAGCACGGGATGAAGATAAAAGCCGAAGAGCAGAACCAAAGTGTTTCACGGTTACATGAAGCGAGTGCCTTTCAAACTATGTATTTTTGTACATTACTCCATTTTAAAATAGTTTCGCTTCTATAGTTTATCTTTATGGTATTAAAGTCGTTGCTAAATTAAATTTTATCTAAAAAAGATAAATTAAAGCAAAAAGTAGGAATAAATCTTAATAATCGTGACTTTATTGAGCCGTGTAACAGGTTGGATGACACGGTTCTGTTGAAGCTCCCTGAGTATGTCGCCCCCACGTGGTTATACCATGTAGATGCCTGAAAATAAAATGTGTTGCGTAAAAAAAATAACTAGGCCAATTCGGGACTCCAGGGCTCTCTATCGAGTTTCTGAGAAAAACTGCAAAATATTAAAGTTTAGATTTCTCCACTAGATTGTCTCAGTATAAACCATGATCTTGCATTAATTTTTTTTTGTCGATGAGGAAAATTGTTTGGCCTATAGATCCATGAAGTGGCTAGGGGGAGCTGCAGACCTCAACACCTGTTTATAGACACGTTGCTTCAAATAACTTCCTCCGATCAACCCATAACTTTCTTCCAAAGTAACCCAAGTAACAGACTCCCTCTCTGTCATTGTTTAATGTAATTTGAAAATACATTTATTTTCTTTAGCTTTTGAGTGTTCTCCCTTTTTCTTGTTGTTTTTCTTGTTTTTAGTGTTGTTTTGAAGCATTGTTCATCACTTTGGTCAATCCTTGGTTGTTTTAAAATGGGTTATACAAATAAGATAGACAGACTGACAGACAGATAGACAGACTGACTGACTGACTGACTGACTGACTGATTGACTGATTGACTGATTGATTGATTGATTGATTGATTGATTGATTGATTGATTGATTGATTGATTGATTGATTGATTGATTGATTGAATTAAACAAATAACTGGATGTGTTTAGGCATGTCCTTCCGGGATGACATGCTGGAGGGAAATCTAGGCTGGTCTTGAATCACCTTGGTGAAATGGCTGGGAGGACAGACTTCCTGTAGCTGCCCACATGAACAGGACCTGAGTGGAGGACAAAAACAATGTAGGAGCCAATATTGTTTTGGTTTAGATTATATTATGGTCTAAGCTTATTTTAATAATGTTTTATGTATATTTCAGTTTATTGCGCTATGGTTTGTATTTCTTTTAACCACTGGTGGAACTGCGGAGCCTATAAAGGTGTTGAGGTGCAGTGCACTGGCGTTTTTTTGGGTGACGGGAGGCCTAAGATGTTGTAGTGGCACAACATGTCCCATGAGAGATGTGGAGTCCACGATCCGACCTGACAGATAAACAGTCCCACACATAAACAATCACACACTGTCTGCATGCTCCAATGTGGTCTTGATATGTGTTGTGCATTTAGCAAAAGTGCACACATCCCAAAACCTCAATGCTTACATGCAGCTCAAAACTGGAAGTGGGCACCAGAGGTGAGGCTGAGTGACCTAATCCCTCCCTTCATGTGCTATTGAGTGTGCTCATTGGTGAGTGTTTCTAATGATGCTGGCTGTGTTGGCCCATGTAAGATCAGAGGTCATGTGCATGCAGCAGTATTTTGCCATTTCCTGTTTTTCCTTCTTAGATTGGTCAAGCACAATTCCCACATCCAAATCCTGACCTCTAAACTGGCTGCAGCATGAGGTCTGGGCTACAGGGTAGATTATGTTAACTTCAACACCGGTTAGTTACATGTGGCAAATGCTGGAGACACAGTGGGAAGTGTTGGGTCGTACCTCACCTCAGCAGGAGCGTTCTCTGGGGCAAATACGTGCACGTCCCTGCAGTAGAAGTGCACTGAGGTAGAGAATTTCTCCAGAAAGCCAGTTCCTGAGGTGGAAATGCAGCATAACCCCTGTTTTCTCTCTTTTTTTTTTTTGCTCTGCTGGTCACACTGAAACAAGGAGCTTAGCTTCAATTAATCTTACAGAGTGAAGTTACACAGAAGGCATCAAACCTAACACATTTGAAAAGGGATAACAACGTCAAACATGTGAAATGTGTCCGTTTTTTAGAGTTTTTGAGTACCTGTAAGTCATTACCAGGACCAAGTCATTACTGACTACACACTACACTCCACACTACTAAAGCTACTCAGGGGAAGGGATGCAGATGTCTGCTGTACTCAGAGCCAATGTCAGGAAGCTAAAAAGCCCAAACTCCCTTTGGGTTGTAACTATTTTATCATTTTATTTTTCTCTTCCCCTTAAACTTCTTTTACTACACGTTTCTCTTTTTGTTCTAGTTTGCAGCTGGATGTGACGGTCTGATGGTGGACCTGACACGAACATTTTTGACCTTATGACGGGGTAGCTGTTTAAAGAGCAAGTCACCCCCAAATAAACATTTTTTTGCTGATAAACTAAACAAACGAGTGTCTAATCGTGCTGCAGACATGTGTCGTCTATAATTTGGCACTTCAGTGCATCTTAGTTAAAATTTAAATATTCTGCCTAAAACTGGCAGTGTTGTGCCGTTGTCAGGTAAAAACTCTGCACTGTATTTTAATTTAAATCTGCCACCGCTATTGGCTAAGAGGTATGCTATGATGTAAACTGGTACATTATGATGTCACAATGCTGTCGTGAGCCTGTGTGTGTGTGTGTATTTGTTAGCAGCTCTGCCCTCTCGGTCTGCCAGGCAACAGCATTTGTTGCATTTTTCAAACATGAAGTGGGAGTGGAGTTAGACTCTGGTAGGGGTTGACTTGCTCTTTAACTTCCACACCAAAAAAAAAAGCAAAAAAACATTGCATTTTTTGCAATTTTTGACTTAATTTTGGGCAACAATGTTTTAAATAATATTTTAACTCAATCGTGTAACATTGTTGCCCCAGAAAGCATGGCTGGTTTAAGACCCACCTGTACCTTTATCCCATGCATGTGTGGGTTTCCTCCCACAGACCAGAAACACTCACAAGCGGAGACTCTTACTAATTATGTCTGGAGAAGTCCCTCACAATTAATTATGTCTGTAGGTGTGTGTATGTATGTGTGTGTGTGTCTGTTTTCTTGTCTCGGTGTCCCCGTGGTGAACCAGAGACCAGTCCAGGGTGTCCCTCGCTTCTTGCCCAGTGACTGCTGGTAAATGAATCCACTATGCTGACTTTTTCGTGCAAATGCATTGTCGTTTTATGAGTATTCCAGCTAGGAAACAAAGTAAACTGACGACACAAATTCCTTGTTTGAGGTCACGAAGCAGCAGCAGCACTTTAAATAAAAACATCACCTGCACTTTTTTCTTCTGATCACCCTTGAGATGGTCCTACACCTTCATTGGAGTCTAGCTGTGTTTGATTATACTGATTGGACTTGATTAGGAAAGTCACACACCTGTCTATATAAGACCTTGCAGCTCACAGTGCACGTCAGAATCACACTACGTGGTGAAAGAGGTAAAGAAGAACCCAAACATCATTGTGGCTGAGCTCCAGAGATGCAGCCAGGAGATGAGAGAATGTTGTAGAATGTCAACCGTCACTGCAGCCTTCCACCAGTCAGGGCTATATGGCAGAGTGGCCCGACGGAAGCCACTCCTCATGCCTGCATGGAGTTTGCTAAAAGACGCCCGATGGACCCCAAGATAGTGAGAAATAAGATTCTCTGGTCTGATGAGACCAAGATAGAACTTTTAGCCTTAATTCTAAGCTGTATGAGTGGAGAAAACCAGGCACTGCGCATCACTTGTCCAATGCAATCCTTACAGTGAAGCATGGCGGTGGCAGTATCATGCTGTGTTTTTTTTTTCAGCTACAGGGACATTACGACTGGTTGACAATGAGGGAATGATGAATGCGAACAAGTAGAGAGATATCCTGGACAAGAACCTTCTCCAGAGTGCCAGGACCTCAGACTGAGCTGAAGGTTTCCCTTCCAATGATAAGCACAGCTAAAATAATGGAGTGGCTTCACGGCAACTCAGTGATTGTTTTTGATGGATGGATGCATTGATGATGGGTGGATGGGTGGTCACTCAGGTCATCTGATCAGTTGCTCCTGGACGTTCCAAGGACACAGCGTAAGCTCAGAGGGGACAGGGCCTTCGCTGTTGCTGCTGCCAGACTACGAAACTCGTTGCCGGCACATATTAGAAAGGCGTCCTCACTGGAAACGTTTAAATCATCGTTAAAGACCCACCTTTTTAGCTTGGCTTTCGACACCGCATAAAGTTTTGGATTTCTATTTGATTTTAGTGTGCTTTGAACTTTATACTGTATTCTATTTTATTCTGTTTTATGCTTTTGTGTTTTTATTTTCAGCACTTTGGTCAGTGAGGGCTGTTTTTAAAGTGCTTTATAAATAAAGTTGGCTTGGCTTGGATGTGTGGATGGATGAATGAGTGGATGGATGGTTGCATGGATGAATGGATGCATTGATGATGGGTGGGTGGATGGATGGATAACTTCTAAATAAACATTATTTACAAAATGTAATGTTGACATCAATGATGTTCGCAATAAAAACCCATCATTGTCCTTTTGGTTTACTCAAGAGAACACGCACTAACCTCTAGATGAAGCTGGTCTCGCTCACCACCACACAGATGTGTTCTACATCTGTTCTGTTGTAGCAGAACACAGGAACATCATCTGAGCCTCTGAGTGTAAGGTCAGCTCTCGGCGGGCTCCTCGGTAATGAGGGGCTTCTCCAAGTGAAGAGGAAAACAAACAGATTAGCGCCCTGTTGGAGAGTTCAGGCAGGGGGAGAGCTGGAATGCAGGGGACGAGTGAAGACGGAGGGTGGGGGTGGGGTGGGGGGTGGGGGGTAAAAATAACTCCTTTTGTTGCTCCTTGCTCCTTTCTCTCCTCAAACCATCTATGTCACCAACATCTGTCCTGATCATGATCAGCGGCTGATGCAAAGCGGCACGTAGACCCACTCGTGTACTGAGCAGCAGCTCTTTGATGGCTCAGAGGGACAGAAACGTCATTTGATCTGCTGCTGCTCTGCATCCAAGGAGATCAAAGTGGCTCCAATGGCATTGTGTGTTTTATCTAAACAATCAGAAGGAAATTGTATCAATTGTCTGACACTGAAGGGCCACCATGTCCTTTCATCACTCCAGCATCCCTCTCTCCCACTCGGAGTTGGAGGCAACAGCAGAGAGGAGATGCTGAGAGGAGGGTCGAGGGATGGGACAGGGACAGGAGCTGGCAGAGGTCACCGTCTGAGTAATAAGATGTACACGCGTGCATGCACACACATAGCAGGCGCAACTAGTGCATGCAACAGAAGATCAGGTTGTCCTGATTCCTGCAGATGATTCATGGGACGCTGAGGACGAGCCCGGTAAGTACCGTTTAATTGTTGTTGTTTTTTTTTTACTGAAAATGAGTACTTCTGTACTTCTGTAATACTTTTAACTAGGCTGAAGGTGTTTAGGAAAGAAATCAATCCTTTAAGATTCAGTGATTGATTTTTTTTTTTTTATTTTGGTTTATTAAACGAACAACAGACCTGTAGTTGGGTTATTTGAGTTGATGGATGCTCTGGATGCTGTTTTGTGTTCTCTGTGACTGAGTGAAACTGAGATTTAAACTAAATGAAGGTTTTTCCACAGCTGGACTGAATGTTTCAGTTACAGTTTTACAATTTCACTCACAGACAGCAGCCTAATAATTAGATCAGAGGGCAAACAGCCTTATCAGGTATTTTATGTTGATGTCCTATTATACATACATACATATATATATATATATGTATATATATATATATATATATATATATATATATATATATGTATGTATGTATGTATGTATGTATGTATGTATGTATGTATGTATGTATCTATAAACAGGCTTTATTCCATCATCAGTGTGACTCATTTCATCTCATGTTTCTAATTAACAATGTTATGGAAGAAAAGATAGATTTTTATGCCAACTGCCTTCCAGTTTGTGTGTAATTTCAATGGAATTGAGAATAAATTCACTTAATAGAAAATAGTCACACAAAAATAGATCCAGAATCAAACTAACACATAGAATTAATTTACAACCCTTAAAGAAATGTATCGTTTTATTGGAACGGTGTGTCTGCGGAAACTTTTCTGACATAGAACAACCTCTGTTCAGAGAAATTGAGATTTCACCCTTCAGGATTGATAAGCTAATAGCTTGAGGCCAAAACTCCAATCTCTCAAGTTTCCACAGCAGCCTGTCTGTTTTTTTTAATAAATGTTTACACTGCCGTCAATTTCCCATTGAGATGATCTACCTGGATTCTGTGTTGATTTACAAACAGTAATATCATCATCAGGTAAAAGTAGCACAGCAGGTGCATCTGATGCATCTCCACCTGCTTCCCTTATTCAAAAGTGATGCTACAATATCAAGTTTCAGGTGTTGCCACACCAGTTTCAAAATCAAATTTTGACTAAACGTGTTATTTTTTTCCAACATGCAACAACAACACGAGAACTATGCAAATCAACATGCGTCAACACCTGGCAGCGTCCCATTCCGTGGTTTAAGGCAATAGTGTTTCTATTTAGGTTCAACTTCTGTTTTCATTCTTGTATTGAGTTGTTATTTGCACCGATGGTCCTGTAGGACATAAACTCTATTTCTCTGAACAGAGGCTATTCCAGAGGCATGTAGGGACTATTTTGAACTTGGTACAGAAACTCTTCATTACAGCTGAAATGTTCCTTTAAGTTAAGCGCTGTGTGCGGCTTGATTGCGTGCTGTTTTCCCAATTAGTAACTCTCATCAGTCCTCTGTGGTCATTGACCCCGCTGCCAGGAATGATCACATGATCAATTATGACTCCAGAGCCCCTCTGACCCAGGAGAGGGTTATGAAACAGCCACAGCACAGCGGCTTCACAGTTTGGGGATAATCACTGTGTGTGTGTGTGCATGCGTGCGTGCGTGTGTGTGTGTGTGTGTGTGTGTGTGTGTGTTTATACTGTGTGCCTGCATGTTTGATGTAAACTTGGCACCTTGTCCACTCTGGCTGTTAATATCCCACAAACACACACACTCTGATGGTCAGGCTTCTTTGAGCACAGTAATTATCAAACAAAAAGATGGGAGGCAAGCAGTTTTTTATTTGCAGACATCATTTCAGTGGAAGACAAAGCTGGACCAAATCTATTTTCATAGTACGCGCTCCAGTACACCGATTCTGACAATTCATTATGCAATCAGTAACGTGTGTGTGTGAGTTTCTGCAAAACCAATACCTGTGTGCCCCTCTTTGGTCCATCAGCTGTTATAACAGTCTCCATGGTAACGGAGACATACCTGTCCATGGATCAATCTGAGGTTTCTGAGATCCCGGCGGGTACAAATATCACAGAGTGGGAGCGGGACGCCCTGCTGGCGGTGGCGGAGGTGGTGGTGTTGGCTGTCATTCTACTGCTGGCGTTACTGGGAAACGGCTTGGTGTTGGTGGTGTTGTTAAAGCGGAGGCAGCACCAAAACCCGCTGCACCAGTTCATGCTCAACCTCTGTGTGGCTGACCTGGTGGTGGCGCTGTTCCAGGTAACACACAAACACACCCTAACCCCAACCAGTACAGCTAAATGTCCACACCTGACCAAAAGCCAAGTCAGCAGATCTTCTCTCATTTAAAGTGGCTTCCTGTGGAACGGCCATGAACACAGCCGGCTGGATACGAAAATGTTTAAGTAGAAGCTTCCTTCCAAAACGACTGAAACACTAGACTCTTTTGGGATTTTCTCGCTGTAAAATTCTCACTATATTCTTACATACTGCACCTTTAAATGACCGACTAAATGACCGAGTATTGCTGCAATACTGGATGAGTGGAACACACACACAAGACTCGTGAATCCATGAGCTCATGACTTGACGCCCCCTTGTCTGTTTAAAGAGTATGTCGTTTGCTACCCATAACTCTGCACAGTCCCGACATCCTGCCAGTTTCTCGTCAGACACAGCAGCTGATCCTGATGATCATTAGACTTTCCATCAGACAGCAAGGTGGCTTAAGGTTGCACTGTGAATGTCGCCTACAAATCCGTTTCCTCCACTTTATTCTGGGCCCTTGATGGACCTGTCTGCAGGAGTTCAGTTATTACTAAAGACTACTTTTAGAGGCGCTACAGCACACCGATTTTTGTTAGCAAGTCACAGATGGAACATCCTTTGTCATCCATTTGACGGTGTTCCTTTCCTCTTTTGAGCTTTTAAAGACTGAGAAACAGAACATGTCCTCCAGCCTCATGCTCACTGCTGAGCTTCATGTTCTTGACCATGGACGTAATTTTCACTTTAGAAGTGTGTGTGTGTGTGTGGGGGGGGGGGGGGGGGGGGAGACACGGGTGTGTGTGTGTGTGTGTGTGTGGGGGGGTATCTTTACAGTATGCTCTAATGGGAAACAGGCTGTTGTTTTCCGCTTGGTCCTAGAGCTCAACCAGTGTCAATTTAATATAAAGTAATATTGTTTTGGGATGGTAAAAAGTGCAGGGGTCAAAACTTGACTTTGGAAAAAGTGGGGGGGGACATGTCCCCCCTGACCCCCCCACCCCAATTACGTCCATGTTCTTGACAGGTTTCAGCCCGTGCCACCTCTCTAAACTATTTAATCACATGACTCCAACATCAAGTATCTCAGATACTATTCCATCATCCCATCTCGTATTATTCTTCCCATTTAACCGTTAGCGGCTTCGGGTCAGGTCCCTTCATCACAGGAAAATGCAGTAATCTACCCCCTGTGGATCGCCCAGTGCTGCTTTAGATGAGATAACTGTTGATCACCTTTCCAGAAACCATTTTTATTTAATTAAATAAATAAATAAAACACACACTTGCAGGACAACTTGTACACACAAATGCAATCAGTCAGTCAAATGTCACAAGTCTGAAGCAGAATCTGAGCCCGTTAGGGTTCAAACACTGGTTTGATCCTGGTCTTGTGTACACCCTCCTTCTTCTCCTGTCGTTCTTCTCTGAGGTGTTACCACAGCTGGTCTGGGACGCCAAGGGTCGTTTTCCTGGTCCAGACTTCTTGTGTCGTCTGGTCAAATACCTGCAAGTGCTGGGCATGTTCGCCTCCTCCTACATGATCGTAGCCATGACGATGGATCGACACTACGCCATCTGCTGCCCCCTGCAGGCGCATGGCAGTGGGGCCGCCAAACGCTGGAACACCTTCATTATGCTGGCGTGGAGCCTGTCTCTGCTGCTGAGCCTTCCACAGGTAGCAGCACACAGTCAGAGCCCCCCACCGGGATGTTTGCGTATCTTTTAGTGCGTAAAGAACAAGGCTCAGTCCTGATCTATTCCCTGTGAAGCTCTTTGAAGTCCTCTGACTCTGAAAGACGCTATACAAGTGCAGGTCATGTGTCATTTATCATGACTGCATGGCTGTAGCGCTGACCAACATGATTCTTACTGAACCTCCTGCTCTGATTTAAAATCAGACTGGGTCCATCACGTCTGTGTACCTGCAGGTTTTCATCTTCTCCCGATCAGAAGTGGCTCCTGGGATCTATGAATGCTGGGGAACCTTTGCAGAGACCTGGGGCCTCAAAGCCTATGTTACGTGGATGACCCTGGCCATCTTCATCATCCCCCTCATCATTATCACGTTCTGCCAGGTACTCAGCTGAATAGATGCCAAACGTTTGGTGCTGTAATCTCCGAGCCTCTGACAACTCTCCTCCTTCAGGTTCGCATCTTCGTGGAAATTCATCACAATCTGTACCAGAGCTCAGAGCGCCACCTGTCCCCCACCCCCCGCCATCCGCCAAGAGGTGACAGCCAGAGCCGAGGAGGAAGAGGACAGTCCACTCCGCCTGGCTACATCTCACCCCTCACAGACAACCACGGCAGTTCGAAAAGCTTTCATCCTGGATCGACCTACCAGCACCTGCCAGTGGGCTCACTCTGCTCCAGCAGCATTGTTTCTCAGAGGGAAATTCACACCCACAGTTCTGGTGAGACCTTCACAAACATGTTGTTTTGTGCTGTGATGCTTTTCTCCAGTAGAGGTACATGAGAGTTACCTGGGCACCACCGTGACTTCCTTGGTCTTGCTGGTGTTCAGGACACTGAGCACCTCCATAGTTGCCGGATCTCTTGTCTGTGATGTGTTTTGTCACCATCTGAGAACTACCACTGTGGTATGAAATGGAATGAAATGACTGTTTTCCACCTAAAAGTCATCCCCCCCCCCCCTCCTCAGCAGGAACTAATCTGCATGAGATATTGTTCAAGGTCTCATGCATTTGCTTCTAAACTGTTTTCCTTTCCAGCCAGAGAGAAGAATGAAGACAAAGGACTCTTTTTTTTTGATAAATCAAAGAACTCTATTTCTAATAAAACTAATCTAACAAAGTGATAGATAAGATGTTGACCAATCTGTGAAATGACAATGTTATGATTAGTAAGTTTAATGAGTAATATGACTTTAATCTAGTGCACTATACATCCTGATTACACGTAATGTAAACACATGACACATTGCTTTCACTCATCCAATCAGAGCCTTCCTTTCTGAAGCGTGGCATAGTCTCTGTGGTGTTTATAAATCTGCCCAACTTTGATTCGACCGTAAATCAAAACATCCAGATTAATAAAACCAGTCCCCACGCCATCTTAGTTCAGTTCACCGCATTCTAAGAGAAGTATCGGACCGTCCACCCGGACTTCCTTTTTAAGCAAAGAACCAACAAGCTGGATAAAATCTGTTGCATTTTACCAACAAGCAGCGGTTCCTTTCAGAATAAAAGTTGAACTCACTGTCCTTCCGGGTCCATCTGACGCTGTCAACCAACTGTCGCTTTTTACTTGGAGACAATCCAAAGACTAGTCTGTCGTACTGCTGACGCTGTTTCATCGGCTCCGGTACCGAAGGGGGGTCCGAGGACCTGGCATTCTGGATCTGTACGGAGGTCTCATCCTGAAGGGTATGTGTAGAGCGACAAAAGTGCGTCTCATGTGTTTATGAAACTCCGGTCATAGCTTAAGAGCAAAACCTCACTTCATCACTCAGACTTGCTTCTCCGGATACGAGAGTTCTGATGACAACATCACTCACACATACACCATCCATCTCACGCCTCATTCACACCAAGATCCATTCATCACTTAGAATTTAGAGTTAGTCTTGTTTAAAATTGTTTAGAAATAAATCTTCTTAAACGTTTTAAAGGTGACTCTCTCCTCTGTTGTCTCTCAGTTAATACGAAGTGTTACATAATCCCTGCAATAAAAAGTTCCAATCTTCTGGTTAAAAGTACCCAAAGATCCATAAGATTGATTTCATATTCACTATGGAATCTCATGTCTTATGGTTCATTAAATAGATGTAAATTAAACCCTTACAGGTATTATCTGCAAACGTCATGACTGTGTTAGTAGAGTAAATAGCAGTTGTGGGTAAACGGGGTGAATGAATCTGGGCTGAGCTAACAACCCATGCTCAGTACCAGAGTGTAGGATGGATCCAGCTGTTGTCTCCTAGGGCGTCAGAACCTGTTAACAGGTTTACGGGTCACTTAGTTTTCCAAACAGAGCCAAGTTGCTTTGGATAACTTTAATAAAGAAAATCTTAATTTGAAAACCATGTCTTGAATTTACTCGGGTTCTCTTTGCATGTTTTGGAGATTTGATAGGAACATTTAAGAGAAAGGAAAAACACAAGTAATCTGTGAGTAATCCTGTTTGTCTCTGTCAGCAGTGCTGCAGGCTGACCCTATAGCGCCCCCTGCTGTGTGCTGCCCTCACCCACCTAAAGCCCCCACAGCCCGGGGTGGAGAGGTGACAGCAGCCATGTCAAAGACGGCCAGGATGACACTGGTCATCGTGCTCGTCTACTCCATCTGCTGGGCCCCGTTCTTCAGTGTGCAGCTGTGGGCAGCCTGGGACCCCAACCCACCCCAGAGAGGTCTATTAACAAACAAACAAACAAACAAACAAACAAACAAACAAACACACACACACACACACACACACCCTTTCTCTCTTCGTGCAGAATGTTTTTTCTTTGAGGATGTGTCTTTCACATGCTGAAGCTGTGTGGCGTCCTTGGAGGACTTGATGAAATTCTGTAGACACGTAGATGGAAAACTATGCAGAATCCTGACATTCCTAAGCTTCAGTGACAACCTGCAGATGTTTTCCTCCCAGTGTTTCATGCGCAGTACCACACACCTGTGTGTGTGTGTGTGTGTGTTTCCAGGTGCAGCCTTTACCCTGCTGATGCTGCTGGCCAGTCTGAACTCCTGCACCAACCCTTGGATCTACTCCTTCTTCTCCAGCAGCGTGTCTCCAGAGCTTCGCCTGCTGCTGCTCTGTGGAGCCCACCATCAGCACCGGGACTCCTTCCCCAATAACTCCTCTGCCACACACACCTCCAATTCCTGAAGGCCCCCAGCAGCCCAGTCTCCTGATGAAGGACTAGTCTGATCCTGGGAGTTACATCCACCTGCAGCAGATCGGAGGATGTGTTTGGAGCTGTGAGATCAGAAAAAACATGAAGTTGACAGAAATTTGGTCCGTCCTCTGAGATGCACCCATCAACACGTCTGATAAACTCCTATGAGAGGATTCAGAGTGCTAATAGCTTCAGCACATTTTAGCATGTCCAATTTAAAAGGGAGAACAGGAAAAGTTCAGCTTGATTAGACAAGAACCATCCGATCTCATGGACACCTTCTTTCAGGAAGGTTTTCTACCATCTAAAAAAGTCTGCTCCCAAGGTCAAACATTCACAATGATTTTTCAAAAAGTAAAAAATAAAGTTATTGGCTCAGATGAACAAGATGTCACATAGCATGTTTGACCTCACTGGAAACATCAACATTTATTATAAGACGAGGAAAGGAAATGTGATCAGTGGCGATAGGGGCAGTGCATACCTAAATCATTGCAAGCAAGCAGTATTTTTTGGGTATGATAAAGACCCATCCAACGGATAGCCATCAGGGTCAAAAAGCCCTGGGAGTGCAACCTCCATCAAAGTGACAAGCACATCAGACTCCCTTTCATCCCTGGCGATGAGCAAAGAGGCAAATGTGTAAAACATTTATGAATGGCGACATTTTTGCAACTGCTTGTTACAAATCAGAAAATGTGTTTTGTCCTCACGGGCTCCTGTAGAAGGAAACTTTATGTAGAATTTGGCGTCACCCAGAGACCTAGACCTGCTCCCATACATTCTATACCAGATTATTATGGTTAAATCCTATGAAGCTGCCAATATTTAACAACTGGGCATAATTTAACATTTTGATGGATATTTGTAGAGATTAATGGTAAAAACTACACATAGTAACTTTAATAGTTCAAATGTTATAGAGGAGTCTTCTAAAAACAAACTAGATGGATTCTCTAAACTTTTGGTTGTTTTATAAAGTTTTCAGCTTCAGTTTCATTAGCCGTCTCCATGGTTACTTGTGTAAAAAATAACTACCAACAGTTTATTTAAGGAGTTAATGTTTCCGGTGTTGGTCCACCTTCTAGAGGTCATTCAGCTTCTGGTCCAGATCCTCCTGTGGAACTGAGGTCTGGGGAGTAACCAGGACCTGGCCCGTTTTGTTCCTGATTCACCAAGTTCAGATGTTCTCACTCAGGTCCAGTGATCCATCATGCTGGAAAAAGTCACTGTTTATCACCAAACTGTTGTTGCTTGGAGGAGTTCCTCTGGGAGGATGTTTAGGAACCATTCACAGCTGTTCTGAGGATAAACAGCAAGCCTCTTTTGCTGTAAAGGCCCTGAAGTCTTCACAAATCCACAGGAAATGTAACTGCTGAGATTAACCCTTTGATGCATGAATTATGAAATCTTCAACCATGATTTTTGTAACATTTTATTCATCTTTAGGTGTGAATGAAACAAATTTCGATTATTTTTAGTACATTTTTAAACTTTACAAATAATTTATTACATGTCCACCTTAGTGGACAGCGTGCATTCTGAACATGAAATATGTTGGCTTGAGTTACTGAAGTCGAAATGGAGGGGCTCAAATGCAATAAAGTCTTTAACAGCTGTGCTTAATAGCAAAAATAAATACTAATTTTGAATACCTGTCCACTGTAGTGACCGTTATGCATCAAAGGGTTAAGTTTCATCAAACAAATGTTAATTCATTGGGATTTCTCCTGAGTACCGCCTGTAGTGTAAGCCAACTCCATCCTGAGGATTCTTGTTTTTCTAATAAAAACTCCACTCAAAAGGTTTTGTTTTAAAAGCCATTTATTCATCAGCAGAAGTCAGAAACTCACATTAAAATAACCACTGCAAAAAAAATAAAAAAAGTAACACTTGTTCTGAAACACAAAGGTGCCAAAACTGCCTAAAGTACCGCTTAAAAACACATACTAACAAATACGAACAATAAAAACCGGTTAAGTGGGTCTGATGATCCGGTGTGCAATCTTTATGAGAGAAATGTGAAATAAACGTCTCAAAACGTGCCGTCACTAGCGGGTTTGGATCAGGGGAACGTGGACACCAAAACCAGACCCATCTGAAGATCCGGACCCTAAAGTACAGGTCTGCCTGTGTGTTTCTAATTCAAGTGTGTGTACAAGTGGATAATTCAGAGTAAAGTTCCCAGCAATACCAAAAGTGACTTAGCTTTCATTTCTAAACATGTACACTGCTTGGTTCAACATTTGGTCATGAAGAACACTTCAGATAACGCCCACAACACCCCTGGACTTGTTTCATCTCTTTCTTTAGATAATAAAAGGATGGTGTGATCGTATCGTTGAGGAAAAAGTTCTTTGTGGCATAAAGACACCATCTGACATCTCATCAGTTCCCCGACGAGCAGCTAAACCATCTGCAGCGTTTGAGCCTCAGTGAGCAGTTGTTACCGTTCTGAGCTTCGATACGAGTTTCCGTATCAAAACAAACCAGCGAGGAACTTTACAGCACAGCAGTGGCTGACTTACAGCGAATGAAGTGATGAAATCTGGCTTCAGGTTCACTTTAAAAACATTAAAAGTCACAAAGTTTGTTAAAATAAATGCTAGAATCTAATCCTTTTATATTATATACAGTGGTAACCAATACAAGGTTGAACTCTGACCCAGAAATACGAAGAGGATGAGGAGAATGACTCGGTCACACACTGGTGTGTCATTTAATACTCGGAGAAGGCTGATCCTGCGGACAGACGGTTTACGTTACAGGATGAGCTGTGAAACCAGACGGTTTTAACGTTCTCATCCGCCTTTGTTCTCACACAGGGAGGTTGGTCAGTGTGTTAACTCCTAGATTCGTATACAAAAAGATCCCCGTGCGTTTTTCTACTTTTCCCTTACTAGTTTAAATTCTGTGTTCCTCAGCATGAATTAGCTTAAACTGTACACGTCTGACTTCACACTCAAAGCTAACAGATATACGTCCCTATGATAATACAGAACACGTGGGGGAACGGTTTAGTATCTGCACCAACATTAACAAAACGCTAGTGTTCCATCTTCACTGGGTTTGGGTGATTTGCTGCAGCAGAGCAAAACCCGGAGAGAAAGTCCTCGTTGGTTAGCTGGTTTGTTAGCTTGAGCGGCGTGGTTGCGTGTCTACCTGGCGTTTCTACGTGGTGCCTGTGCTCCTAGAACACGAGCTTCCTAAAGGCACGAAAAGTACAAAACCTCTGAGGTCTGAATCTGCGTCACAGCAGCAGCAGCTCTCAGATTTCACTGACATCTGTTTCTATGGCTTTAGGGAGGTGGTAAGGGTGTGTGATTGTAACTGCTGGTGTGTGTCTGTGTGTGTGTGTGTGTGTGTGTGTGTGTGGTGTGTGTGTGTGTGTCCCTCGAGTCCTTTTCAGCCATGTGTTTTACACCGTGTCCTCATCCATCTTGGCAACATCGTCCAGCGTGACGGCAGCAGACTCATCGTTATCCGCCGCGGCGCCGGACTTGGACTTTGAGGGAGCTTCCAACATGGCGGTGCACTCCTCCTTCGGCTCTTCCCGCTCCTTCCTCTCCTCCTCTTTCTTCTCCTTGTCCAACAGGCGGTAGTTGATGCCCATACCCACGAAGAGGAAGATGCTTGAAATGATGAGGATGACGCCACAGGTTATGTAGGTGTAGTCGTAGTGATGGTAGTAGTTATAGAAACTACCTGAAGGAGGGGAAAAAAACACTTAGTTTTATGGACTACATCTAGTTTAAACCTGATGAGCTTTGGATTGAACCCAGTCCTAACCCTGAGACCCACTGCATGCTGGGAGTCTTACTTGTTAGCGGGGGGCTCAACAGCACAGGTGCACACTCCACGATAGTGACGAGACCCACAGCAGAAGAAAACCTCTGGGCTCCCACCAGGTCCATCAAAGTCTCGAACAGCACAGCGCTGAGCCATCCAAAGGCGAAGCCAAAGAAGATGGCGTACACCACAAAGCCGGTGTAGTCCACCGACAGCGGAGCCAGAACGTGACACACGCCGTTGTAGAGGACAGAGGCGGCGAAGTAGTACTGCACTCTTGGACGGACCCACTTTGTGTTAGCCAGAAGTCCCATGGAAGGCCGGGCAAACATGTCAACCAAGGCCAGCACTGACAGAAGGAAGGCAGCTTTTTCTTTGCTGATGTCCTTACTCTTGGCATAGTTGGAGAGGAAGATGAGAGGAGAGAACAGGCCGAAGAACATGATAACATTTCCCAGCAGGTAGAGCAGGAAGCCTCTGTGTTTGAAGAGAGACAGGTCAATGAAGGAGTTGACCCTCTGTAGAAACGTCTTCTTCGGCTGAGGCTGAGCTGGAGCCGCTTTGCCTTCGCCGGCCTCTGTGTCGGGTTTAGCCGGCTGAGGTTTGGGTCCAATGGGACGCATCAGAGAGCCGGCCACGCAGCAGTTAAACAAGAGTCCCCCCAGAATGAGGAAGCTGCCCCTCCAGCCAAACTGGTCGTACATCCAGGTGTTGATGGGAGACAGAGTTGACAGGAACACGGGGCTGCCCGCCATGGCGATACCGTTGGCGATGGGACGACGGACGTAGAAGTATTTACCGATCATGGTGAGCGCAGGATTCAAGTTGAACGCTAGGCCCAAACCTGGAGGGGTTAACAGAGGGGAGAAGGATTTATACCAGAACAGGTCACAGAGGTACTGGCCTATTCCAGGTTGGCTGTGGGACTGGATCATAAACCGAAACCACCTCACCTCCCACCACTCCAATGAAGAAGTAAAGCTGCTCCACGGTGTTGCAGAAGGAGGCTGCAACCAGACCCGAACCTGCCAGACAGCCACCCAGGATGATGATTGGTCGACTGCCATATTTATTCACCAGGATGCTGCTGATTGGACCTAAACAAAGACAGATACGTTGGAAGCAGAGGTTAACATCCTGAAACGGTGTGTAGAAGCGTGAAACTGGCTTTTTTATGGAGGAACGGGCCTCCATGTTTCTATTTTTACTGACCTAGAGTGAAAATGGACTGAAAGAGAAACTTCCAACCAAAAGTTATGTTCAGAAACATTTAAAGTTGAATAATTCACAATAAAACTCCTGTTTATGAAACATTTTATAATGTTGAACCTAAACACCTGAAAAGGTGACAGTCCTCAGTGGTTTCATGCAGAAATCCACCTCCAGATGGCGCTATGAAAGTGGTTGTGTAACAGCACCAGCCGCTTTGTGCCGAAGTGAAAAAAGCAGAGATCAGGGGAGGAGGAAGAGGAATGAAGGAAGGAGAGGGAGGCAGGGAGAAGAGGAGAGAGCGTGCGTGCGTGCGTGTGTGTGTTCTTGTACATACTACATACTGAGGACCATTTTGACCATTTTCCCTACAAAGTGGGGGCATTTTTTTGTCCTCACTTTTTGTTTTTAGAAGCATACCAGAAGCTTACTATACCAGTCAGAGGTATGGTGTGAATAAACTTTTAGTTAAGGTTAAGGTTAGGTTAAGGTAAGGTTATAGATCAGTGTTGGTTATGGTAGGGTTGGGGTATGAGTTAGGCATGGTGAAATCACAAAAATGAATGGAAGTCAATGGAGGGTCCTCGCTGTGACAGAAAGACAGACGTGTGTGTGTGTGACAGAAATGTGAAGATTTCACACGTTTTAACAGATTTTAGCAGCTTGATGACAGCTTATAAACAGTTTATTCCTATTAAATTGTTTACACCATTAATGTAACCTTCCACCAGGTTAAAAGAGACCATCAGCAGGTATACATTAAACATAAAGCGAACTGTAATGACCTTAAGCTGGGCGGACACTGAGCGACCTTTTCACTCGTAGCACTCAGCTTCAGCTCAGACACTGAGCGACCTTTTCACTCGTAGCACTCAGCTTCAGCTCAAACTGTACGACTTCCTCGCAGAGCAGATCTCACGAGTCGTGTGCTCACACTGCACGTCTGGTAGCAACACGTCGGACCTAAAAAAATATGCTAAAAATAGTTTTTACACAACACGTCAGACTTCGTCTTGTTTTGCCTGTTGTCCTTCAGAAGTGCGGCAGGAGGACACACAGGGATTTATGGTGGTTGGATGAGAAAAACGAAATAAAGTAAATCTGTGTTATGTGACCAGTTTAATTTGACAAGAACACGACAAACACGCTTTCTTGACAACCCTTGTCACTGTGTGTAAAAAAAACGTTTACAAATAAAAAACGAACAGCGTGTGTTATTAGGTAAATAGCGGGCGAGCGGTGTTGATGCAGGATTGCACATGCACCGTGAGCGGTTCTGACACTTTTTGGGTCGCAGCCGCTCGCATCGCCGCTTCAACAGTGCGATACCCTCACGAGGGACGAGCAAAATATCAAACACTCCAGAAGTCTGTGCGAGCTCACGATTGCTTATCGGTAGCTGGTCACGTGGTGTTAATCGCCTCTCGTAACCCCCTGTACACTACACGACGCTCAGCGCAAAACTCGCCCCGATCTCGTGGATTCTCGCACGAGTGGAAAATCGGCTCAAAACAGTGAAAAAGTCGCACAGTGTACGCCCGGGCCGGCTGTAGTGTGGCTTTAACAAGAGCCAAGATTGGTTCTTACATGAGCCAGTTAACGCCACACAAGGAAATACTTTAAACAACAAATAGATTTTGGGTTGATAAAGGCCTCTCATGCATTCTGTAAGATTTGAGCCTTTATTTATTGCCAGAATAAACTTCAAACAAAACGTCATGACTGATCAATGCAACGCTTTAAAACTAAAAAGTATTCATTTAAAAATTCAGAGGAATGTTTGAACTCTGCTCAGTTTTTTTTAAACCGTTCATTCCCAGACTAGTAAACAGACCAATAAAAAGCCTCGGCATGTAGGTAAAGATCAAATACTCCCGACGTTGTTTCCCCCTCAGCTGACCAGGGCCTTTCAACATGGCGGCTTTCCCCTCGACTCCTGGCAGGAGAACAGACGTCTGGGGACCCTCTGGACACACACGCACAAACAATCCATGCTGTTGTGTCTGAAGCTAGCAGCACTCACACACGAAGGTCACGTCAGGCTGGTAGGTTTTCATGTTAGTCTAACCACAAAGACCAGAGCACCTCCTGCGTCTGCAGCTCCACAGTCACAAATCTGCTCCCAGATTCTCGTTACGCGTCTGATCAAACGGCAGGAGGGTAGGGGGTACCCAGAGTACTTGGATATTACATCAAACAGTAAAAGCACCCCGTTTTACAGTAATAAACACACAAAAGCACTCCTGACTAGTTTCAGCTGCAACACTTCTGAGTGAAGCTTCAGCTATAATCTATGCAGCAAAGCACCTCCATGTGTTCAGTCCGTCTGACTACAGAGCAAAATGTTCTGATTTATTGGCCATCTGACGTTGGGGGCTCACAGGAGGCGCAGAAGTAGCTGACTGGACAAGTCTACCAGGCACAGCAATGAATGAAAATCGGTGCAAGCCTGCAGATTTGTTAAGCGTGGACTTGTTTTAAAGGGGGGGTGATTTTTAAAGACATCCATCAGGTCCAGCACGTTTTAGTGGTTTCTCTAGTCCAACAAGCGGCAGCTCATCAGGCTCTGCAGAAGCCCGTTAATCACCTGCTGATAGAAATCAGGTGTGTTGAAGCAGAATTAAAACCAAAACGTGCTGGATACCGGCCTTCGGGGCCCAGAATTTAATAGTCCTGCTTCAAATGAATAAAAATCATAAAATAAGGAACACAAACAGGTTTCCTGAGGCCCTGTGCAGAGCATCTCTACAGCAGCACCGTGGATCCCCAGGAGAACCCTGCGCAGGTAACCCCAGGTGATCGGACCTGCAAACATAAGACTCTAGAGCAGCTGGAGGTTTTCAGACTGGACTCAATGATGCAACGAATGTTTGATTAGCCCATTGATCCTGCTCACTGCTAGGTGTGTGACTAAACCATTCTGTAGTCTGGGTTCAAGTCCAGAGAGACTAATGTTCTACTGGAACCCATAACCACTTATAATCTGGAAACCAGGGCCTTGATTTATCAAACGTTCATAAAAACGGTCCTTATTCCTTCCTATAAATTAAATTTAGAATGTTCTTACGAACGGCCAAAATCCAGATGAATGAAAGGCGCAGTGGCCACTCGTATGCATGTTCCTCCAGCATCAAGTGATGGTGAATCCCACCTGTCCATTCACCGTCATTTACATACCAGATTTGGTCGCACCACATCCTACGTCATAAGCGGAATTCCTGAAATCCTCACCCCAAAAATTAAACAATTGACCGTGAGATCGAGGAACTGGCTGCAGAAGTAGGAGAGAATCAGTTATGTTGCAGAGGTTGGAAACGTGGTCTGGACAGAGGGGAGGTCTCTGCAGGAATAAGGAGAATAAGGAGTAACGGGTTGTCATTAACAAATCGCTCCAGAAAGATCTTCAGGGATCAGATCAGTGCGCTCACAGAGGACGCGCTCCCTCTGGAGTGCACGATCTACCAAATCCTCCAATGACACCAGCTCAGCCATGGTACAATGTCAGATCAGTCACAGGTGTGTTTTTATAGGTTCAACACCAGTTATGCAATAAAGCCGTTTTTCCCACAGACATTTATTTACTGTGTAAAAGTATTTTCTGGATGAGTAATGGGCTCGACACACGGGAGGCGACATCGCCTCTCCTCCATTCATTTTCAATGAGACATGCGCGACAAAGCGATAATCGCGGGTCTCCCTCCTACCAAACGAAACGCGAAAAACGTGCGTGTGAAAGTTTGCACTCGTGCACGTGTCGTGCACGTGCGACCCAGCGACGCGATCCCAGAAAGTTGAAACATTTTCAACTTTTCATCGCTGTCGCTCGGGCGAGGACCAATCAACGGAGGTTTCATTCACTGACCAATGAGCGGACAGGATGCTCCGCACATCTCCGAGCAAATATGGAGGAGAAGTTGATTATTATTGTTTTATATAGTAAAATCAGAAGTAAGATTTCACATAACTCTAGCAGCACCTTGTGAAACATCATATCTACTGCTTTATTAACTCTGAACCGCTTAAATAACCTTAATTCCCTCCAACCTGACACAGCCAAACAGAACGGAAGTTTCGATTTCGCCATGGAACAGAACGCGTAGACGGCTTTGCCGCTGGCCGCTGCCGCGGATCGCCTCCCGTGTGACAGGTAATAAAAGCGACAGCGACAAATTTCGCTGATCGGTCATTTGTCGCCTCCCGTGTGTCGAGCCCATAACACGAGTGGATGACAGTACTGCGGTTCCCCCGTTCTACCACTAGATGTTCATACACATGGTCGAAGCTGTTCTTATAGTAGGAACATTTCTACACAAGTACAAGATGGGAAATATCACAATGCACAAAAACATTCCAACACATGAAACACACAGATCTGCCTACAGGTACGGTAGATCAATGAGGGCCCTGGATTACTCTAGAAACACATTTAACCTGAGCTGTGATCCCTCTCTAGTTTGTTTAAGGTCTAACCTCATCCACGTGTCCACCACAACACTGCTCATTTCTCTCCCACGGATCACATGAGAAGTCAGCACTCCCACTCGGTGGACCAGACGAGTGACAAAGGCCCCCCTTTTCCCTACAAATGACTCTGAAGCTACAGAAATGGTACTGGAGCATGTTTGATCACAGCCCAGGAACCATGGAGATGAACCAAACCTGGATTAACTGTTCATTTTTAATTATTTTACTTTATTTCTCCTGCCGTTATCGGAACTTCCTTCCAACATTTTATTCCAAAGTTACCCATTAAAAGGGGTCAAGAAAACAATCGTTTAGACGAACGGTGCAAAAGTCTCCTGGCTCTTCACAAACACTAGCCTGTGCTGCCTCTGGGATGCGAGTGTTAACCAGGTGGGTTTCTACAAAAATCAGCGGTACAAGAACGGTGAACCGTTCTCCTGAGATGACACGGGGAAAGTGAGAATTCAAAAGGCATTTACTCCGTTCCCACAGAAGAGATGTGTTACTGCATTATTAACGCCTAACGTGTTGTTTTGTAAGACCTCGCCAACTCAACGGGTGTGTTTAATGTCTCGCAACGGTGTGAGGAAATCCTCTAATTCACGTTAGGCCACACTCTTCTCTACCAACAAACGAAACATCCCGTTTCCACTGACTCAGCTGTTTGTGACGTTTCTCCCCGTAACGATGAGTAAGGGTTTTTCCTTTTACAATTGTGGAAGTCGTGTGTGTGTGTACGTGCGTTTCCGCATGTGTAACCCGTCTGATTCAAAGAGCTGTGACGACTCAGGCTTCCAGTTCCAGCTGCCTCTTGTGTACATTAGAAAGTGGAAAAGAAGTCATTTTAAAGTCTGGGACCTGATTGAAGGGTGGAACTTGAGGAAAAAAAAGTTATTCAACATCTGGTTCCTGTTTTGAAACTTTACTCCTCTCCTGCCTTTGGCTGTTCCGTCTCATCGAACCAAAAGGTTCATATAAAACCCGCCAGTCAGAGACGAGACTCAGGAGGAAGAGTGCTGTGTAAACAGAAAGAGTGAGAATAAGGAAAGAGCCGCTTTGTGTCCGAGATGGGAGGGAAATCCAGATCATTCTGAAACCTGAAGCCTTTCAGGTCACACGGAGCTAAAGGACAGGTAGATGTTTCACAACAGCTAAAAACTGCTACTAAACAGAAGAAATCAATTTCAAATGAATGCACAGAAAGTGTGGGTTCTAAAGGAACATGGGAAAAGAGGGTTTTGTAGACATTTGTATTGAAACAAGTTCTCCTTCGCACTAATAGTCTGCAATGCAAACATTAGCTGACTTTAGCTCCGCCCACCTTTCAGAATTAAAGTGGATCAAGACGTCTTACTAGCCACGCTCCATTGTAGCCTCTGCAGGGCTACCATTGGCTCGGCTAAGTGTAGGCAGGGCCAATCACCGTGCTCTGTTAAGCCTGGTTTATACTTCTCCGTGAGCTCTGCAGCGGAGAGACACACGGAGTGTTGGAAAGGTTTTCACATTCGAACTTCTGTTCGGCAGCGGAGTGTTGCAAAGTAATTCCCCGCCAGAACAACAGAGGGCGTAGCACTTTTCTGTAGTAGCTCGCCACCATAACGGTCATGTACCTGGTCCATGACTGTATTTACTACTGTGGTTATACACTCATCTAAAGGATTATTAGGAACACCACACCAATACGACGTTTGACCCCTTTCGCCTTCAGAACTGCCTTAACTCTAGGTTGTGCGTGTTGTGGCTTCACAAATGCTTTGCTGCGTTCCTCGGTTGGAACGAGTGGTTATTCCAGTCAAAGTTGCTCTTCTATCAGCTTCAATCAGTCGGCCCATTCTCCTCTGACCTCGAGCATCAACAAGGCATTTTCGCCCACAGGACTGCTGCATACTGGATGTTTTCCCCTTTTCACACCATTCTTTGTAAATCCTAGAAATGGTTGTGGGTGAAAATCCCAGTAAGACAGGTCCGTCTGGCACCAACAACCATGCCACGCTCAAAATAGCTTAAATCACCTCTCTTTCCCATTCCAACCTTTAGTTTGGAGTTCAGGAGATTGTCTTGACCAGGACCACACCCTTAAATGCACTGAAGCAACTGCCTTGTGATTGGTTGATTATTTAACTGCATTAAGGAGAAGTTGAACAGGTGCTTCTAATGATCCTTTAGGTGAGTTTATATTTCAGAGACTTTATAACAAGGACAAAATTTGTCCTTAATTCTCATCCACCTCTTCCTGCGGTCGCCACCTCTAAACCCACATTTACAGTCGTTTCCGTCCACGTTTCCTCTGTTTTGTACTTCAGTCACGGGTGAATAAACGTTAATATTTTCTGACTTTTTCGGCGATGCATTCTTCAATCCGTTCTGGGACTGCCACTAAATGTTCGTTTACTTTAACGGAGCTACAAGATTCTTTAATTGTTGTAGAAATTTTTATTTCAGGAAGTTGAATTTTGGTCTGATTTCAAATCTGAAACAAACAAAAAACCAACAAGGTTCTGACATTTGTAGCCGTGATTCCTCAACATTGATGTCCTCTACATAAAACCTCACATAGTCGGCCTTTAGTAGATGCCCACCTTTCCCACATTCTTTGTGTTCTGCACATGTCCTTCAAGTGTCAAGTCTCCCGTCAGCTCCTCCCAACGGGACTAAGGAACGGGCCTGTCCCAATTTTAAAACCAGGTTTTTGATCCACAAGGTTCAAAGCATAGCAAGAATAGCTCCTGCAGTTCAAGGTAGTCAGGAGGCCTGTTTTTATGACACTGAACATGGGATCTTTCAGCAGCACCAGGTAACTTCATCAACATCTCACCAATTTCAAATTCTTAACATTTTTAGATCAAACTGAATCTTCTGATCCTGGTGGGAACGTCGACGTTGACGTCCTCCCAGGCCTCCAGACTGAGACTGCTGTCAAACCAAGACGAACATTTTTAAATGACTGCCGCTGGAGGATACACTGACCATTTTTCACACTTGACTACTTTCTTCTACAATCTGTTCTTTAACTGTATTATTTCCTGCTATTTCAGCTGTTAACTTTATTTTCTCTCTAATTGTTTTTCTCCCCAGAAGAAGCTACAATGATGTTCTGCTGAGCTGTGGTGGCCTCATGGAGGGGGCCATCGTCTAGCACACTGCTGCTAACCACTAAAGCATTCTCCCTCTCCTGATAACATTTTGCTTTCTTTGACATTGAATGTGCTACTACTAGTTTACCCGTCTAATAATAGATCCACCAGGATAAATACAATAAAGTTCATCTCTCACCAAATAGAATATTTACTAAGAAATCACAATGTAACCATAGAAACACTACTGTGTGTGTGTGTGTGTGTGTGTGTGTGTGTGTGTGTGTGTGTGTGTGTGTGTGTGTGTGTGTGTGTGTGTGTGTGTGGTGTGGTGTGGTGTGGTGTGGTGTGGTGTGGTGTGGTGTGGTGTGTGTGTGTGTGGTCTTCTCGATCCCCAGTGAGTCATGGAGGATGGCTGCTTATACTGAGCCAGGATTCTCTGGAGGTTTCTTCCTGTTAAAAGGGAGTTTTCCTCTCCACTGTCGCTTTATGCTTGCTTAGTATGAGGATTGCATCAAGTCACTGACACTAGTCAGTGACTTGATGCAATTTGCTGGGTTCCTAATATAGGAAACATTATTTCTGATTGGCTTAATGAACTGACCTGGACTGGAATGTTTATTATGTGAAGTGCCTTGAGACGACTCTTGTCGTGATTTGGCGCTATATAAATAAAATTGAATTGAATTAATGAATAACTTGTCAGTTACACATTTTGCAACAGCAAACATTTGGAAATGTAAAGACTGCCTTAGTCTAATCTTTGATTACGCCTGCAGTATTTTCCTGACTCTGCTGAAGCCAACCCAGATGAGATAAGTCAGTCAGTAACTGCGTGTGCTTTTTCCAGCAGCTTTAGCGGGATTACAGTAGCATATATGCCCGTGTTGTAATGCGGCTCACAAACAAAACCAGGTATCCATTTCTACACGGTCTCAACTCAAGCAGCAGAGTGAGTCCAAAGCAAAGATCAAACCTGTTTATCTTTCACTTTTAAATGAGACAAACAAGTAGCGCACCTCAAAACGCACGACTCCGCCCGTAAATAATCCGTGTTGTAGCAAACACTAGAAATCATGTAAAGTAAGCATGTAATTCTGCCTCTGATAAACAAGACTTCAACTCATCCTCCCAGGATCGTTGGATCAGAGGCAAGCTGTGGTCGCGCTTCAGACCAGCACAGTTGGGAAGAAAAGAATTCCTTAAACATTCCGAATCTTTGTGGTGCTGACAGAAAAATCCTGGTGCACCTTTATCTCATACTGGGAGCAAATTTGAAGGTAGTTTGATTAACAGGAATTTCAGCTATTCAAGTTATTTAGTTGGAAATTTTTTATTTGAATTTCATGCGAGACTTTAAATAATCTCAGCTGCATTAACTAGGTTCAGGGTGGGGTTTTCTGAACAGAAGCCATGTAAAGACTCTGAAAGAGAACAGTGGGCTTTGAGGTAAACATCAATATTAAAAATAAATTCCAACGTAACGTTTGAGCCATCAACTCTGGACTCGGGACAGCCACAGCTGTTAAACGCGCTCCGTGAGGTGAGACGGATCCTCTGTCCCCAATAATTTCCTGTGTATTTAGACCAGAATCAGGACTGATTAAGAGTGTGTGTGTGTGTGTGTGTGTGTGTGTGTGTGTGTGTGTGTGTGTGTGTGTGTGTGTGTGTGTGTGTGTGTGTGTGTGTGTGTGTGTGTGTGTGTGTGTGTGTGTGTGTGTGTGTGTGTGTGTGTGTGTGTGTGTGTGTGTGCGGTGTGTGTGATTGGAGTCTACAGAATGCATTTGACTCCATTTCCTGTGTAATCTCGTGTCAAATGGAAGACAACATGTTGGACATGATTCTGAACATTTAGAGACTTTCCTAACATGATTAGTTTAAGATTTTACTGCTTTAGTATTATTTCACACTCCATATGATTAAAAAAATAAATAAAAGGACCTAAAGTGGTTGATTAGATTTGCATAGATGAGATTGTTTATTATTAATTCAGAATATCCATTTTAAATATCATTCGTGGCAGCGCTAGTTTACACCCCAGATGCTGCTTGACATCATAAAAACATGCGTCTCCATCAATCCAACAGCACTGCGTCTCATTGGCCAAAGACACCTTTGTCCCAAAACCAGACCAGTTACAGGAAACAACCTGGAATCAGGGTAAACATGACCAGACATCTTACCTCCTCCGTACATGACAGCCAGCATGATGGAGGAAATCCAAGAAACCTGGCTCGGCGTGGCATTAAAGATGACCTCGATCTCCTTGAAGAAGACCGTGATGGATTTGGGGAAGGCATAGGAGAAGCCGATGCAGATGAAGGCACCTGCCACTACAGCCCAGCCCCAGCCACCCTCAGGAGGGGTGTATCCCACGGGCCCACCAACCGCTGCAGGCATGTCTGCTCAGGAACCTAGTGGTGATGTTCGAGATGCTGGGCCTCTGAGCTGCACAGGGACAGAGGAGGAGATCCAAAACAGCACCTGAGGAGGACCAGAAAGGAAACTTTGTAAATAAAAAAAAAAAAACAGCTATGGTTAAAAAAACATCGCAGTGTTTAATCTGGGTCAGCAGGAACTGAAATGTGTAAGAGAGGGATGAGGAGTCCTTCCCCCAGTGTGACTCCACACAGTCTAGTGTTTAAGACATGCGACTACAGTTTGATCAGTACAGCAGTTGACACACACACACACACACACACACACACACGCCTACTGTTGTGAAGCTACAGCAGAGGTCAACTGAACTGCAGAACTTTGGAAAAGAAAGGAGACTTGAAACTAATGGAAACAAAATTAGAAGCTACTTCTAGTGTGAAACAAGTCTCTTTAACCCGAGCCCTCAGGTCCACCCACCAGAACCTTCTAGAAGTTCCAAAGACCAGATATAAAAGTCAAGGTGTCGCTCCTTCCAACCTGTTGCACCCCGACTCTGGAATGATCTTCCTTTATCCTTACGCAGCATTGACAGTCTGGACACTTAACAGCTGAAGACCCTTTGATTTAAAGCTGCTTTTACCTAAATCTTTTCTTATTTTTAACTCAAATTTGTAATCTTTCATCTGTTTGTGAAATTTTATAATTTTATGTCTATTTGTTCTGACATTGATCTGATTCTGTTTTGAGAGGATTTTGATTTTGAGATGCTAATCCATTTATGATTTTTATGACTTTTAATGAATTTTAAAGTTTTACACAAGAAAAAGGGAAAAAAGTAGATGAAAAAGGATGAGTAATAACTAACAAAAAATAATAAAAATAAATAAATATTATATATATATATATATACACGCATACACGTACGTATACACATACATACGTATACACACATACAGGTGCTGGCCAGTAAATTAGAATATCATCAAAAGGTTGAAAATATTTCAGTAATTCCATTCAAAACGTGAAACTTGTACATTATATTCATGCAATGCACACAGACCAATGTATTTCCAATGTTCATTACATTTAAATTTGATATTTATAGGTGACAACCAATGAAAACATCAAATCTGGTATCTCAGAAAATTAGAATATTCTAAAGGCCAATGAAAAAATGTTTGTTTCTCTAATGTTGGCCAACTGAAAAGAATGAACATGAAAAGAATGTGCATGTATAGCACTCAATACTTAGTCGGGGCTCCTTTTGCCTCAATAACTGCAGTAATGCGGCGTGGCATGGACTCGATCAGTCTGTGGCACTGCTCAGGTGTTATGAGAGCCCAGGTTGCTCTGATAGTCGTCTTCAGCTCCTCTGCATTGTTGGGTCTAGCGTATTGCATCCTCCGCTTCACAATACCCCATAGATTTTCTATGGGGTTAAGGTCAGGCGAGTTTGCTGGCCAATCAAGGACAGGGATACCATGGTCCTTGAACCAGGTGCTGGTGGTTTTGGCACTGTGTGCAGGTGCCAAGTCCTGTTGAAAGGTGAAGTCTGCATCCCCATAAAGTTGGTCAGCAGCAGGAAGCATGAAGTGCTCTAAAACTTCCTGGTAGACGGCTGCATTGACCCTGGACCTCAGGAAACAGAGTGGGCCAACACCGGCAGATGACATGGCACCCCACACCATCACTGACGGTGGAAACTTTACACTGGACCTCATGCAACGTGGATTCTGTGCTTCTCCGCTCTTCCTCCAGACTCTGGGTCCTTGATTTCCAAAGGAAATGCAGAACTTGCTTTCATCAGAAAACATAACTTTGGACCACTCAGCATCAGTCCAGTCCTTTTTGTCCTTGGCCCAGGCGAGACGCTTCTTGCGCTGTTTCTTGTTCAAGAGTGGCTTGACACACGGAATGCGACACCTGAATCCCATGTCTTTCATGAGTCTCCTCGTGGTGGTTCTTGAAGCGCTGACTCCAGCTGCAGTCCACTCTTTGTGGATCTCCCCCACATTTTTGAATGGGTTTGTCGTCACAATTCTCTGCAGGGTGCGGTTATCCCTAGAGCTTGTACACTTTTTTCTACCACATTTTTTCCGTCCCTTCGCCTGTCTGTTAATGTGCTTGGACACAGAGCTCTGCGAACAGCCAGCTTCTTTAGCAATCACCTTTTGTGTCTTGCCCTCCTTGTGCAAGGTGTCAATGATTGTCTTTTGGACAGCTGTTAAGTCAGAAGTCTTCCCCATGATTGTGGTGCCTTCAAAACAAGACTGAGGGACCTTTTAAAGGCCTTTGCAGGTGTTTTGAGTAAATCAGCTGATTAGAGTGGCAGCAGGTGTCTTCTATATTCAGCCTTTTCAGAATATTCTAATTTTTTGAGATACCAAATTTGGAGTTTTCATTAGTTGTCACTTATGAATATCAAATTTAAATGTAATGAACATTGGAAATACATTGGTCTGTGTGCATTGCATGAATATAATGTACAAGTTTCACGTTTTGAATGGAATTACTGAAATATTTTCAACCTTTTGATGATATTCTAATTTACTGGCCAGCACCTGTACATACACATCTGCCTACATATCAATAAAGGCACAGAACGTACAAGGCATGTGTCTCTATAGCTTGGTGCTACTGTTGTTTTGTTTTGATCAATGTGAAGCACTTTGTGATTCTATGCCTGTGATGAGTGCTATGGAAATAAAATCTACTTAACGCAGGTTTGCGGCAGAACAGCACCAGGTTCAAGATCCTTTAGAACTCAAATTTGATCCATATTAGCAAAAAGACAAAAGAATGACTTCTAAAATGAATACATCTGGATTGTTGATATGAATTTTTTTTTTTTTTTTTTTTTACATTAAAGGTTGACTTCAGCCTCTCATTGGAGGCTGAGGACCAGAAGCTTTGTCCTCAGGGACCGTGGACAAACCTGTCCTGTATCCGGAACTCTACAGAGTCTTTCCTGTTTACACCACATGTAACAGAGCTATATATGATCCCAGAGTAACTCTGCTTCTGTTTGGACCAGCTACCTTACATGGTGTCCATCAGACAGCAGCTTCACACAAAAGATGGAGAAATATGAGGCACAGTTGACAAACAGGAACTTGCGTAAATCATAACCTACAGGGTGGAACCAAATCTGAGTCCAATGGACGACAGCAGCATGCTGTAGAACTGGTCAATTAGTCTAATTTAATCACAATTACAATCTGGATTTTGAATAATCCTAAAAACAAAAAAAGGACCAGATTATTTGCTCCTCCATCACTCTACTTTCACATTGCTCAGTGTCAAATCAAGCGCACGTCCCACACAGAGTTACCAACTTAGCTTGGTTGCCTTTTTAAGCAACTTTTCAGACCTTCTTCGGGACTCGTCACAAAATTGCCCGACGACCAACCAGTTAATGAACCTCAGCAACTTTCTGTATAGCTTTGTCAAAATCCCTGCAGATTAGCAAAAACCCAACGTGCATTCTAGACCGTCCATCTCAGTGGATCTCGCTCACAAAATCAGCTGACTTGCAAGCAAAATAAGTTCACAAAACAGTGAACCATATCTACAGATTTAAATTTCATCTGAGCTGCAAAGTCTCACAATGGCGCGTAGCGCTACTGTACACACTCCCCTACGGCACCGCTGGATATGAATGCAGGTTGTTCACTACAACAGTTCATACGTTTCCATTTATTTTTATATTGCACATGCTTGCACTGTGCATCTCATCATCAGTATTTGGTTTTATTAACCTCAAGTTAAATAATCCAGATCTTATTTTCAAAGTAATCATGATCATTTTTACCACCCTAGCATACATTATCGCAGGATTCAGCACAGGTTGGCCTTCTGACAACTAATTAACAGAGTCTAGCTCTCCTACAAGCCATTTAGGCTGGATCAGGCAGTAAACAACCCTGTTCCACCAATCATTACACAGAATTACTGTCCAACTCAGATTGAAGACACTTCTGTTATGAGGCTTCCACTGAAGCTAGGCCATTTTACTTCCCGTTTGTTCCTGCAAAAAGCTTAAACCAGTTAAAAGCTCCAGTCTGTCAGTTCCAGTCTGTTATTATACCAGGTGTGATTTGAATTTACAGTTTTTGTTAAAGGGTTTGTAAATAAAACTGAATTTTACGTCTAGATGCATAAAGTTTTCTGGTTTTACCCGACCACAGCTCATGTCCTTAAGGTTTGTACTGCTGATTTTTTTATGCTGAGCTTTCAGTCCTCTTGTCCTTCCTTCCTCCTAGGAGGTTTCAGGTCAACGTTGCACAAAGGAATAAAATATAATCAACCAAATCCTTACATAAACAGCTGGAGACATCAACATTTAATCTCATATCAGCACTCAGCTGACCACACAGGCTGAGACCTATGTCTAGCCTGTGATTAGTCACAAAAACGATGGGACGTCCGCTCTGCTTGTGAGCAAGACACGTCCTCAGAAATCCAACAGTTCAGCCGTTTTAGCATCAGATGGTCTGCTAGTGGTGAGTAATAAAAATAAGTATCCAGAATAGATTTAAATTTATGCATTAAAACGTGAAACTGGTCACTAAAAGTTTTTCCAGCCTTATAATTATTGCTATAAAGTAAACCTGTACGTAAGCACCATGGTCATTTCTAGGGGTGTATTGGTGAAATTCTGGCGATCACGACACGCATCAAGATACAGGGAAGAGATTAGCTTTTTTTTAAATGAAATTATTGTAGAACAGTCCAAACGGATTAGGGCTGCAGCTATCGAATATTTTTGTAATCGAGTACTCTATCGAATCTTTTTTTCGATTAATCGAGTACTCTAATAAATTACCCTTTTGTGTTTGTAAACCATTATATCAAATAGCATGTTATAAAATATGAAAGACCTCTCAAAATGAGAAAGCAATTGCCAGTTATTCTTCAAGTTTTATTCAAAATTAAGTTTGCAAAACTTCAGCACTTCAACTTTACTTCACAGTAAACAAATGCGTGTGCAAAAAATAAGTATACAGCCTGAGCCGATTTTCCCCTCGTGCGAGAATCTACCAGCCTGCAAGCCAGACAAAAACTAGGAGGATAACTGTTGAAGTAGCGCTGCGAGCGGCTGCGGC